AGTACAAGCAGCCACACAAACACACACACACATACATGCACGTCGCTATATAAGTCCAATAATCTTGGACGCGACGTTAAATCCCATTTCACCTCACCGAACATTTTAACTGAAACATTGTTGCTTGCTGTCATGAATTAAATTAGGAAAGTTCAATTCTCGGAAAATTCAAGCGGGCACTTCTCGCCTCGGCGGCACGTCTCGCTGTCGCCAGTTGTGCCTAATGTCTGGCAAAGCATGTCCGGCGCAAGAGTGATATTAACATTGCCAAAGATGTTATTTCCAGACATCAGACTCGTCAAAGGTTCCTGTGGTCAGTTGAAGAGAAGTTGTGCACCTGCGGTTGAGACTGAGTACAGTCGGCATCTGACGTAAACAAAGGGGGATAACTCTTTAATGTTGTGATTCAGGAGAAAGTAGTTCCGGAACCTTGTTTAGTGTCACTAGTGACTGATAACTTGATCTATCGTCACTGATAAATTCCAGTATTTCATTCATATGTATATAATAAATATAGTAAATGTGGTGGGCAAAAGTCGACATTTCTTTACGAGACCCTACTTCATAATTGAGGTGGTCATGCAGAAAGATCATCGGACTATTTATTGAAGGAAATAACTATGCGCAACTCCAGCTTCAACTTGCGGTAGTTGCCAGTATTTGCCACGTATGCTACCGGGGCCGGGCAGCAGAAGCTGCTGATTGCCACTGGCAGCAGTAGCTTTTCTTATAATAAACTGTTATCTTTGTAGCTCACAAACACTTGCACAACCTCGGATATATAATCTACTCTTCTCCAAGTTGTTCTTTATAGGCAGACACTGTAATGTATGGTAGCCCATGCTTCCCCTTTGGTATATCGTGCAATACCTGAAGTGTATCTAGGTAGCCCGGGGGAAGACCTTGATGTATCAAGGGCACACGCCCGTGGTATATGCAGCTAGCCCGGGAGAAGACATCGATGTATCAAGGGCACACGTCCGTGGTATATGCAGCTAGCCCGGGAGAAGACATCGATGTTTCAAGGGCACACGTCCGTGGTATATGCAGCTAGCCCGGGAGAAGACATCGATGTATCAAGGGCACACGTCCGTGGTATATGCAGCTATCTCGGGAGAAGACATCGATGTATCAAGGGCACACGTCCGTGGTATATGCAGCTAGCTCGGGAGAAGACATCGATGTATCAAGGGCACACATTCATGGTAAATCCAGCTAGCCCGGGAGAAGACATCGATGTATAAAGGGATACGTCCGTGGTATATCGAGATAGCCCGGGAGAAGACATCGATGTATAAAGGGCACACCTTCATGATATATCCAGCTAGCCCGGGAGAAGACATCGATGTATAAAGGGCACACGTCCGTGGTATATGCAGCTAGCCCGGTAGAAGACATCGATGTATAAAGGGCACACATTCGTGGTATATCCAGCTAGCCCGGGAGAAGACATCGATGTATAAAGGGCACACGTCCGTAGTATATCGAGATAGCCCTGGAGAAGACATCGATGTATCAAGGGCACACGTCCGTGGTATATGCAGCTATCTCGGGAGAAGACATCGATGTATCAAGGGCACACGTCCGTGGTATATGCAGCTAGCCCGGGAGAAGACATCGATGTATCAAGGGCACACGTCCGTGGTATATCCAGCTAGCCCGGGAGAAGACATCGATGTATCAAAGGCACACATTCATGGTATATCCAGCTAGCCCTGGAGAAGACATCGATGTATAAAGGGCACACATTCGTGGTATATCCAGCTAGCCCGGGAGAAGACCTCGATGTATCAAGGGCACACGTCCGTGGTATATCCAGCTAGCCCGGGAGAAGACATCGATGTATCAAAGGCACACATTCATGGTATATCCAGCTAGCCCTGGAGAAGACATCGATATGTAAAGGGCACACGTCCGTGGTATATCCAGCTAGCCCGGGAGAAGACATCGATGTATAAATGGCACACGTCCGTAGTATATCGAGATAGCCCGGGAGAAGACATCGATGTATAAAGGGCACACCTTCATGGTATATCCAGCTAGCCCGGGAGAAGACATCGATGTATCAAGGGCACACGTCCGTGGTATATGCAGCTAGCCCGGGAGAAGACATCGATGTATAAAGGGCACACATTCGTGGTATATCCAGCTAGCCCGGGAGAAGACATCGATGTATAAAGGGCACACATTCGAGGTATATCCAGCTAGCCCGGGAGAAGACATCGATGTATAAAGGGCACATATTCGTGGTATATCCAGCTAGCCCTGGAGAAGACATCGATGTATCAAGGGCACACGTCCGTGGTATATGCAGCTATCTCGGGAGAAGACATCGATGTATCAAGGGCACACGTCCGTGGTATATGCAGCTAGCTCGGGAGAAGACATCGATGTATCAAGGGCACACATTCATGGTAAATCCAGCTAGCCCGGGAGAAGACATCGATGTATAAAGGGATACGTCCGTGGTATATCGAGATAGCCCGGGAGAAGACATCGATGTATAAAGGGCACACCTTCATGATATATCCAGCTAGCCCGGGAGAAGACATCGATGTATAAAGGGCACACGTCCGTGGTATATGCAGCTAGCCCGGGAGAAGACATCGATGTATAAAGGGCACACATTCGTGGTATATCCAGCTAGCCCGGGAGAAGACATCGATGTATAAAGGGCACACGTCCGTAGTATATCGAGATAGCCCTGGAGAAGACATCGATGTATCAAGGGCACACGTCCGTGGTATATGCAGCTATCTCGGGAGAAGACATCGATGTATCAAGGGCACACGTCCGTGGTATATGCAGCTAGCTCGGGAGAAGACATCGATGTATCAAGGGCACACATTCATGGTATATCCAGCTAGCCCTGGAGAAGACATCGATGTATCAAGGGCATACGTCCGTTGTATATCCAGCTTGCCCTGGAGAAGAAATCGATGTATAAAGGGCACACATTCATGGTATATCCAGCTTCCCCGGGAGAAGACCTCGATGTATCAAGGACACACATTCATGGTATATCCAGCTAGCCCGGGAGAAGACCTCGATGTATCAAGGGCACACGTCCGTGGTATATCCAGCTTCCCCGGGAGAAGACCTCGATGTATCAAGGGCACACGTCCGTGGTATATCCAGCTTCCCCGGGAGAAGACATCGATGTATCAAGGAAACACGTCCGTGGTATATCGAGATAGCGCGGGAGAAGACATCGATGTATCAAGGGCACACAAAACTTATTTCTTGACATATTCTCACGCGTGTTTCTTACGTGTGTCTTGTGTGAATTCGGGGTAATAAGAAGTCCCTTGCGACCGCTGCACGTCGCAAGAAGCAATCATCTGTGGTTAGGCTCGGTTACTTGGTTGATTACGTTACCCGACGACGTGGGGAGTTGTTCGTCATATCAACCACTTCATTGTCAGGTTCTGACACGATTATTTACAGACCGCCGTCATATAACGAGAATACTTCTAAATGCGGTGCTTAACAACAACACCAAAACATCCCGCAAAACCTTTGATTAAATGTGGGCCTATACAGATACTCAAGACGGTCAGGCATGCAGAGGTCAGCTCTCGCGAGTTGTCATGTCATAATTCTTGTTCTAATTTCTGAAACCTAACTGGAACTGTACTTGCACTGGCCGGGGCACACCTCATCTCTCCTACTGACTAATTAATCTCGTTTATTGATCTATTGATCAGTAAACGCATTCTGTGACACTCTGTCTCAGAGACGAGGGGAACAAAGCAACACTGTTCTCCATGGTCTGGCCATCCTCGATTTACCACAGTATTCGATCTCCATTCTACTGTGACAAATATCCTGGAACCATTCGCTTCCATGGATTCGTTTTCAGCACGTTTCGAATGACACGACGCAACAAATAGTCTTATGAGCGTAGGTGCGTGGGAAATCCTTAAGGGATAGAGATGGAGATAGTGACGTCACTTCCAATCAAATTGGAAATGGAAATCAAGGGCGGGTAATTTGAGATTGCGAGAACCGCGGGAATGGATCCAGGGGTTACTGTGGGTTTACCGAAATTCTAGCCTGGGAGATACAGAGGATGCATCTCCGTCAGGGATTCCTATTTCGCAATATAAATGTCCTTATCATATGTATAACTATACAATATTCATCCCTTAATTCAAAGATAAAACAGCCGTGAAGATCCCCGTTAGAGGTCTTCAGCAACCTATGCTTGTCGTAAGAGGCTACTAACGGGATCGGGTGGTCCGACTCGCTGACTTAATTGATGCATGTCATCGTATTCACATTGCGTGGATCGATGTGCACGATGTCAAACACTGGATTGTCTGGTTCCGACTCGATTATTTAGACCATCGTCATATAACTGGAATATTGCTGAGTGCGGCGTTAAACAACAAACAATAAAGACAAAACAATCAAAGATAGCTGCCTTTCACTGGATTGGTCTTTGTGGGGATACTGTTTATGTAATGGTGCATAAGTGGACACCATGACTGTTTATTCTGAATAATACGCCTGGTCAAATTACGTCCAAACAGGAATAATGTTTGCTTTACATGTAATAACGGAACCAGATACGTCACCACCTTTTCTGGTTGTTCCATATTTTCCAACCAGAGACGTATCATGAACCATTTTGAAAGAAGATCTCACCAATATCTGACTGTATTCATCTTTTATCCCAAATGTTGTCTAATGCAGTACAGCTTAGTCCTCTGCCTATGGCGTAATGTTTATAACTTAGCCTCAATTGAATATACACAGGTACAATGTGTAAAGCCTTGTGTACCCGTCTGGACTGGAATAATGTCTTTTTTAAGCAGCGTTAAACCCACTCCCCGAGAAACAGACTAGATAACGTTCTTCACGCAACACACACCGGGTGCCACTCTCCTACCCAGAGTTCCTTGCGGGCCACTGCGCCGGAGTGTGACCGGGTGCCAGTTCACCAAAAAACGTTGTGATCTCGCGAGAACGTCTCCATGGTGACTGTTGCCTGTGAACGACGCCATTGTTGTTCAGCATCACTGTTGCGAACTTCAAGTCTGCTAACATTTTGAGATTTGATTCACTCTTGTCACTAACTTTGCACCATGTTCACGAGCGTGGCAAGCGTTTACCACCAAGGTACAATATTTAGGTCTTTTTAGTTCAATTTGGTTCTGGTATTCGGCATATTAATGTGTATGACTTTGCCTATGATCAACAATCCTCGATATATCAAGGATTCTTAATCGGCCGTAATTATTGGACTATCAACGCCAGTTTGCTGACAAGCTTTTCGTGAGACAGTCCAAACATATATATTGCGAATCATATAAAAGGTCCTATGAGGTCATTTCGCCTCATTGCCGTAAATAACACCGAGCAGCAGCATAAGCCCATAACTGACTGTTTGGAAATAAAGTTGACTGATATTTGTTTCAAGATATACATCTTGTTCACCTATATCAATCCCTTTTTAACACGCTTTACATAGATTTATGAATCATTTCCCTCTGCAGCTCAGGAAGAGTTGAGAAAATCTCAGCGACCTACCATTGCTGCCTCCCTCTCCAACCTTACTGTCCCTCTCCCAGTAGGTCATGTAGGGAATTTGCTTTGTTTTTCCATCGATTAAAAACCGACGGTGATGATACACAGTTGTTTGTCTCTTTCTTAGGTGTTGAACCATTCATTAGCTTTACTTAGAACATATTAAACACACTTACTTTAAAAACCATAATTCCAAGAATCTGTTATTTTCATTGAAAAAAATGGGCTAAGAGTCTCAGCTCATGATGATTGATCAGAGCAGGAAGAAAAATTGGGGAATTTGACATGCAATTTTATGAAAAACTCACTCAATTTGGTTGGAAGAAAGCAAAACTCTCATATTACAAAACCATACTTCACACATCCTTCTCATTACTTATGCTGAAAACCATTTACACTCTCTTTCTTTCCTCTCTAAGCTCTCAACTGCTGAAGATGATTCCCTGCCCATAACCCAGGCCCCTCTCCCCAACCCTGCCCTTTCGTCACTGTGTGGTTCCTCTATGAACTTGGAGCAGGACATCCCCGAGATAGACTTGGGAGATCCAACAGAACCATTTGCAGTACAGCACGTAAAGCCAGTGAAGCATGTAAAGCCAGATACATATGCCGTCATTGACATGAGCCACCTGGAAGAAATAACGCCACCACAGTCATTTGTGACAGCATGCTGCAGCTCCAGTGTATTCAGCTTCATCAAGAGATTGTTCACTCTGTACTAAATGGACATTTCATGTGGCTCAACACAAGTTGAACATTTGCAATATAATGAAAATGTAAAGAACACTATATGCCTATTTTGACTATTTAGATTTTTTGGCCTTTTGATTGAAGCAAAGTGAAATTATCTAATATCAGTAAATATGTCCATGAATCTGACTTTTTGTTCAAAGTTTTGTTATTATATTCATAAAAGTTTTTTTCTGTTCTAGTGTGTGTGATTCAATTCTTATTTGCAAGTTACTGGGGATATACAAATGGGATGGGGAAAAAAAGATTATATGATCATTACAATACAGTATAATGTATATTCTTGCTGCCAATACAATAAATGTAATGAAGTAGGCTGCATAGTGATATAAGCAATGATTGGACTACAACAGAAAAACTACCTTATGTGTTCTCATAATTTATCAACTGAATGCTTAATATAACATTTTTAATTACATTATGTTGCAAGAGGCTATATGACTGCCCTAAGGCAGGTAAAAATTCATGTTAAGTCAGGTCCAGAACTGATTATTGATAGGCAGCTGTGTTATAGCCAAATATTGCTGACTGGAGCATTAAACAACACTATTCTAACTCACTTATTGTACCAACTCAACACTCAAAAAATGACCAAGATTGACTACTTGCAAAAAAAAGAAGCAGTCCCTTGCTGCCATTGCAAGAAGTCCCCACAGTGGACAATTCTGATTGAAAGTTATCGATTCCAGTTGTGGGGAAAATGCATATTGTATGACGTGCGGCTTAAAAAAAAAGGCACATACCTTTAGCTACCTAGGTAAGAAAGTTATTTTGCTAGTGTTTTGGGGTGGTATGCCCACTCCACATGGGGCTTGCTGTTACAAACATCTGGTGCAAACACCAGGTTGGTTCAGTAGTCGAACAGGCGAGGATAAATATGATTTCACGTTGTGTTACGGGTTACTGCACTTATGTAACGATATGCATTCAAGTGGCATGTGCAATTGTGTGTGTCTGGACTAATGCTTGTTTTATAAATACTGAGATACCATGCTGCAGTTTCATTATGAATATGCCACTCAGACACCATATACTGACCAGCAGAGTTAGAACTAAACTCAAACGCTTTACTAGCCCGAGACAATGTAAAATGTCCTTGTAATGTCAAAACAATGGGAAAATTTGGAACTAGCCTGCAGGAATTAGTAACAGCTCTTTGCTTCTAACCCTGACCATGCCTTGCTTTATCTCCTTAATGCGGAGTGCCAAGAGTTACAGGGATAATTCTAGGATGGGGCCTTGTGCTTTTAGCCCCTAAATATGAAAAAAGTCCTTATTTTCAAATACAATGGGGAATTTTAACATTGTGCTGTATGGGCGTACCTTTGGAATATTTGAAATTTTTACATAAAGGCCCATGTCCGAAAATCCAAGAGTGAACCCTGGTTAAAAAAAGCTTACGAGTTAAATACCTCACCCCAAAGATCTCTTCATCTACATGATATATCCTCAATGTATCCAAGAACCATCTTTCAAAAATGAAATTGCATATTCTACTCATTGATGGGTCACAAGTGTAAATATTCAAACAATATAACCACTACACACAGAACAAAGCATTTAAAGAAAATGGCAAACAAACTTATAGCATATGGACAAGGCCATCCTCCAAGTTTACTGCCCACTTGTTACATGTCATCCTTTGTGCATAACCAGGTTATGAAACTGGTACTGAGCGACCTATATGTAAGGATTGTCATCACTTTTTGCCATACATCAGGGTTCAAACAATATAATCACTACATACACGAAACTTCAAAGAATTCTGCAGAAAAAGGCTACCGGTACTGTTATTCATCTATTGGACCCAGCATCTGCTAAACACTGGATTTTATTCTGTTTAATGCTGGCACTCACTACCTTACTAATTCCCAAACTCTTCAGTCAAAGGGAGTAATCATTACATGCCATAAGTTATGGGATATGGTAATTAAATTCATCACATGAACATTTTCAGTGGAACCAAAAACAGTATATCACACATACAACAAATCAGGGTTTTAATTATTACGATGCACGCATTATGGAGATTGTCTTGTTTGTAATTTGTGTGGCTATTTTTGTTATAAGTGTGTACATATTCCACAGTTTGGTTGCTCTCTGCTGGTTCTCTTTGGTTAGCCAATCATTGTTTAAACAAACACTTCACCTCAAAGGTCACCTGGACCTAACTGGTCAATGTCGTCAAAAAGACTTCCAAGGGTAATAAAGGAGACATACATCATGTAATGTTCCAGAGATATACCACCCTGCTTTCAAAATCTAAGTGTCCGTGGCTGCCAAATTCAGACAAACATTAAAACATCCCCATTCACATGTATCTTCTTATTTACCTGAAGCTCCATGCAAGAGCCGATTAAAATAGGTATGAGGTGGCTATGCTGACATGGCTGATGTAAATTGCGCATACTTGTTATTTTCATACAGTAGTGGAAAAATACACTGATGCATTGGTGGGTCGCGTTTTTTACCTCTCGATACAAGTATTGATCACAGTCGCACATAGTAAAAAATATTGATTCTTACCTTACATGTTTGCTTTCTTAACTGTTACCCCAAACACTAATGAGGAGTGTAAATTAGTCAGGGAAAATGTAAATATGTTTCATCTACTGGGCCATACTTCACACTGCCAACTGTAAATCATCAGTGTGCTAAGTATTTGGCCATCTTGTCTACATGAAAAAGATGGCTTAGGCACCACAGAGAGTACCTGCAAGTATCGGGATACGTATTGGATCATGATGTTTGTTTGTTTGTCAGCACTCCGCAATATTCCAGCCATATGAAGGCAGTCTTTAAATAATCAAGTCTGGACCAGAGAATCCAGTGTTTGACATCATGAGCATCGATCCACGCAATTGGGATACGATGACGTGCATCAACCAAGTCAGCGGGCCTTATGACAAGCATAGTCGCCTTTTACAGCAAGCATGGGCTGCTGAAGACATATTCTACCCCGGATCTTCACGGGTCATCAGATCATGAACACGGTATCGTGATACATATCTGATCACACAGTTGGTGTATCGTCCAAGCCCTAATTATGAATTGACAGCATTCCAGTTGGTTGGTGTGTTAGCTAAATGTGGTAGGGAAGCAGGTCTGAGACATTTACCACTTTGGTGAAACCCATAAGTATGGTATTAACAAATATAGAAACATAATTGAGGTGAACCCACACTTGTAGGTTTCTGGCCTGTTGTTGTCTGAGGTATCTCAATTCGCTGTGCAGAGTTTCATTCGTACAATATGAGACCTGGCTTGGAGATTCACTTGTGCTGTGAGCCCATAGTTTGTGTGGTCCAGAATCCATTGTTAACAGACAACATTGATGTAATACTTCTGTATCTGGTGCAAAACAACCTTCCTTCTGTTACTTCAGAAGTTGGGTGTTGTTTTAACATTCCAGTCAAACAATGTACAAGAGTCTGGTGGATTTGGTTTGTATGACAATCAAAAGAATTGACAACAAAGCCTTCCCTCTGTTTCTGTAGATTTTTCTCCAAAGATTCACTTTATAAGCATTGTCAGTAACCTTAGCATTGACTAAAACAAAGGGAAATTGAGAATCCTTGTCCATAGTCCAGCTGTTCCAGTTTCTGCTTCTGAGATTCTTAAAAATACCAGGGTAGGAGAGTGCCCAGTTATAAGATTTGACTTGAGTGAGTGGGGTTTAACACAACTTTGAACAGTATTCCAGTTAAATCATGGAATCAGCTAAATATGGAAGGAAATCTCAAAGTATTGCAGGTCTCGGATGTTAACAAGAGTTGACTAAAAACAGGACTAGGTGGTCATGATGTGTGACCTGGCTGATTGTGTGTTATCATAGCCCGATGGTGTGGACTGGTTTGCTTGATCCATAATTGATTACTTACAGAACATCCAGAAACAGGTTTTATAATGACAACATTATTCTTTCACACAGAACTCTATTCATACATTGTACAAGAATCTAAAGAACCGTTTCTGATCCCAATATCGTCACTCACGGTCACAAACAACAAGAGAAAACAAACCCTTTTGTCATACTTCAGCAAATTTATTCATGGACAGCAAACATAATATCCTTTATGCAGTAGCCTGATCCAGAACCTGCAATAGTGGGCTTTAAAAACTTACAAAATGTACAAGAAATGAATCTCTACAGTGGAAAATGGCAATAAAATGAATTATGGAGACGAGGACATTCTACTTATCGACAGAAAAGATCTAACCTTTCAAATCCCAATTACATATAATCCAAATTTAAGTTGTAAACAGATGTAACCAGTACAATCTTTCTGTTTTAGGTAGTTCCACGACTCTGGAAAGACTTCGTCCTCCACAGGCATCTTGGAGCAAGCTGCAAAGACAACCAGACAAAACAACAAAATGAAAAGCGGTTCATAACTGTTTGTGGGTTTACTACAGCCTAATGCATAGCTTGTGATAGAGTACAATCAGTGTAGATACGACCCACCTCTCTGAACGTAATAAGACGAGAGATGAAAGCGCAGCTCCGATGTCCCATGGCTATTCTCATGGAGGATGAGCGCAGACTCTCCTCATTTCTCCCATCTTGGCTTGAGTGCAACAGAAACCTTATATTTAAACCAGTCACACATAGCTTGGTATCTCGTGCTTCCTTATGTCAGCCTACCCACATATTTCTGTAGACTTTTCAATTTTGAAATTTGAAATGGATCAAGGGTATAATGATAAATGAAATTATCATTTTAAGCCCATATTTATATGCCAAATACATCCTATTCTTGGAACAGTGATCTGTTGAGGCATAACTTGCTCTGAGTCTTAAAATAAGTAAAATAATTACTGTATATTATGTGATGAGTTCACTGCCAAAAGAAAGATAATATTGTAAAAAACTTATTCATTGACGACTATACTTGGAAGCTTTTTCCTGTGGTTTTATATGAATGTGAATTGTCATAGAAATAACATTTGCACTACACAGAAAACTGTTCCTTTGATTTTGTTCACCTCCAAATTATGAAATGACCCCTTCCCTGAATAAAACAACATTAGCAGTGACTACAAAATGTGGAATACAATTACCCAATACTTCAGCTCAAAACAGGAACATGCATTGATGTTATTGCCCATGATAACAACTTGGTGTTTTTAAAATGAAGCTTTTAGAATCACCACAAAGGGTCACAAGTTGTTATTAAAGGCAAATTGTTCTAAATATTAATCTGTCACCACATGAAATACCTGGTGAGATATAACTTTGTTATTCCGTAATTGTGAAATGAACAGCGGTGATGTGGTTCCTTCATCTGACTGGCTCTCGCTACATCGTCTTACGCTAGTGGCATCACTTGGGGCGAGAGAGGCATTAACACTACATAGTTGATGCTACAAGAGTAGCAGGCGCTCCATCTTAGGTGGCCATTAAAGCAAACTCAGACTACTTCATGCGCAATTACATGTCAAAATACTTAAACTGATATTATTAGAAATAAATTTTAATCGATAAAAAAAAAAAAAATCTTTTCCAGTTTAGACATACTTCAAAATAAATGAAATGATATTGAGTTAAACTTTCGTTAAAATTATTTGATTTCAAAGAAATCAACATAAAATATTTTCTGGTTGATAAAAATGGTTGAAAGAAAAGCAGATATTAAGTGCTTCTTTGTCCTTTAAGATATGGCCTACATTTTATATGTACATGAGACCTGCTTTATGCCATTCAACCATTATATAAGACTCTTAATTTACACTTTAAAATATGTGAAGAAAACATGCTAATTAATATTTTGTACATACCAGAAAATATTTGTGTTCACATTCATAACCTCTCGTTCCTACTATTGAGGTAAAATCTTATGTTAGCAGCCTCACACATTTAAAATGCATATTTAAACTAAGTTGTGAAAGACTTAAAGCATACAGATTCACATGTGTAGGCACATGCACACAAGATATCACCACAAATGAAACCTGCTAAAATCACAATGTTCTGTATTTTTCCAATGACAAAATATCAAATACTTTCACAAACATGAATGAAAAGATCTTCAATAACAGTACAAATTTCAGCAGGCTCCATAGAAGGAGAGGTTATGTCAAACGTTCACTCACCTGTTGAGCTGGAAAGTGAAAGGCGTTTACACTAACAGCAGCAAGGTATGCCGTCATTGTTTTCACTTACCTGTGATGTCTTCAAGGTACCTCAAGCATCATATTTTGAGTCACCTTCTGATTCAATGGCTGCTGGTGTTTTTGTCTCCTGCTCCATGGGTGTCTCCTCTGTCTTGTCATTTTCACTCGGTGTCTTGGTTTCACTGATCTTGGTGTTAGTGTCTTTCTCGTTCACCTTCTCCCGCTCTTCCTCCCTGTCTTTCTCGGTGGACTGCCTCCCGTTGTAATCCTTCTCTTCACTCTTCTTCCCTAGGGACAAGTTGATGTGGGTAACAGGTCAGTCTAATACATAAGGTAGAGGTGCGAGAGTGATTGTTGTTTTAACTAGTGGTGGGACGGTACACCGATTTTTTTACTTCTCGATACAAGTATCGATTGCAGTCGCACACACTAAGCAAAACATATTGATTCTTACCTTCAGTGTTTGCTTTAATAACTTATTCACTAGTCTCCTTAATCCGACACTCGTTAATCCTACAATCGGCTTTATCCGACACTAATGATGGGAACCGATTAAATCAGTGCTATTTAGACCTGTTAATCCAACAGTCTCGCACTCTGACTCCGACACACCAAATTTGCAACGAATTAACGAAATCACTCATTAGTCTCGTTGATCCGACACAGTGATCAGCGTACGGATGCAGAGATAAACTTGCTTAACAATAAACAATTAATGCTTTAAATACAGGATTAATCACATGCTTAGATTACCTCATTCTCATTTAAATCAGATACAAGTTCTCGCTATCGCCGAGGACATCCCGTTACAAGTCACAACAGAAAAACCTTTTGTGAACTATGACCGACCAATGAAATGACTAACAGGACGTCAACGTTAGCCACTAAGAAAGCAGCTTTCTCAAGCTTTGCAGTACCAGTTTCAAACAGGCGACTTCCATTCCAGACTATCCTTTTAAAATTATTTTAAAAGAGTCATACAGTCCGTAACATTTGTTTTGTGCTAAGCTTTAAAGGTTGCATGATTAGAAAACATATTCCACTAACAATGTAATAAAACAATATGAATATTTCATTTTTTATTACGTGTTTGTATCGTTACCTATCGTGTAGTTGTCCGATTTTCGATCACGAACGTTGATACTACTTAATTTCGTTTAACCGACATACTCGATCATCTGACATAATCATATGCAACCAACGATGTCGGATTAACTGATTAACGTGACTTGACTGTAATTAGTAGTGTAAAAACGTAAGTATGTTCATCCATTGTGCCCTACTTGACACTGCCAACCAAGTGCAAGGTATTTGGCCATCGGGTCTACGAAAAAGATGGCTTATGAACCAAAGATGACAGCACATGCAAGTATCATGCTATGTTTTGGATCGTGAGCAAGGTATCGTGAAGCGTATTGGATCAAACAGTTTGTGTATTGTCCCAGCCCTATTTTACACCATAGTCAGCAATACTCAAGCTGTAGCATAATTGTTTGTAATCAAGACTGGTCCACACAAACCATTGAGTGAAAACATGAATAACAACCTATGTCAATTCGGGTATGCAAATATATCCCGTACAAAATACCATCTAAATCTATGACTTTTGAGAATGCCGACACATCAAGTACACAATGATATAACTTATCTGGGTTGACAATATTGAAATGTACATCTAAGTGATAAATCTATGCTATTTAACTTATGCAATACAACCCGTACAGAGGTGCCAACCCTAATTGACACTTTGGAAAATAAGTGTGATAAAAAAGCTTAATTTTATGTGGGAAAAAGTAATGTAAACGGTGTGGGTTTTCACTCATAATGGTATTTATCATAGTCTGGTGCGTTATTGTGGTCATTTCAGGTTTACAAATAGCGTCATTTACGCCTGATTTTGGCTTTTTGCCACACTTTACTTTGTGCATGTGTTGTTACATCCGTCATCTTGTTTTTGCCACGTTGTTAATAGACCTATTCTGTCACATCTTATAATATGGACATTATTAAAGTGATTTAATCAAGGATATGTTTCTCTTTTCCAATATGCTAATAATATGCGATCAAACATGAAATATAGCTACACAAGGAAACTGCTATTGTAATTCAGAACAGACTCATAAAATACTAAATACAGCAGGTAGTATTCCTACCTTTTTCTCTGCTCTTACGGTTTTTGTCTCGGCTTCTTGAGCGTTTCCTCGAGCTCTTGTCCCTACTGCGAGAACGTTTATCTCTACTTCGTGAACGTCGACTCTTTCCTCTGCTACGTGACCTGCGATCCCTGCTACGTGACCTGTGGCCTCTACTCCTTGACCTCCGATCTCTGCTTCTTGACCTGCGACCTCTACTTCTTGATCTGGATCGGTGACGGCTAGACTTATGACGGTCTCGACTTCGAGACCTGTGACGATGTCGGCTACGACTACGAGATCTTCTTTTTCTGTAATGAATAAATGATCACTCATGAAATCTAAGGTACTAGCCATTTCTTCACCTTACTTAACAGGCATTTGAACAGAACTTTAAAAGTAATCATAGTGAATCACAATGTCATTTACTTATCATGTAATGTTTATTGACACGTTAAGTATTTAACCTGTCTCGACTTGAGCTTCTTCTTCTGTCACGGCTACGTGATCTTCTTTCTCTACTTCGTGACCGCCTACTGCGAGACCTGCTTCGCTTCCTCCTTTTCTCTCGCTCCTTTTCCCGTTCACGCTTCTTTTCATCTTCTTTCTCTTTTTCCTTTTTACGTCTATCTTCCCTTTCTTTTTCCCTCTCTTTTTCCCTTTCTTCTCGTTCCTGTGCCAGTTTAGCCTCTTTGGCTTCTCTCTCATCCATATCTGCTTGTATTTTTTTCTGAAAGTGAAACATCTTCATTTTAAATATCCAGCATGATACAAATGAATAAACCTCAAAAAGACCAAGTGCATTATTTATAATATGGGGATGCCAGGTACAGAAGCAAGATCTTCATTTAATCAATACATTTATTCTGATTTCATTTACACCAGACTAAAAACTTCTCAGAACATGGCACCAATGCTCTTTTTTTCAAGTATTTGAAATTTCGTGAGGAAAAAAAAAACAGAAGGAAAGAACCGAAAGACAATGTCTGCCAAAGCATACCTGTTTGTGTTCTTCTAAAAAGGCACGGATTCTGGCATACCCCATATGTTGTTTCCCCATTAAGTGTTCATCGATGCGCTGTTGGGCATCCCCAACAACTAACAAAGCAGAGCAACATCCACACACTTCCAGGGTCTTCTCAGGATCAGTGTAATACGCACCCGTCTCGTTCTACAAGATGAAAGGACACACAATTAGGCCCTGTCGGACTTTTCCCTCACCTTAATCTTGTCAACTGTGGCTCGGACCTGTGCATATCCCGCATGCTGCTTCCCCAGCAGGTGCTCATCCAGGCGCTGTGGCATGTCACCCACAATGAGGAATGCCCCACATGTGTCACACACCTCCATCTGTTTGAGCTGAGGCAGCTCTGCATTTGGATTCTGTCAAAAAATACAACACCACTGTCTGAAGAAGCTCTTTTGGAAAGACTGAGCATTTGTGCTGTGGAACCATCATCAGTGTTGTCTTGATGAAACAAACTCAATTTCCATCAAATACTACCTCTTTATTTAGAAATCCTGTAGCTTTCTGTAAGGCAAAGGACAACCCCCCCCCCCCCCCTCCCCCCAAATGCCAATAGGCCAGGAATATGCACAAAATCATCCAAGAAGCTATTGATGTCATCCGTTTCAATATATTAATCTTAAATTTGCATATGTGCTTTGAAATTTATTTCGAGGAAACTGTATGGGAGTGTGAGTGAGTGGGTATGGTTTTATGCCTCTTTTAGCACTATTCCAGCAATATCATAGAGGGGGATACCAGAAATGGGCTTCACACATTGTACCCATGTCAGGAATCAAACCTGGGTCTTCAGCTTGACGAGTGAACGCTTTAACCACAAGGCTTACCGACCGCCCCAGGAAACTCCATGGAGGTACAGACCAGCATCAACACGTATTGTCAATACTCCATGGGGTTGTTTACATATGTGGCTATATGGCCATTTTGCAGTGTAGCAGCTGTTTTATGCATCGAATCAAGCAGATGCCAGGTTACAGAGAGAGGAAAACCAGCAAGTGCTGTGACCAATAATTTGTTTCGGTGGACTTAGAAAAAAATAAGAAAGATGAATGAAGTCCAAAAATATGAAATACGAATTTGAATGCTTCATTGATTAGTGAGGAAATACAAATAGTTTTCAGTGATTCACTGACTTGAATTTGTTGTCCTGAAAACTGGAAAAACATAAATATTTCAAATATTCCTAAATAGAAACAGGCACCAGTTCATGGTGACTAATATATCCACAAAGTTTGATAAAGAAATATTGATCGGTCTTGAATTATGCCCTGGAAACAGACCCTACACTCATTTCAACCTGTCTCATGGAAAATGGAGAAAAAACACACACTTTTATAAACTCCTAAATAGCCCTCATTAAGCAGAGGATTCTCTAACATACCATGGGGGAGCATTTACAGAATTCATCTGTTTATATTTTATTAAAATATCTTGAAGCCAGTCTTCCAAATTAAGCCTGAGAATGAAGCAGTAATTCTCATAACTGTGATGTTTAACAATGTTAAAAGTTAATATTTTAGGGAAATAATAGATTCAAATAATATTGGAGCAAACCAACTGATCATGCTGATCACAAACTTATATATTCTGGGTTTCAGGATTTCTGCATCAGGGAAAACAATGTCATGGAGGGATGGGTAATGGAGGTTTAAGTGTTCCACAATATTATGGGATGCACAAGGCCTTATCGCAATATGTTTAAAGATATATTGTATACAAGGGTAATTCTAAATTTTGAATTCAGAAGCAATCTGATACATTAAGGTATGAATTGAAGTTCATAAATGGAACAAAACAAGACACAGGTATTTGGCAAGTACATAACATTACATACATCATAAAAATCGCTATTTCAAATGACCCGATATATTGGGCATGGAATAATGATATTGGGATATGTATCATTGAAGGAATTAACCTCAAAATACAGATATACAGATAATATTGCACACACTTATTAACTATTGTAATATGAATGAATCGGACGGCCCTTAACATCTTTTGAGCAGTATATAATGAGGCAAGAGCCGAGTTTCCAAGACCCATGTTTCATTGTCTAGCTAAGATGGATTATGAGGATAGTATCCATGTCTGGAGAATTGACTCCATGCCTACACAGTGAGTTTCAAGAAATATTCCTTGTTTGTTGTTTATCGCCACACTCCGCAATATTCCAGCTATATGACGATGGTCTGTAAATAAACAAGTCTGGACCAGACATTCCAATGATTGAGTATGAGCAATGATCCACATTGTCAGGGTACGATGACACACAACCTTGTCACCGGGCATGATCAACCGATCCATTTGGTCGCATCTATGATCAACATGGTTCCATTGGCACAGCCAACTGCAACACCTACGATGACTAGGTCAACCGTGTCGCCGTGCCAAACATGAAATAAGTATGGTCATAAATAGGCTTTGAGATAGCCACATGGCGAATTTATGATAAATGATTAAATCATGATCACCAAAAGTAGAACTTCAAGGGATACTTAGTATATATGCATCATGATAATTTGTACCACTAAACAAGTCATATTCATGGCATGAATTTTGTCAGCCAGGGCTCGATTTAAGGAACTCCATTTAAACTGTACCAGGTGCATGTTGACGTGAAAAGGTAGTTGCGCCAGACTAAACCAGATTGCACCTCTGTTCCATAAATTTATCAAAGTTGAAACACAGTTGCATAAACTAGACTAAATATAAAGTAAAATATCAAAATCTCTGATGGCTGTTACATATCATGAAACTGACACACAGGGATTAGTGACATAGTATGGTAAATAAAACTACACTGAGTTGTTCAAAGATTGATGCTGTTTGTGACTTGTACTTGGTTGCATTTTTCAAGAAAAGGTTGCAATGATGGATGTTTTATATAGCTAAAACATTGAGCCTCGTTAGCTATCAACAATGATCAACACACAGGGATACTTGTATGTATAAGAACACCATTCCTAGGGATAAACCCAAATATATGAAAACATAGATTAATGACAAAATGGTTTTGATATTAAAAAAATCAGTGTTCAAAATTAAAGGGGGTCCTGGTGTGCTGAGATCCTTGAGGTTTTCTCCTCTAGTATTTGAAGTTAAGTACTCCATTAATCTAAAATATTCAACAAAGGACAAAGACCTGTTGACTTTCAATTTAATGCTTAATTTCCAATTCTGAAAATATTCAAAAAGGTTCAGGATAACATAATAGATTAAAACAAATTAAATCCCCAGTTAAACATTAATAGTGTAGATTTTTCATGAAACTAGCAGTATGTGGATTCAATTAGTGACCAGTTCAAAAGTTTGATGTATGATAAAACAAATTAATTCCTTAAGCTTAGAGACATGCCCCCTACCCACCAAAAAACTTATCTGTGAAAATGTTGAATTTCCTAGTTTAGTAGCCTTTTTCGTCACCCATTCTCATATTTTGCCCAATATTTTTTCACTATGTTATTCCATGAATTTTAAAATTTATATAGTGTATAAATCAAATCAAATCGGTCATCATACATTACACATTGCACTAGATGGGTCTTACCACTACTGCCGGTGGTAATAAACCCCGACCTTGTGGACAGACTGGATGTATTTAATAACAACTCTTAACAGAATATGAATGAAAAAGAATCAGTTTAGTTTAGTTACTATATTAGACATTGAGAAATCAGGTAAGTGGATTTTGAAAGAGAGAAAACTTGCAGGGCCATCCGACCCCAACCCCACCCCTCCCTTCTATCCCCCACATCCAACCTTTGAACTGGTCCCTGACCAACTTACTTAACACAAGTCAAATTAGACATTGAGTATATTGAGAATTTATTCCCATGATTATGTGTTTGAAATGACAAAAGTCGATAAAACCTTATAATGACATCAAAACCACATGTTTCACTGGGTTGAAATGATTTACTAAACATGCTTAAGTCATGACATATGTATCTTGATATCTTGTTCATGAGCTTACACATGTCACCAGCGTTAGAAATTGGTTCTAGTGCTGTAGTCCTTGCCAAACTGCCCATAACTTAAGGTATCATAAGGACTAGTAGAAATTTGCCATTTTTAAGTGTTTTGCTAGTATAAGTTATCATTGATAAGGACTAGTGGACTAAATATGTTAGTTTCTACCCCTGGTCACTATTTCAGAATAATGCACCTAAATTATATTATAATTGTCATACAACAGGAAAAAAAGACATTTTATTCTCTCAAAAAATCACTTGTGCCTACCATTCATATTAGTGAAAGTCAATACCAATATATCTGAATCAATAATATAGCCAAAGTGTTATCAACTGCCAGCCAGTCACAAGACGGTGTATCAATACAGAATCTAGCATCTTGTGCATGATTGAAATTAATGTGTATAAATGTATATTATATTAATGCAAATCATATTTCAATATATGTTGCATGCTTGCACAGGAAAAGGAAATGGTAGGAAACGCTATAGCAAAGTACTCACATTTTCCAACTGTCTTCGTTCTTCTCTGAGCTGATCACAGAGTTTCATCACCCCTTGTGCCTCTTCCACCTTTCCCTCACAGCCCAGCTGTTCAGCCTGCAACATAACAAACTTGTTTACTCTGACAAAAGAGGAGCTGGCTTTTGAAAAGTTATTATTATCCATATTCAGTCTATTATGATAAATACAATCAACAAATTTGCGCCATAGATATTATTTGGGAAATGAATTCAAACATCTTCACAGAATTTCTCTTGACCACAAGTTTCAAGTGTGAGGTGAAAAGAGCAAGATTATTGCGCTTATATAGAATGTGCACATGTGTGTGCGCACGTCTGTCTGTTTGTTCTAGTCTGGCCGATTTTATATGTGCTAGCCCACTAAGATACCATGCCACAGTTTAACATGAATACCCCAAACTATACTGACTCTGAGCTGACCAGTCTTTGTTTTAGCCCCTTAATGCCGAACACCAGGCAGGGTAACAAGTACCATCTTTTGACATCTTTTGGTTTGACCTGGCTGGGGATCGAAACCCTGACCTTCAGCTCTGGGCGGACGCTCTGCCACTCGACCACATAGGCAGTCTGACAATAAAGCGATCCCAAGTAAAAGGTGAATTCCCTGTACAAGCCTTTAAAATTGATGCTAACTTATATACCCCGTCTATAAAGCGAATCGGAATGAAGCACGTCACCAGCGCATACACAATCCCTACATTTGCAATAAAAAGATGTTTGTCTTCTGCAGAAAAGAATTACATCATATCACTTCAGCGAATTCAGGGAAACCAACAGATCATAACAATTAAACTTGGTCAATACAAATTTAAAATTTGAGATTAAATAACACTAGACATGATGATTTACCGATCAAATTGTATTTCCTGTTCTGATAGGCATTGTTTTATATGCAGAGATTAAGATTACTGTGTGTATTTTCCCGTAAACTAAAATGAATATAAACAATGTTGAATGAAATTTTGAATAAAATCTATAAAATAGATTACAGACATAAGTCCAGATATATTATGAACTCTTTTTATAACAAGACAGTGTAGTTACATAAGTTTGCATACTTCAGTACGGATTTGTTGCCATGGTATTTCCGGTCATACGTGCTCACAGTAATGTCTTTGTGTTTGGGGGAAAAAAACATCAAAACTCTTCACTCTGTGTATAAGACGACCCCCCTTGAAAGCCCCCTAATTCTAGGTACAAAATACTTGTCTTATACACAGCGATATACGGTATGTAAACATATGAGTCCAGGGCAAGCAATTGTCTTATGTTAATAATGAAAGAAGCATGTAATCTAATCTGCCATCCCAAACTGGCTTCCTCAGGTGATATCGCTCAAATTAGGAGATATTGCTACAATAAAATTGCATCACAATACTTTGTAGACCATTGTGACATCATTGGTTCCCATGATGTCACAATCAAATGACATCACAAGGCTTGATTTAAGGAACTTGATTTAACTTGTACCAGGAGTATGTTGACGTGAAAAGCTAGTTGCACCTAACTAAACCCAATTGCCCCCTAGACCCAAAAATTTATCAAAGTTGAAACATACATGTATAAATTAGTCCAAATAAATGTAATCTCAGATCTTTGATGACAGTCTCATGTGTCACACTCCAACTGTTGGTACCCTGATGTGGTAAGCGACGTTCTGATTGGTTGGAAGAAAGGGCGTTCTGATGTGACCTATAATGGGATGTCCTCAGATTTTTGTTTTGGAAGCGAGCACTTAAATATGATTTTAATGAGATTGAAAAGAAATTTTCCATCATGTCTTTTCATATCAAGCCTCAGAGTTATAAACTTTCATTGACTTATGTTGATAGATTTGAAATTTAAAAAAATGCTGTTTCTTTTGACAGCTAATTTTGGCAATTGTCATTTGATGAAACTGTACCGAAAGGGTACAGGATATTTGTTATAACAGAATGGAGATATAAATGATAAAACACTTCGAAATGAAGGAAGAAGGAATGATATTTTCCAGTATCTAAGTGGAACCAATCATGCGATTACACTTGTGATGGGGTGAATGTATCTAATGTTAGTAATCTTGGGATTTGACAAATTTTGTCATAGTATCTCGATGTAAGGATCCCCTTAATATTCAGTTTTACACATTAGAGTTATGGCAAGGATCCATTATTTTCCTCCCTGGTTTCAAACACTGATACCTCTAAATCACATGGATATCTCATAACCCAGATGTGAACCTAACATCTTTGAGGTTGTCAGCATGATATTTATGAGAACAAAGGTCACATGTACACTGGCACTGATGACAGGAGTGTGTGATGAATAAAAAATGACAAACTTACCTGATTGACAAGTTCATTTATTTTCTCTGTAAGCATGGTTATTTTTTCTTCTTTCTGAGATGGTAAGTTACCATTGAGCTGAAAGATAAAAAAAAGCAATAGGCCTTGTTTTTTCTAAGAAATCTCAAATACTCCCATTTATTCTTGTGATTTCAATGGTTAACATTTAATTAAGACGTACATATTTCCCCCCTTCAATCTTTATTGTTCCATTTCATGAAGGGTCTCACAAACAATATGTATATCTACAAAATACTCCTATCTGATCAACAAATATGACAGGATACAGAGTGAGTGAATGCTGTTTTGTGCCACATGCAATATTCAGGCTATATCACCATGTATCACAATGGCCTTTAGATCTTGTCTGGGACAAACACAAATTCGTGATAGTATGATCACTACACTTGCCTTTGAGTGATAACAAACAATCTGCCAGGTCATAAGTTCACAGAAACACTTACAGATCCCTGTGTGCTGTTCAATGCAAGCCGCATATGTCCTCTGCGTATTCGCTTCTCAACATCAGATATAAGACCTTGTAAGAACCTCATGAAATCATCCTCATAACCCATCCTCTCAAACCGTGTACTCTTCACATATCTGGAAGGATGAACAATGGGTCAGGTTAAACTACTATCGAACCCTTATCATGTCCACTGGAAACAGTGAAATAACTGGCTGCCCACTTGCCTGCGGATGGTAACTTTTCTGTCAGGCTGCATGAAATGTTCCTCCTGCCCAACTGTCTGGGATATGACATTAGACTACTTATGTATTCAGTTATATTTTAACTTCTTGTAGATTCTCAAGTGATTGTTTGCATTATTTCAACTAAATTAAGACTTAATTTGTCTCAAGTTTTGTTGTTGCTATTTTTCAATATCAATAATGTCTGAATGTAGGCAGGTAACTTTGAAGATGGGCAGGCAATACATATTGGTCACCTGGCCAACTGTCTTGTTGAGTTTATAAATATTTCAAACATTGACTGCAAGTAGACTCCACTATTCTCATGCATGAATGTTACTACACAGGAGCTAATGCAGAAGTGGGACTGATGCCTGTGGCAAGATGATTTAGAAAATGTGTTTCCTTGCAGAATAGTTCATGTGACTTGACCATGTTGACATGAATGTGTTTGTAAATAGCATGAACTACAGTGTACTCTGATAAAAAGTATGATTTCAAATTTTCAGCAAGACATCCTATCCAAGATTTAAAATAGGCTCCTCACAAAGTTTATATATTTCCCTGGATCGTGCAAGGAAAGTAAATGTGAACAGATGACAGAATCTGAATGAAACATTCGTACAATACAGCTGTTTTATCAGCAGTCATCTGTCTTAACCATGTTTCTACTTGATATCCAATGTGTTATGAAATAGATTCAGTAACATGTAACCTTAAAGGGGAAGTGTACACGCAAAAATCACTTTCTTTCTTTTTCTAAACAAAACGTAATTTTAGAATTAATTAGTATCTGTGTTTGAAAATATACACTCATTTTTTTCACAGTGAACGTAGGAAGCTCACAATAGTGTGAAAATGATATGCCGTTATGAGGCCTTCGTTTTTCGAGCTAAACAGGCCTGAGTTATCCCCCTTAGATTATGACGTAATTGGTGCCAATTCAACTGGGTCCCTGTCTATTCTCAACGCAAAAGATATCAAGTACCAGTTTGCGGTAAAACACCATGGCCTACGACACACTCCGGCGCAGTGGTGACTCGGCATAACACTATGCTGGCTGGCATCTGAGACGCTAGAATCACACACCTGGACCTACACCACGTGAAGCGGCTCTAACAAAGCATGATGACGTCATAATGTATATCAATTGGCACCAATGACGTCATATTGCAAGGGGCATAAGCCATGGTGTTTTTGTTGTGGAAATAGAACACTTGGTAAATGTGAAAAATATAAATCGTTTTAATGCGAAAAATATGTTAATTAATTGTGATATTTTTATATTTTTGTCTTTGACACTTCTAGGTTAACACTTTTAATGTGGAAAAAGTACAAGAAAAATAGTTTCATTTCCGTGTGAACTTGCCCTTTAAGCTCTCAAGTACTGATCATCGCGTTTTACACATTCTGCTTTCCTTTCAGTGTGTGCATAAGTATCTGTCATCATAAACATTAGGCTTATTTGCCTTTTACATTACTTACTCTTTCCGCAAAAGATCATCATGAATCTTATCACAGGGACCTGAAACACAGATAATGATATGTTCAAGAAATGCTCCCCATACAACTAATTTCCAAACAAACATGCCAAAAAAAAGGTTTCTAATAAATTCATCTCTTCATGGACTTCTTTTTGTCAACACAAAAATGTATGTTACCAACAATACATACCTAAATCTGCACGGGTGTTGACAAACAGCTCATGTGGGCAAAATCCACACAAAAAATACTTGCATACCTGTGGAACAGAAATAGATTTTATGACAGAAAGAGTATGTCAGCTCTACTGGATTCATCTCATTACATTTACTCCACCACATCATCTTATTCAGAACAATTCACGGGCCAAACAAAAGAAGAACTATTCGGTTCAAGTAACCATGGTAACATGCAACAGAAGAAGATAATCTCCCAAAATTATTTTGTTGTAGCTTTCAAATGGATGTTCACACATTTCTGTGGTTATGGATCAGCACTGGGTAATGATAAAAATAGAGAGGGGTCATTGTGTTCGTAAGGATTTCTATTACACCATATATATTGAAGTTTATGAACAGGATCACTGGGCTTTTCTCCTTAATTTGAACACAGAGTGTTACTGTCCTGCCAAACTGTTAACATCATATATATGCACAACAAAGAAAACCATAGGGTCAAAAAGAAAGAAATGATGATGGGCAATATTTGCCCTAGATTGCTACAATTGTATTTGTCTTTTTATAAATCATATCACATTCACAATATGGTACATGGTGTAATGTTCTTAATTAATGTATCATAAACATAGTGAGGCTTCACACTTTGTACCCATGTATGTGACGAGCTAACACCTTAACCTCTACTCTACCCGACCGCCCCTATCATAAACATAGGACATGATAGTGATATTGTCATACGTGTTACTGATCATATGATATACTGATAAAATGTTGTTTGAGTTATATTTTTGCATGAATTAGTCACCACCTGCGTGTCTTATCTTAAGTTGTAATTTGAGCAAGGTGATTTTGGTGTTTGAAAGAGTCTGTCTTGTTCACCATTTTCGAAGAAATATTTCTCTCTTCTAATGAAAACGCGCAAAAGTAAATTGAGATGCGATCATGTGCACGCTTTAACTGGTCTTTCAAAATATGCCAGCAAGTCATATGGAATTTTCCTCCATGAGCATAGAGAAGTTGCTCATTCTAGGCTCATGATACACACTGATATGCACTCAAGTAACAATCCTATTTCTCACCATAATTACTTTTGTACGGTTTTCATACAGATGAAAACATATTACATTACAATGACTAAAGTCATTACTGATGATAACCATTGTCACAGGTGACAAGCTGTTATATATTGTGAATGACATTACCATCCTTTATTTGGATTGCCTTTTTTGTTATTAATCTTTCAATTCCTGATCCTTACTCTTGCATTATTAGCTTTGTTGTTAACATAGAAGGCACATGTGCATAAATGTACGTTACTGACAAAAGATATTAATTTGTGTCACAAGTTCAACGACGAATGACTTGCATATCTAAGAAATACAAACAATCATTTTATGATTGTGTGGCCATCAGGCTATTGCAAGCACGTGTTCTCAGTGTTTAGATTACAAAAACTCGCTCGCCATTGGGTCTAAGTTTGTTGAAAGTAACTTGATACCGACATAAACGGTTGCATTAGAAAATATAGCACACATAGATGTATTCAGTACCACCAAACATACAAGTAGATATACTTTATTTGATACCCTCTGTATTTTTGTTGCAGTAGTCAAGTCATGTGATTATGGTTGTTACGGCACTCTCGCTTATTTTCGACATGCGATAACGCACAAGACAGATCTAGAATCGTTTTCAAACACATATAAAAATGATAAAGTATACCTCAGGATCACTCCAATGTGTCTCACTTCTCTGTTCTGACGGGGCGAGATTCCGATCTCGCCCCATCAATTCATCCAACAGGGCCGCAGCCGCGCCAGCCGCCATGATTGAATATTTTCTACAGGATGAAGACAACCTGCATAATGTCCTCACGTCCTAACAATGAATTATAACTTTTGATTGACTCTTCCAAGGGAAGTAACTGCTCGGGTTACTGAATGTAGCTAATAATATTAATTTATTTCATACTTGTAAAAACATATATTAGTACTATTAACTGCTAAATATAGTTTTTTAAATGCTATATTTAAAGCTTGTTTGTAGAAATATGCAAAAATAAGGCGTCGGGAAAGTGCGAGATTTCAACCAGCGCATGCGAACAGGGTGTGACGTCACGATTGGTGTTCCACGCGGTGGTGTAAGATAAGTAAAGAAAACAGATAATTTCGTCTAGTTAAATCCACATGGCCTCTCAAAACGGTCAGGACGGTATCCCAGATGCTTGGGATGAAAACGTGGCTGCTGGGGACTCCGGAAATGATGCCGTCAATGACTTAACGAAACCACTATCAAGTCTCAATGTTAACGCACCTGCATTCGTGCCTGGCAAAAATGTGTTTGCACCAACATTTGTACCAACTGGTCCTGGTTCAGACGAACAAGGTATATCAATTTTAGTGTAATATCAAACCGCTTTTAATCTCATGCAATTTGTTCAGTTGTAAATATTGAACGTTACTCCGTTAATTTTCTTGAGCTAATATGAAATTTTTATTTCATATGGCTCATCATTTCATCGAATAGCACAGGAATGCCACCTAACATACTGTACAAATGATCAAATAATGAACTTTTTATGAAAAACACTTTTCAGCTGTGGCAAACTCAACATACTGAGGGCTATTAACAATGGAATTTTATGCTTATTTCACTAGAATGTCTGAAATTTATTGCACACATGGTCAGCTCAGCTGTCTGATTGTAACAGGTTATAGCTAAAACGGCACCAACAAAAAGTCACAGAATGAAAATGGTGCTGATTGGCAAAACGAAACCTTGCCCAAAGCTGAAATGGTTACCATTGTAAGGTGAAAACGGCACCATATATATTTACTGTGGTTTTTTAAAAACAATCTTTTTAAGCTATAAATGAAATTGAACTCACAGCGAACACAAATAATTGATATATTAATCGCCTAAAAATATGTTTTACATTAGAAATTATCCTTGCAGACTCTGAAGACAACTGAACTTATTGTGAAAATATCACACATTTAAAAGTTTAATTACCTTCACTTGATTTTAAGTCCATGTGAGATTGAAACTGACCCTTTTGATGTGTTGTATTTGAAACAACAGTCCGGAAGAAACCCTGTGGTTTATTAGATGGAATTCATTAGTTGTGCATAACACATGTTGTTACAAGTACAGTTATGAGTTTGACTGATTTAGCTGTATTGACTATTGATTGTTTTGGTAAAGCACCGAGCAGAGAACATCTACAAGCATAAATACTACTACATATGTTTTTATATTTATTTTTAAAATATATGTAACCTTTAGCGCTTTTTACACACACTTTAAACTGTTGTACGGTTATTACATTGTTAAACATTAATTTACTATCACATAAATTTGTTTTGTGGGGAATAAAATCTGTTGGCTTGCTCTTCATTAAAGGACAACCAACTCGTTTACTATTTTCATTTAATTTGGCTTGCTTGCTTTGTATGCTTGCATGGTGCACTAATTGCTGAGGTGTTTAAACTGTACTATACTTTGCACTTAGACACAGAAGTGTAATTTTTGTGCTCCACTTTCTCCCATAAGTTTCCTGGTCCATCACATACCTAGTTGTCGGAATGTGCAGGCAGACGTCCTATCCAGGTCAGACAGAGTAGCGCCCACAAAGTGCAAGCTGCGACCAGAGGCATTCCATCTTGTATGTCAGATCCTAGGTCAACCCAACTTAAACCTATTTGCCACGTGTCAAAATTAACAGTTCCGAACGTACGTTTCTCTGATTCTGGATCCGCAGTCCTGGGCAGTCGATGCCTGCCCCTTGGGAGGGGTTAAGAGCATATGCTTTTCCACCTCCCACTACGTCTTCCCAAGGTGATACAAAAGATATGGTTAACCAGGAGCATCACTCTGAATTTGATCAAGCCTTGGCGGTCAGCAATAGGGTGGTTCATGGACCTAAGAAACCTTGCAGGAAGCGAACCAATACCTCCACCGGGGTGACCCAACCTACTGGTGCATCCACACGGCAGGCGACCACAACCTATGCCAGGCAGGTTTGATCTACACACCTGGTTCATTTATGAAGCAAGAAAGGCTATTCCAGGTCTCGAAAAATTTCATAAACTCAGCTTGTCCTTGCAGGGCAAGTAGATAATATTTTGCACTCCTTTAATGTTTTATAAATTTTATGTTCTCAGTTATTACATTTCCTTTTGTAATTGAAGTTAATGAAATAAAACAAACCACAAATATATACATTATTTTTACATATTGTGCTGCCTGAGGTTTATACATAACTTCTTCTTTTTTCATGTTCAAAGCATTTAACATGTTTCCTACTTTTCCTGGAAAATTTTAATGTTTCCTTTCTTAAGTTACTTTTAAAGTCCTTTCTTTCTGAAGTTATGCTTTTAACAAATCACAAGTCCAGACTTTGAATCTGATAGTTGAGGATATTTATGACAGACAATACAAAATAATTCTGTCACTGCTGTCTAACCATCAACCACGCGACTTAGTCATACTGTTATAGAGAAAAATTCATTTTTCCGAACTGTAATCAAATCATGCTCTCTTGTCCTCGATTAAAAAACTCGTACATCAGCCATTGGCCTCACAAAAGCATTCACTTTTGCTTTGACATGTGAGCACGTAACAATGGAAATACCATGTCAGCAAATCTGCCTTGAAGTACACAATTTAACATGTATGGTAGAAGCTGCAACTAAAATAAAACAAAATAGTATTCCTGATAAAATAATAGTTTGAGATACAACTCTTCCGATCAAAACGTGTGTACAGCTGATTGCTGTTTCTGGCTTAGTTTGTCTTAATCTGTGTGTGTAAAGCAATGCCTTACAGAACAGGAAATACAATTTAAACAGTAAATCATATCTAGTGATGTTTTCTTTCAAATTTCTACTGACTGCGTTGTTAACCTGAATTTGCTGAAGAGATATGATGTAATTTTTTTCTGTACATAATACATGAAAAAAACATTTCCTCTCGACTCGAGGCCTTTAGGATAAGTTGTTATCATTTGAGACCTATTGTAAATAAAGGGATCAAGATTCCACTAAATCCTTGCCTCAATTCTAGGCCGAGTATCTCCTACACTTGCGTACCAAATGATACTTCAAAGGCAGCACCATCACTGTGTATTTGGTAGCTTTAAATCAGTGTTGGCAGTACTGGAAGATCATAAAATGACCAAGATTCCGAACCTGCAAGCTTTATTACGCTCATTTTGGCTTGAAAATCTGAAGACCAAATTTCTACCCCCTGCATGGGATTGTGGTACTTCGATGTTTGCGTGGAACATTCGAGCCTCTCCACACATCATTGTTTTTCAACCTCACCAAGAAGACAATTTTTCTCTTGGCGCTTGCCATGGCGGCAAGAATGAGTGAGATTCATGTGCTCGACATCACTCGTGCACTTTTGAGTGGGGTATGCATGAAGCGGGTCCACCTCGGGTTATGCTGGGATTTTATAGCAACAAAAAACAGTTGCCAAGACAACCCAATTGTTCTTTCACTATCCCACCATTATCATCCATCGTGGGAGGGGAATACGAGGATGAACTCTTACTATACCCAGTGTATGCACTACAAGTTTTCATCCGCCGCTCCAAGACTAGGCATGGTACGCAGAAACGGTTATTTATCCCTGTTTCGGAGAGATCAACTACCGAAGTCAGCCTTCAGGCTTTGCCACCGAGACATAATAACCCCCAAGAAATTCAGGTGTTTGCCTTGACAATGGCTCTACACAGTAATTGTTCTATTAGAGACATTTCTTGCCTGGCTCAGTCTTCGCGGAATGTGACTTCAGAAGACGTCGAGGGTATGCACAGTTTTGGACTGCTGGTTGAAGCACAGCAGGTAATCAATCCGCTATCATGGCTTGGTTACCCACTTTCAGACCGTAGTGCATGCTATTGTCTTTTACTGTTTGTTTACCTGGATGTTCTCTAGTCTCGTTACCTTTCCGTGAACAGGATTGGCTGATCAGTTCCCAATCTGCGCATACGATTTGCCCTGTGCAGCTAACATGACTTTAAGTCAGTAGAGTTTTTATTGAATACGCATTTGAAGGTATTCCTGCCTCTATACTGTCGGATACAGATGCATTAATGAGTAATGCAGGATAAGTTATATATTCTAGTAAAATCTAGATGGTTTTTTTATGTTTGTCTACTTATCCTGCATGACTAGGTCTGAGGGCCCACCTGTCACAGACCTGCCGCCCAACACTATCTTCAGACACATTTCTTGTGACCATGGGTAATATATAGACATCATACATCTACCATTTCCAGTATGACGTGCAGGGGTTCCTGCTTCTGAATAGAACAGCACTTTTTAATTCTTCAGCAGGTGGGGTAGCGTAGTGGTTAAAGCGTTGCTCGTCATGCTGAAGACCAGGGTTCAATTCCCGACATGGGTACACTGTGTGAAGCCCATTTCTGGTGTCCCCCACTGTGATATTGATGGAATATTGCTAAAAGCGGTGTAAAACCATACACACTCACTAATTCTTCAGCATTCTTCACAGCTTCACTACAGTCAAAAGGTAATCAGTGATTGCATTAAGGAGTAAGGCAGGATAAGTATACAAATATAAAAAAAATCTTGATTTTACTAGAATTTCCAAGGAATCTTGACCATGTTAACTATGGGTAATGACTACTACTCTAGAATCGAAATAAAATTCATTTGACTAAAAATGTGATTGGATTTTAACGATTATCATTAGCCTCTATGTCATGATTTGGTAAAAAAGATTTGACAACTTGTCTGCCTACACTACACATTGCTCTAATGACGGGCAATGATCAGATTCGCACCAAGTTCATGCACAGAAAAGGGCTCATTTGTCACCCATGAATTCTTGTGCGATACTTGGTTAAAGATTCTTGGAGAGTTGTGTCACCAAGTAGTAGGTTGTCAGGTGTTTTTTTTCTTTACATCAGTTTATTATCTTACAATGACCTTCCAGGTGACTCCCAGGGCCCAGACCTGAATGAGGAAGAGGCAGAAGAGGTTACAGAAAAGATGGAGACAGATGCACAAGGTGAGACTCATGTGTATTGATCACAGGGTAGAATGTTCATTATTTGTGGGTAGTTACAATGTGTGACACATTGACGACCTGACCATGTGTCATTGTGCTTGAGGGGCGGTCGCATAGCCTAGTGGTTAAAGCATTCACTCGTCAAGCCGAAAGACCTGTGTTCAATTCCCGACATGGGTACAATGTGTGAAGCCCATTTCTGGTGTCCCCCGCCGTGATATTGCTGGAATATTGCTAAAAGCGGCGTAAAACCATTCTCTCTCTCACTCTCTCTCTCACTCACTCACTCACTTGAATATTTCTGACTGGTGCAAAACAACCAGCACATCTTCAGCCTTCAAGTGGATCAGTGATTTGTTCCCAATTATGTATAAGTTCAAGCAAAGGCATTTGTAGTATAAACATGCACGTGAAAAGTGAACCAGTTTAGCTGTTTCCAAAATAGGTCCTGTTCATAGTGGTATTAAGGATTTTAACTTCAAGTGGCAACATAGTAACAGTTGGGTTTATTCAATTTCTTTGTTTTTCAGATAAAGGAGCAGATGCTGATGGAAATATAGGTATGATTTTGTTGATATTGAATTAGAAAATCAGACATCTGAATTTCTATGTTTTTCTATGGTTCATATTTACTTTGAGTTGATTACCTGACAGCACTTTTCAGAATGTAATTTTTGTACATAGACTTAATACTATGAAGCTAGATATCAGACAATCTGTACATTGCGAACCTTTTTTGATCGGGATGGTTTGGAGAAACTTTATTTTCATCACATGGGTACATTTTGTGGAGCTTATTCTTGTTGTCACTTGATCTTGTTGTCACTTGATCTTGTTCTGGGAATATTACCAGAAGCTGCACAAAACCTTATGAGAGTACTTGATGTATTTTCACAATGAATGTCTTTGTATTCAGCTGATGAGTGGGAGAATAGTGAAGAAGATTCTGAACAGACTACAGACAAAGACATGGAACCTGAGGTACCAGTTGCCCCCAAACCAAAGAAGAAACCCCCTTCTGTGTCCTCCCTGGAACCCAAGAAGGAACATGTCAATGTTGTATTCATAGGACATGTTGGTGAGTGGTGCCATGTGAAACTGCCATGTAAGGAAATACATAGCTTCATCTTGATACAAAAGTGATGGGTCTGTTTTCAGTGAGATTCACTAATAAATATGTGTACAGTATTCGCCGTATTAAGGACCATGCTCCAATGAGCTCCAGACCCGTGAAGATTCTGGAGTAGAATAGGTCTTCTGCAACCAATACTTGCCATAAAAGGCGACTAACGGGATTGGGTGGTCTTGGTTGATACATGTCATCGATCCCAATTGCGTTGATTGATGCTCATAATTTCAATCACTGGATTGTCTGGTCCAGACTAGATTACTTTACAGACCGCCATCATATAGCTGGAATATTGCTGAGTGCCGCGTTCAACAACGAACAGAACAGAACCCCTGATCAACCTCTTGTAATGTAAGTAATCAGCGTGGTCTACAGTACCAAGCCTGAGAATTACTTAACAGGCTGATCTTTCTTGGTGTATATTACAGATTTGTTTTAACAGAAAACAGCACAAGAGGTACGAAATTGCCTAGAAGCTAGTTTGAATAAAGTTTTAGTTTCACAGATGTTTAAACTAAATATATTCTCAACCACTCAACTACATCCCCCATTGTAATGTTTCTAAGTGCCCAGGTCACATGTTATGGCAAATACAATAGGGATATTCTTCAGTTCATTTGTCAACACAGATGTTTACATTGAATGACAGCCCTAAATGTAGTGTATGTAGTATGGAAAATTTTGAATTTGATATTGTTTTAAATATGGAAGTAAAAATAAAGTGTTGTTCATCATTTCCTGAACTGATTAAACATAGCAGTACCTCAACTAAGGTTATTTCATGCAACAGTCTTTGTCTGGGTGTGATGTCATGCATATACATCTTAAAACTGCGTTATTCAGATGCTGGCAAGTCAACAATCGGAGGCCATCTACTGTATCTCACAGGTATGGTGGACAAAAGAACACTGGAGAAGTATGAGAGAGAGGCCAAGGAAAAGAACAGAGAAACATGGTAGGAAGGCATAAGAGTCATTTCAAAGTAAAACACAATTCATAAATATCCCACTGGAACTGGGACAGCAAAGTTTCTACATTTGTGAGAGCTGAATGTTTTTATATATATTCAGCATATTTAAGACAAGAATTTATTTGTATCATCCAATAGGTATCTGTCGTGGGCATTAGACACTAATCTTGAGGAGAGGGAGAAAGGGAAAACAGTAGAAGTTGGACGTGCTTTCTTTGAAACAGAGAAGAAACACTTCACTGTTTTGGATGCCCCAGGTCACAAGAGTTTTGTTCCCAACATGATAGGAGGAGCTTCTCAGGCAGACTTAGCAATATTGGTGAGTTCAACAGATAAGCTCAGTATTCTTAGTACCCTATGGGATCAGACGGCCACCATGAAGAGTTGTCCCCTAGCCATACCAGGATATGCTGATGGTAGGTTCTAATCCCCCAAGTACAATCCTTGGTTTTTCAGCATCCCATCCATTCTCATGAGCATTTACCAAATTGGTAAACATCTACGATACATGTTAATACTTGATGCAGTGCTGTATTTGAACTCACTATAGTTTCTTTAACCATGAATATCGGGTAAGAATAGGTTTTCAGCAACCCCTGCTGGTCATAAGAGGCGACTATGCTTGTCGTAAAAGGCAACTGACGGGATCGTTTGGTCAGACTTGCTGACTTGGTTGCTGCATATCATGGTATCCTAATTGCGTAGATAGATGCTCATGATGTAAATCACTGTTCAAGACTTTTACAGACTGCTGTCATATAGCTGGAATATTGCCAAGTGTGGTGTTAAACAACAGACAAGCACTTGAACACTGCAAGGACTACTGGTTTACCTTTTGGTGCTCAGAAAACAAGGCCTGAGAAATTTTGTCATGTAGTTAGCTACAATTTGATGGATGTTTTGTTGTACAGAAGTGATTCACTTGTACATATTGTCTACATTCTCGAATGTGTTGGTTGTTAGTTAAACATGTAACAAAATTCAGTTGTATTATGTTCATATTATATCTTTCTTGTTCATGATTGATAGAATAAATATCTGGGATGTGATGGAATGTTTTGTAATTCTCCAGGTAATATCAGCCAGAAAGGGAGAGTTTGAAACTGGGTTTGAACGTGGAGGACAGACAAGAGAACATGCTATGTTGGTGAAAACAGCTGGTGTTAAGCATTTAGTGGTTCTGATAAACAAAATGGATGATCCTACAGTGGAATGGTCAGAAGTAAGGTGAGGACACTAAATTGTTTGAGTAGTACTAGAGTTTACGTTTTACGTTGCAGTTACTCAAGATCATTTGACATATCTCTATCCATACAGGTGTAGGAAGTTTTGTATTTTCAAGAGCGACACAGGTGCCCTTTCACCAAAGGATGGTAGTGAGCTGTTGTCGTGTTGAAACTGTGCCGCCTTCCTTTTCATTGATATTGATACCCTAAGCTTTAAGCATGTTTATCATTTTCCATCTGTCACAGTTTTGTGTGGTTTGATATAATAAACACTGTCACAAGGTTACTTACTTTATGTGGCACTAACATACAAGGAATGTCAAACCCTGCTTTGATTCTTCTAGAAAGATAAACATTACATGTGTACTTCATTCAATAACTGAACTTCATGATACATGACATGATCTGTAATGTTGTTGATACTTTTTTGTTCTTTTTCAGATACAATGAATGTAAAGAGAAGTTACTGCCCTATTTAAAAAAGTGTGGCTTCAACCCAAAGACTGATATTTATTTTATGCCCTGCTCTGGCTTAACAGGAGCTTTCCTCAGATATGTTGTGGATGACAGTTTGTGTCCATGGTACAGGTAAGTACTGTAGATACCAGTCCTCATGGGGTAAATAATGCCAACTAGCCTACATCAAAATCAAGTTTTCACCCTTGCCCTTTCATGCTGACTTTTTTTGGCACAATCAGCTTGGCACCATCCTAAGTAAAAAGCGCAAATTGTGCCCCCTGTTATGAAAAGATTTAAATAGAATCAGATCGCTTTTCTTATTTCGAATGGCCAGACTTTATATATAGGCTAGTGGACACTCTTGCCGCCGGAATTTGGACCTTAATTGATACATATTGTTCTATAATCTCCAGCATTGCCAATGAGGATTGTTATCCCTGTCAGACAACACACAGTGTTGAAAACGCACGTCAGACTGAGGCAGATGCATCTCATATTGAATTTAATGGATGGTCATATGAAAATGTTTTCAGCTGTGGTAGGTTGAGTGAAGGGAGTTATCAGGAGTGTTATGTTTATTATTTGTTTGAGGTGATCATGGTGCAGCTACATTCAATCAAGACGATAATAGTTAATCATGCTGATACCTTTTTCATTATTTAACTAATAATTGCACTTTCAGTCTGAACTTAGGCATTCTTCTACTCAAAAATGTCATGAGACAATGTCAGTCCTTTGACGTCATTTTCAGATTTTAGATGTAAAAGGTTTCTATGATGACACTAACTATTCTCCAAGTAATTTTACTTTAATGTTAAGGCTCCAGACTTGTGGCTAAGGTTGCAGACAAAGTGCATAAGCAACTGATTGAAAATAGGGGCAGGCGCTATCCTTTTAACTGTTATTATTTCTCAGTTTTTAAATTTTAAGCTGATAGCTGTTATGTAACATGCATTTTACATGTGATTATATCATAAGCATTGCCAATGAGGATTGTTATCCCTGTCAGACAACACACAGTGTTGAAAACGCACGTCAGACTGAGGCAGATGCATTACATTTTGAAATACAGCTGCAATCAGCAATTTCGGGCCCCAAGCAGTACTTCATGTTTTGAATTATCCCATTTCACATATGTCAATTTATGTTGTATATCATTTAGCTTTTCAGAAAAGAAAAGCAGTGAACCAATTTACATCATGGCTTCAGCCCACTAAACATTCCGACATTTATACATCTTGTCTTATTAACATGCAGTTTTCGAAAACACAAGTGCTTATTAGATGATAAAACCAGAAAGTCTGGTGGTTCACGTTCCTTTTTTAAAGATAGTTATTTGTACTTCTGGTTTGTACCATGCTCTGGAACCAAACCCTACCCCAGTTTTCCTAAAAAGAAAAAAATCACCAGTTCATGGCTAGACTGATGTTTGTGCAAAGTTTGATCCAGAAATAATATATATCACTAAGCTTAGAAGTCATATTTTTAACTTATCCTGCATTACACTAACTGGACCAGGTGGTCAGGCTCGCTGACTTGGTTGATGCATGTCATCGTATCCCAATTGCGTGGATCGATGCTCATGATATCAATCACTGGATTCTCTGGTCCAGGCTTGATTATTTAAAGACCTACGTCATATAGCTGGAATATTGCTGAGTTCGTCGTAAAACAACAAACAAACAATTAAAAAAAATCATGCTGATCAATGCTGAGAAGTAGGAGTTAACTCTTTCAACACCAGTCAACCAGAAGCTTTAAAGACTCTGGGGTGAAAGATGAAGCCTAAATTTATCAAGGAAACCATCTGCTTGTAAAACAGCTTTGCTACGAAGTTTTCTGCACCATTCGAAAGGTCTAATCCTACTGTTTATGAATATGAAAGTTATGTTTATCACATTATTTAAATTATGCATTTACAACTTAATTAAATATATAATGGAAGCTAACACATTCATAAAACCCAGATTGAACACCAAGGAAGCAATATGTAATGCAGGATAAGTATATAAAATAGACAAAATACTCTGATAATGTAATCTATGGCAATAGGCAAAATATGTCTTTCAAAGGAATTATTGTTTTTATTATCTGCCCTTGGTCATAGGGCCTATGGCCTTACTTTACCCACACAACATACACATGCCACTTGTTATTGGAGCTATCTCAGGTAAAAAGTGGGAATAATAATAACAAAAATAATAATACATGTATAAATAGATGACGATTACAAATGGGCTTTTGGCCATTCTTGCTTGGAGCCTTAATTAAGAAGTTTCATGTGTCTATAGATAAATGTTGACTATAAGCAGCTGTTATATTCAGATTTTGTTTTTAGGATGTGCCATGAATAGCAATTTCTATATCAACTAAATGACAAATTATGTGAATTACAGATCTGTATTTATATAAATTCTTTTTATCCCCCCGGCATATAATGCCATAGACATAGACTCAATTGGGGATGTGGTTCATTTCCGCGGCAGAATTCGAAAACCATTCAGTGTATTTGATCGAAACTTGGCAAAGATATCAGGCACATACTGAAGTGGTGCCTTTTGATATTTTGGGGTTTTTCTAATTTTTATTTTTTGAAATTTTTATGGAATGAAGTTGGACTTAGGTTCTATAGGGTAGAGTTGGTTTCCAGAGCATAACTCAAAACCTATTCAAAACTTTCTAACAAAACTTTGCATGTCTATCAGACTCTTGCTGAACTAGCGCCTTTTGCTATTTAGGAATTTTTTAAATTTTTATTTTTTACGTTCCCATGGCAACAAGATGAATTTAAGTTTTAATATAGGGTGGGTTCACTTATGGAGTAAAACAAATAATCTTAAATATTTCCTTGCCAAACATTGCATGTCTATATATATATATAAAGCACATACTGAACTGGTGCCATTTGATATTAAGGAAGTTAATAAGTTTTAGAAATATTTATTTTAGAATTTCCATTGCAGCTATTTTGAAATGGGCTAAAAGAAATGTTGGGTCACTTACCTGGTTTGGGACCATAATGTGTTAAAACGGGCGGGGGATATAGATGACTTCGTGACTGTACGCTTGTTTAGTCATTGTTTCTTGTAATTTGTCATTTGTCTGCATTAAAAAAAACCCACAGAATAGCACATTTACTTGTGGTTACTTTACGGACAGCTGCCTGGGGGATATGTCATCTTTCTGATGACTCTTGTTTAATTCTATATAGTGTTTCATTGTTTGAAGCTTGGTTGTGATATGGACTTTGAAATTGACCTCCTTTGGATATGAACTACATGTTTGTACTCATGTTTTCAGCGGTCCCTCATTATTGGACTACCTTGATGCCATGCCGTCACTAGACCGGTCAATGGACGCCCCATTGCGCCTGCCAGTTGTAGACAGATACAGGGACATGGGAACTATTGTCTTGGGCAAAATTGAATCTGGATCAATAACGAAGAATATGACATTAGCCATGATGCCAAATAAGGTATTTCAGTAAGACTGTCTTTTTTGTGTCTGTCCCTGTGGTGATTCAGGGTCAGAATACAACCCCAGCGTCCCATGTTGGTGAAAGAGCCAACAAAAATAGTTGGTCTGGTTAATGATAGTAACATTCCAGTGGTACATTTCTGAAAAGATACAAGTCCAGGGATTCCTGGGACAAGTTGTTATTTTCTTCCTCCTGAAACATAGAGGAAAAGGTCGAGTATGGACCTTATGTATAGATAATGAACGGTCTTTCATCTCCAGCATTGCCAATGAGGATTGTTATCCCTGTCAGACAACACACAGTGTTGAAAATGCACGTCAGACTGAGGCAGATGCATAACAGATTATGATAAGACATTGTTACAATGTAACATGAACGGCTCTAGGTTTAGTGGAAGCAGCTGCTAAGAGTAATGTATTGAATGTCTGATGGATGCAAAGTAGTATTGAGTCATATCACATGTTAAACATGTTGATTTGAACCATTTAATATATTTAATGCTCATAATTAGTGAACAGGTAGATTGATTAAGTCTATCGTAATGAAAGATTTTCATATTGAGGCTTCTGACGAGTGGCTTGAGTTAAAATTGCATCATGTTGGATATTTCTTAGATAAATAGCGTTGTTTTATTGTTCAAAATATGATTTTTCTATGTGAACAACATGTCAAGATTCATTTACTGTAATGCTACTAAGAGTAACAGTGTGATTGGGGAAAACAAGTTAAAACAAGTTAAAAACTACAAATGATTAAAATAGTATTAACCCTTAAATATTTCCAGTTTTGCCTGTGATGATTAAAGTTATCCCTGTCAGATAAAGATGTTGACATAGATTATCTGAGGCAAATGATGATCTAAGCTCAATAACATTGAAAGAAGGATTACACACAAATCACTCACTTAAAAGGTCAGGACAAAACATTGTAAACATTGGCCATGGTGACTCCTGTTATTTTTCTGAGATATCAGTGAAATTTACTGTCTGTGTCATCCCATATTTTTCCATCAGCCATTAAATACTTTGGAGTGTGAGTAGTTCTATAATTTACCCTATGTTGGGTTCCCTAAAGCATCACCTGAAGTGAAGATCTGGTGGTTTATGGTACCATGACAGTGTAGATCTATACAGCACTAGATTTTCTGCCCAGTTATGATCATTTAAACACTGCTGTGATTTTTTATTGAATCTGCCTGACATTCACTTACTTCCAAACTTTGTTTTGCAGCAAACTGTAAAGGTAATGCAGATCTGGTCGGACGAATATGATGTTGATGATGCAATGCCTGGTGAAAACGTCAAACTGAAGTTGGCTGGTGTGGAAGAAGAGGTATGATGTTCTGCCAGAAACAAAAAAAATGTTCTCTTTTCTCAAAACAGGAACAATTGTGCTGGAACTTCCATGGTGATATTTTTGTGTGTAGGTGAAGTTAAATGGAGGTTTACAGTGACTTGGTTGAGTAAACATTTAATGTCTTATCAGCATTATTTCAGCCATATTGCAAAGTGACATGGTTGTAGTAGTGTTGCATCATATTTTGACTAATGTCTTTCACCAGTTCTCTGGTATTTCTCTCGACATGCTTTGACTCCCATGTTAATAGCAACCATAACATCAACATTTAATTTTGCCTGTGATGATGAAAGTTATCCCTGTCAGATTATGGACTGTTGAAATGTTTTATCTGAGGCAAATGATCAAATTTGCGCAGTTGTGGCCTTACTGTTAACGTAACATCCTTTATTGTGGCATTCTTCAAAGTTTTCCTGAAGTGAATTTTCCTTGAGTTTGTGTATTTCTGGGATTTTGTCTCCATTTTGGGCATTTTGGAGATAAATCTAAAAATGCAATACATTTTTCAGGGGCATGTGTGATGTTTGTTCACAACATGCAGCAAGTAAGGGGAAGCAGCTTAGATAATCGTAAACACTGGTGTCCAGAGTTCCAAGTTTACTGTATCATGAAAGTGAATCCTATCCAGTGTGTGGAGCTGTTCATGTGGGATTTTTCATATTGTTCTGTCACAGATTGATTCACTCATTTTACATACAAATCAACTTGTGATTTTACAAATTAAATGTGTTAAGTGTTCATTTGACCATTTGGTTACCTCGAGGGTGAAGAGGTTGGTGTCAGGTTGGGGATTCTCATTTGCAATTTCAAATTTTCACATGCCAGTATATGTTTTGTCCACCAATAATTTACTTTTTTTTGTCAATAAATCCTGCATATGATTTGAAATTATTTCATTTGAAACCCATAAACTTATGTCATTTAATGAGTGTTTGCCTTTGATGATGCAAGTTATCCCTGTCAGACTAGACTGGTGACAATGATAAACTGAGGCAAATATCTTTTTCAAAATTATGCACTATGTCCGGTAATTAAAAATAATAAAGAACAAAACATTTTTTAGGTTGAGGCAGTGAAAACCAAAATTGTGTCATTAAGACATTAAAGGAACTAATTCTAAAATATCTACCATGTAGAATTAACAAATTATGAAATATGGTATCATTTTATTGGGATTACCATATCTGAGCCTTTTTTTGATGTGAACACTTGTTAATTATATTATGTTGTTTACATGGTAAAAAGGATAATAAATTACAAATAGTAACCTAGCTATGTAAATATTGATATTTGAAATTGGAAGATTGTGATTTGAAAACATACCAGAAGTTTTAATATTTTCTCCATGACTGTAGTGCTTGTCTCAAACTGAAGATAATTGATGTTTTCTATATGATCCCAATTTAAAGAGGTTTCTCTGTATGTATGTTTATGTTAATATCAGCAAAATATTTTGTAAACTCTGCAACGATTAGTTTCATGAATACACTATTTGCAACTTTATTTTGTGTATATTATTATATGTGCAATTATTTTGCTAATATTGTAATAACTTTGTCAGTATAAGTTTTGTTGTGGATTAGTTTTGTGTATGGTGTAACTTTGCCAATGATGATGAAAGTTATCCCTGTCAGATTAAGACTGGTGACAATAGGTAAACTGAGGCAAAATATTGACATCAAGGCTTAGATCAACATGCATGGAAAAACTGTTAGAAATGAATGCTTGTCTCCCAGCCCATGTCATATAAAAGCTTCAAAGGGATAGTGGCCAGTGATTTATGCTTCTCACACAGGCGCACACCGTGGCACCTCAGAATAATTTATGACTAGTATAACATATTTACATATTGACAACCAGTGAATTGATTCCAACATTAGATCAAACGCAAGCTGTTAGAATTGGTTTCAATTGAAATCTGGTGTCTGTCATCTAGTGAATTAGGCTAGCCTGTAAACAAGGGATGTTTCTAAACACAACTCCTTTAAACATGATGCATTATTAATATTTCAGGATGTGTCGCCTGGCTTTGTCCTGTGCCCACCTGACAACCCATGTCATACAGGAAGGACATTTGATGCTCAGGTAAATTCACGTCCCTCTCAGGTCTATGGAGAATATATATGTCACCAGGTTTGCCAATGAGGATTGTTATCCCTGGGATATCCCTGGTTATCATACTCAGAATTGTTGAATACCTTAATTACTTCTATACTCTTTGGTGGTCTGAGGACACAGTAGGCCCGGTCCTCTAATCTTCTGCGATTTGCTATGAAGAGTTTGGTACTCCAGAAACTGATTGTGGGTTTGAATCCCGGTTCACCCTGATGTAATTAAGTTTGTCAATACTGTACCTGTGCTCAATAGTTTAACCAGAGTTGTCAACTTCTAAGACCTGCAGCACTTCAGCCTTTCCTGCCACATTATAGCTAATACTCCGTGATATAACTGGAATACTGTAAAACCCAACTCACTCACTGTGGGTGTTCCAGTTGTCTCATTCCACTGTTCAAGGCTGTATCACCCAGTGCCAAAATCCTGTGATAATTGTTGTGTTCGGTTTGGTTTGGTTTGACAGTACCATTCCCTTGCTTGTGTGTTTCACCAAACTGGTACATACCTAAGATATGGGTCACCCCAAGCTTCCTCCACTTTCCCCATTCTCTCCTTCCCCCCTGCCCCTGCTAGCAAAGAGTTGTTAAACCAAACTCAGTATCCAAACACCATTATTTTGATGTGATGGACATTTTGATGACTAGTCACAGAAATAAATTGGCTCTTACAGATTGTAATGCTGGAACTCAAGTCAATTGTGTGTGCAGGCTACAGCTGTGTTCTACACATCCACTCAGCGTCAGAGGAGGTCACCATCAAAGTAAGGCAGCTTATCATACTCACCATGTTGCATGTTTTGTTGACCAGTGAAGATCCGGTTCAGGATAGGTCTTTTGCTATCCATGCTTGCCGTAGGAGGTGACTATGCTTGTCGTAAAAGGCAACTGACAGGATCGTTTGGTCAGGTTTGCTGACTTGGTTGCTGCATATCATGGTATCCGAATTGCGTAGATAGATGCTCGTTATGTAAATCACTGTTCCAGACTCAAAATCTACAGACTGCTGTCATATAGCTGGAATATTGCTGAGTCTGGCGTTTAACAGAAGACAAGCACTTGAACACTGCAAGGACTACTAGTTTACCTTTTGGTGCTCAGAAAACAAGGCCTGAGAGATTTTGTCATGTACTTAGCTACAATTTGATGGATGTTTTGTCGGAAGAGGCGACTAACAAGATCTGGTTGTCAGGCTAACTGACTTGGTTGATGCATGTCGTTTCCCAATTGCATAGCTCGATGATCATGTCAATAACTTGGACCTTAATTGATACTATTTGTTCTATGATCTCCAGCATTGCCAATGAGGATTATTATCCCTGTCAGACAACACACAGTGTTGATAACGCACGTCAGACTGAGGCAGATGCATTACATATTTTAAAAAGATTGTCATTTGAAAATGTTGTCAACTGTGGTAAATTGAGTGAAGGGACTGTCAACATATAGCTGGGAAAATTACGGGGGGTGGGGGAGGCAATATATTAAAAGGTAGATAAACTGACATATTCCCCATTTTATCTTGTAAAATTACATGAGTAATAAGTATGAGTCAGGATAAGTATAAATGATATTTTTACTCTTAAAAATACAATTTTTGTATTAGATGTTTAATTATGGTGATCTTGTTTCAGTCACTGATTTGTCTTTTGGACAAGAAGTCAGGAGAAAAGACTCAAATAAAACCACGCTACATCAAGCAGGACCAAGTTGGCATTGCTAGATTTGAGGTTAATGGTGGAATGATTTGCTTAGAGTCTTTCAAAGATTTTCCACAAATGGGGAGATTTACACTAAGAGATGAAGGTATGTTGTGTCTTAATAATTGTGGCTCATTTATGTTTTTGCTGATGGTGAATGGCTGAAATATTGAAGCTGTCTTACGGTGATGTATTAACAGAGGCAGGTGCTGCTTTAGAAGCAGGTCTTATAATTTATCACTTTTCTTTGGACAGCATATATCTGGAATATTGTTGAGTGAGGTGTTCATTATAAACTTATCATTAGAGTTGTTTATTATTGTTCAAGCCATGTTGATAGATCCATAAAAAATAACCTTTACATTTCTTTCTTTTCAGGTAAAACAATTGCTATTGGAAAGGTGCTCAAAATCAGAGAATAATTTGTTTCCAAGGACACCAGACATATTCCATGAAATTGGTGACCAAAACAAAGACTGACACTCCACTGCATTATGCAACATGTTTCATTGAAATGTCAAGCGTGTCTTTCTCTATCCGAGCCTGCTCCTAGGCCTGCCATTGTGACTTCTTGAGCTAATTTGTGCTATACTTGGATTGCTTCCTCATCACTTTGGTTCCCCGACTGGCTCAGCTTGGTATTTGCAGTATACTCCAAAGTTTGTCACATGGATGATAAAGGTTATTTGTTGTCTGTGAAATACATGCATTTTTATGTCTGCTGTACAAAATCGCAGAGGCGTGTTCATAACTGCAACTTGATAAATTCAGTGATATCTTCAGTATCTCTCTATCTCGAGATAATAGCAGATGTTGATCACTGCGACAGTTAAAACTTACACCTTTCTGAAGCAGATGAGCAATCTTGGTCGACCATCTCTAATGGAACCAGGGACAGTTTGATGCAGATGTGTTTTGAGATCTGACTGTATGATGCCATACAGTTCTTCACAACAGCAAAAGACTGACTACTGAAGGATACACACAAAGTGTACAATCAAAATATATTTTTGCAATCTGTTTTAAGAAGTCCTACTTGTACATAATGATTCTGTTGATGCTGTTTTCTTTGTGCCCTGTAAAATATGTACACTAAGAGCATAGTAGTATATCTATAATAGTGCACAGTTGTTACACATTTTGTTTATTATTCTGAGCTGGTAGATATGGGGTTTTGGTGGTCACATGCCACTGTTTGTTCAAGGACATTCCTGTGCCGGTTTTTTTCTGTTGATTTGAACTAGGTGAAAAGTGAGAAATTTAAGTTGACTAATGCCAAACTGCTGTCATATATCAGTCTAAATGTACCAAAACAGAATGAGGACTGTTGTGTGATTAAGTCAGTGTTTTGATTTTTTATATGGTGATGGTTTGAAGTTTTATTCTAAGTAATCTGTGATTCAGTCATCAGCAGTGCAGATTTTCAAATTACCTGTTGAAATACAGTTGTCCTATAGCCCAACAACCCCTTTGAACAGCAAAGTTTGGACCTGTCCATTGATACATAACCATTATGAGGTGTTGAAGTTTCATAGTGTGGGAAGCAGTTGTAGGATATAATGTACATACCCCATCTAATGTTACAAGCTTCTTGGGTTATGTTGATGTACATTCACAGGGCAATGTATGAAACTTCATGAAATCTTTACAATTTGCTTATAAATGCAAGTGTAAATAAAGAATATTGCAAATTAAAAAGAATTTCCATGAACAAACGTGGCTTTGAGTTTTTCTTAAACCATGTGCTGTAGATTTGCCTCTTCCATATGTAGACCAGATACTCATATATCTTGAACTACTGTCCAGTTTTGAAGTGGCTGATTTAATGTTAGTCGTTTATTCGCTTGTTCTGATGCCATGTTTTAAAACCTCTTTTTTTCCCACTACGCCAGGTACAAAGTGCCACCAATATTCCAACAATCTTTCCTGCCTTGTAATAATAGCATGTGAAATCTTGATGTAAAAAGCATTAATACATTGCTTGCATTAGGACAGAGGATTAGTAAGGGTTGTTAGTAAGTATACCGGGTAAACTCAAATTTGTTTCATGAAACTTATTCATCAAAACCATATTTTGTAGGGCATAGATGGTAATTTTGTCTAAAAATGCTCATTGTTGCGAGTTCTATTGAGCCCTGAATTTTCAGCCTAGTTTGTGAAGAGCTGAAGATTTATCTTGGGCATACAGTTTTTGTAAATTTTGAAGTATAACTCAACACTATGTTTAGCAGTATGACTCCAAAATATTTCATGGGCTCCGTTATCTTTATACAACCATAAGTAAGAATTGGTTCAGTCAAAGCTCTGTTGATTTCACAATGTTCTATTTGCTTCAAAACTGTTTACCCAATGACCCACTGTCATACAGTTGCCATCATTGATATATATACATTTATATCTGTTGACCAAATTTTCTAGTTCTCTCACATTAAATGTGATCACAAAATAATTATTGATTTTGCTGTAACATTTTTTGTGTGAAGTTATACTGAATTTATATAGTTTGATGTCAGTCAGCAAATATTCAACTAAAGATAAGGAAAATAAGACTGTGGCACCATTTGGACCATTTTCATTTCATGTAAACAATTAACATATTCTAGATCTAGATACCAATTAGCTCTCAGGGATTTTATTCCAAGTACTTATTTTTAATTTACTGAAAATGGTTGTGCTTGAAAGCAAGGGGTTTAAGTCAAGTTTGGTGTTGAAAGATGTGTTAAGACACCATATTTCAGTGCATCAATTTCCTCTAGTCAGACCTTTTATTACTGGTATCACTACCAGGCAGTGTTAAGTAATTAAACACAAATGCCAAAAATACAATAGTAGTTACGTCTGGCTCTTGATTCCACTGTCTACCACTTTTCACTCTCAGTGCATATAACTTGGATAGATTGCCTTCTACATGCCACGTTCAAACGGTGTTGGTTGTTTTGTTTTGAAGCTTTGTACATTCTGCATAGTAAATATGGCAATAGCTCACATTGAGCGAATTCCATCATTCAAGAAGGGAGAAAGTGTACAAGTTACATCATTCATTTTATAAGTATTACTATGTATATGAGGCCCTGAGCCCAGATTGTGAAGTAACTGTCACAATCTGCATGCTCTCTCTTCAGTGTCCACCTCAGAACAGGCCAGCTGAATTTACGATTCATGTTGGGTTTGAAACTTAAGGCGGTTAAGAAAAGTATTATATTAACATCTTGAAACATCTGGACAGCTTACAAGAACAATATTTATTCCTTTTCTCTGTGAAATGGGCATTTTGGACGTTAAGCTGTTCAATTTTTTGGATTTGCAAGCCTGTTTCTAGAGTGGACACTGAGACGATTGTCAAATCTATTATATTTTATTTAACATTGGGTGTATGATTCTGTGTGACTTTCGTTAAACAAAACATTTACAAACTATTGTCTTTCCATTATGCTGTAATAGACTCATTTTTGGCAAAATGTTGCTTACTGTTGCGGACTTTGACCTGATGGAATTCCTGGTGAGCTATTTTTCCTTGGCCAGTACACATCAACACTGGGAACGGACTGATGTCCCCATGATTAACTATCCAGTGATATTACCAAAGTGAGGTCATGTTTTGATTCTAGCTGGAACATTTTTCAACAGTCAGGTCAAGGCTTTCCAATGGTGTCAACCAAGGCCATGTTTTGCCATGAAACTGGCAGCCAGTTTGATTCTTTGACACTGGCCTTCTTGTAATGGAATGCTTCTCAATCTGCTGAAAGAGTGTTATAAGCATTTTTAATTGATCATGAATAAAGAATCTGTCCACACCCTTTGGAAGTGTGTAGTTTTGTGTTTCAAAGTTTGTTTCGGGGGTTTAAATAAAGGTGCTGTGTAAAGCTGTCTGTGTTTGCAAGGAACTGTTCTCACGGAATCCCAGATTCTACCTCGTTTATGGTCAGCTGGCGCCACACCTGTGCTTGTGGGTTTGATGAGGTGATGCCTTCAACCTTTGTCACCTTAGTGTTTCCTCCCAATAGTCAGTCAACCATCATTTTTGCACCCAGCTTTTCACAACTATGTTCCATGAACCACACTATCACGCGATCAAAGTTGTTTATTATCAAATAATAATCATTGACCAAACTAGAATTACCAGTTTTGTAATATTTCAAGTCAAAAGAAAAAATATTCTTCATTGTTATGTAATTTTGTGACCGCCAAAAATGGCCCTGTAGTGGGGGTAAGAACAGACGATTTAACGTCTTGCTTCAGTGACAATGCACAATGCTAGGTCGTCTTAATATCCAGATGGGGCAGTCGGGTAGCCTAGTGGTTAAAGCGACCGCTCATCATGCCAAAAACCCGGGTTCGATTCCAGACATGGGTACAATGTGTGAAGCCCATTTCTGGTGTCCCCTGCCGTGATATTGCTAAAAACGGGCGTAAAGCCATTCTCACTCACTTAATATCAAGCCCAATGATGAGGGAATGTCTCCAAAACATAAACATGTTAAAATGATTTTTGACATGAGATAATGAAAAATATCTTAGCATATGAAAACCTTATTTTGCCTAGTCATGCTCTTATTTCAGGATTTTCTTAAGCTTTCTAGAAGAAATAGGTTCATTTTTCCAGAGAAATCTATGCATCTCATTTCTCAATGCCCTCTTGTTGAAATTTGCCTACTTGGTTTGGGAGTGCCCCCTTAGGTACATCATCTGTAGGTTGCACAGGCTTATCAGGGGATATAATTCGGAATACATTCATAAGAGATGTGTTAATTGCATGCAATGTTCTCTTGCTGAAACAGAGCTATCAAGCGTTTTTCTCTTTCTGATTCACGTTTAAAAAAATGCACCTTATGAATAATGTCAGTCATGTTTTAACATATCTTCACGTTACACAAGATTTCTCGCTCATACCTCGACTGTTGGTATGCTACAACCTGGGGTGAAGACCTGACTATACCAGTGCACAGCCACACCCAAACCATGGCCTGGCTATACCAGTGGACACAGCCACACCCAAACCATGACCTGGCTATACCAGTGCAAAGCCACACCCAAACCATGGCCTGGCTATACCAGGACACAGCCACACCCAAACCATGACCTGGCTATACTAGTGCACAGCCATACCCATCGCAAGTGAGTTCACTGACTATAAAAGTCCAGTTTCCACCCTTGCCGAACTAGGCTGGTATTATGGAGTTACATTTTGGCTGGACTACCAAACCATGACCTGACTATACTAGTGCACAGCCACACCCAAATCATGACCTGCCTATCTTGGCATACGATACTCATGAGAGTGGCACACAGTGAGTAATTAACTATAAAGAAATGCAAACTTTAGCGACTTGTGGTGTAACTACAGACTAATGAAAATAACAATGTATCACGATTAACCACGGGTCCAGGTTGTCCTGTGGGTACCCAGGTCCTACTCAGGACCCACCAGACCCGAGTCCCATCTCTATTATTCAGCATGACGAGAGTTACTGATCCACTAGGGTACTTCCAGCAGCACAGATGGAGTAAGGAACTCTACTCTTTTGCGATAAGATTGGCAGTGTTCACATCAAAACAATACATAAAGATCTTTCTCCGTAATAGGTCTAGCATGAGTGAGTTTTATTGCTCTAACGCTGCTTAGAATAGTACTCCAGGTGATCATGCAGGTCTTCAACATTTACCACTACGTGAAACCCATGAGCATGGGTATGGTGTTGACAAGCCTGAAAACAAAGCTCTTGCATGACATACAACTAAAAGAGTTTTTGGTTATCACTGATCCAGAAAAGTATACATGAAAAGACAATAAAATACCGTCATTTATAAAATGTGTTTATTCTGATCATTTGTCACACATCACCCTACAACTAAAATGACTGCAGTTATGATTGCAACATGAATTTCATACTGCTCTGTACATAGAACATAAACCCTTCGCAGCCATCATTGCCCCAAACACAATGGAACATTTTCTTTGCATAAATACTCCAGGAAATATACAACCAGTACAAAATGAGATATGAGCGAAAAAGTTTGCAGAAGGAAGACCAGCAAAAATGATTTATTCAGAATGGTTTGTAAAACTGATACGATACCAAGTCATGGACACCCCTATTAGACAACCGTACTTAGTCATGTACTAAATACATCAGCAGGATAGGTCAACCTAATGTTTCTGGGTAAATTCTGTCTCCCAGCAAAATAAATATGTCACCAAAAAAAGAAAAAAAACTGCAATGGGAGTGATGCTACAAAACCAGTGAGAATAGACGACAATGACAGGCAAGGACAGGTTAATTATTTCTAGTTCTATAGTTTGCGAATAGTCAACAAGAAATGCTGTTTCATTGAAATCAAATATGTGTTTAATAATCAACACTAACAAAACATTCTAAAACATTTTATTTATGGCATGCTTAGGGCACAGTGATCAAAAAGATGATCCATAAAACTAGGAATTAAATTGGTCTTGCCTAACATATAACATAATGACATTTGACTGCTTAGTCTTCAAACCAGTCCTGTTTTTCAGGAACCCCAACATCAGCAACGCTGAAATGTACATAAGCTGGATTTCATCAACAAAAAGGTTTTTTAATAAATTTATATGACATGATTCACCATTTTTTTTATCAGCAAGAGTGAACTGTGGTTTAATGCTGCTTGTTCACAGTGTCTATGTCGGTCACAAGTGTCAGTCACAATGTAGGAGTGATGCCAGTCACACAGTCGGTGGTAGTACCACTTTGTGAAATCCATGAACACGGTCCTGGTGACAACACACCAAGGACCACAGTTGGGTGAGACTTCACCTACAAGTAAATCCTGGCAGTAAAGGGGAAACAACTGCACAGTGAGTGTCAGTAGTGTCATGGTAATGTCAATAGTTGGCTATGAAAATGAGACCTGGCTCTCAGGCATTGGTCACAGCTGTGAACACACACACTTGTGTTTGCTGAAACCAGGCTGCTATGTGATTTGATGTGGTAACTGTCTGATCAACTGAACAGACAGGACGATGAATCCAGTCAAGTAACATACATGTATTTTGATACACTTACTATGCACATACTATCATTTTAAAGTGATGCATTTTTTGTTTATTTGACACACCTTTTTCCCTTTTCTAGTACGTTTCATGATAATCACAATTCCCATGGAATTTTACTTTTTTCTGTTGAGTACATAAATGCAAAGTAGAACAAATAATTTGTGGATATTCTGTACCTGACCTTGATAAGATGAATAGACTAACATTAAGAAAGACAAAATGATTCATCAGATGGTTGCCAAAGCTACAACTGCATCAGATTATACATGAATTTTGTAGACATGATTCAAACAATTATCCAGAAGCACCCCAGTTCAAGATCAAGTTTGTGAAGCACAATCTCATCCAGAGGTAATCTGCTTGAAACAAAACTTCAAAAGTCATTAGACTGAAAACCATATTAAATTGGACGATTCCAAATTTACTACCCGACCCCCCATTACCCGGGTACCCACTGCAAGTCTCAAGAGCAGGGAACAAAATGTCTGATTGGTAATTGTTTTACAGCATCCCTGGCTAAAACTATTTAGATACATGTATCGAACAATCAGATCATGCTTTCACTGAAGTTGACTGAAGCTTAATCTTTACTCAAACATATAGAAGTCAAAAGAAATGTGTGCATCGTCAGAAAGAAATGCGAACATTAGCGACTCGTAGCGTAACCACTGAGCTATAGTGGGTTTTTGTCATTGATCAATATATCACGTGACTAACCAGGCGTCTGGGAAGTCCTATGGGTACCCGGGTCCTAGTCAGGACCCACCTGACCTGAGTTCCTGAGTTACCCGTCCCAGCCCTACTGCATAGCTGTTATTTACATCCATAGTTTCCAATATTCTACTCCTGTATACGGTGGGTGGCAGAAAAGTTCTACGATGAACTGCGTTGATGGAGTTGGCTGCTGGTTAATTTTCAACATAATCTCCTCTAAGGTCCACACACTTCTCTTATGATGCTTGAGTGCCTGGATCGCACTGGTGTAGAAGGCTGCCCCCTTGTCGGGTGAAATCTGATGAATACAGATGTTCAATGAGTTCTAAATCATAGTCATGCATTGGAGCCATGGCAACAACAGACTTGTGTAAAGATGCATTGACCACCAGTAGAATTCCTTTGGAATCCCAGAAAACTGAAGCCATCACCTTGCCAGCTGATGGAACAGACTTTGCCTTCTTTGGAGAAGACATTACATGTTTGAACTGCATTAAAAGTTATTTAGTCAAGAACCCAAGACTCATCCATGGTTGCAAATCCCTCAACAAAATAAGCTGGGTCCGCATCAAAATTACATATAGTCTCACAAGAGATGATGAACCTGGAGGTTTTCTGATCAGGAGTCGGAAGCTTAGGATCCCAGCCTGCTGAAACCTTTGTCATGCCCAGTATCTTCCTCAGAATGTCAACTCTCTCATGAGAGATGCCTACTGTATTGGCTATGTGATGTGTGGTAAGTTATCGATTATCCAGAATCAAATCATGAATCTTGTCAACATAAACCTTAGCCATGGAAGTTGAAGGTCTGCCTGATCATGGATCATTTTCGATGCTCTCTTCCCTTCTTGATATCTCTGCCGCCCATCTCTCAAAACAGTGGCAAAAGAAGGGGCATCATCGCAATGATTAGCAAGAATGAGCATCACATGATGTACTCAGTGAAGAACTCATCTAGGTAATACTGGCTTAGATAATGTCCCTATTCCTAAAGCCTGAAGCCTGTGTTCAGTAGTGAAGGTATTACAGGTCAGTATAGGTCACCCCATAGCTGGCTGGCACAGGCAAGTGAGCTGGGTTTAACACTGCTTTCAACAGAACTTCAGTCATATTGCTGAGTTTCAGTTTCAAGTGATGCAGGGTACAGATGTTTACCACACTGAAGAAGCCGGGAGCACAGGTTGGGTGCTGATGACCAAGCATCATCATCAGTGTATATCTGGGGATCAAACTCACGGACACCTAATCCTCCATGCTGCACGAAGGGACAATTCAGTGTCATGGACAAGGGAATACGGATTATCACAGAAAATGATCAACTTGTTCTTTAAACAAAATTCTAATCATACATTACATTCATTGTCTATTTCCCTAAGGGATGAAGGAGCAGGGAGTGTGACAGCTTTACCCCTATTAACACAAGATCACATGCAGATTAGAAATAGAAGTTTCATTCTACATTCAATACATACACAAGCATACAGTTGAACATCATTGTGTCAAACTCTGTGGGTGGAATTCTTGGTTGTCTGATTGTCCCATACCCGCCATCTCTCCAGTATATTGATCTTTTGTTGCTAGTCTAATATGAACTTTTCTATACAGTAAGGTATTGTAGTGCACACAGATTCAAGCTCATATCATTCTTCTGTTGTTGTGAGTGATGCTGAGAAAGTATTGATCTGTTTCAAAAAGTTTATAAGTTCTGTACATATAAGTTGATCTTTTTCTCAGGTCCTGTCAAGTTTGACACAACAGAGCTCAACTGTTTCTTGTCATGTCAACTGGTTTTGTACAATATCATCACTTCTCAGTGTTTGATTACTGAAACAAGCTACAGAATACAACTAAGCATTTTCAAAATAAATGTAAAAAGTTACTTTTTCAAGTTTAGGTTTCACATAAGACTATCTAAATCTCTGTAATTAGTAAAAGAAATGTATTAACATAAAATACTATCTAAAATGCTACTTGTCAGAATGTGAATGCTAACAATCACCAACACTTCATGTCATTTTCCAACAAATATAATACATTAGCAGGATACAAAATGAAGAAGCAGAAAGACATGATTTTAATAAGATTACAGGCAGACTTCCTTGAAGCCAGTCAGTATCGGGCAATGTCCAACTGAGAAGTAAGCTCACTCACACCTATTCTATTATCAGAGCGGAGATAATAAATATATATATGATAACATATTATGTATTTGCATGATTAGGTTTGTTTTCTTAAATGTGTAAGTGAGTGAGTATTGCTTACACCGTTTTCAGCAGTATTCCAGCCATATCATGACAGGGAACACTAAAAATTGGCTTTACATAATATACCCATGTGGGGAATAGAACCCAGGCCTTCGCCATGACAAGCAAAAACTTTAACCACCAAAAATGTATATAGATATAGTCTTTGGGCTACCCGACCGCCCCTGTTTTCTAAGGCCTTCTGTTACATGTATGGACACTCGTTTGACCATGTTGACCAGAACACTTCTTGTTGTACAGGTTAACCCAGTCAATGTTCAGACAGAGTAAGCAAATAACAAAGAACATAAACACATTAGGTTTGGTTTGAGATTACCTTCCTAAAAAATATTTTTAGAAAAATAAAATTATGATAAAAATTATTTGTATTATTAGTTCAGTTACATATTGTCCAGGTTTAAACTCAAACAAGAATTGTTTTGTCTTGACTTCAAACAATAAAAAAACACAAGACTACAAATGTGGGAACACAATTCAAATAAGACTGAGCAGTGTTCAAAACTAACAAAGGTCTGCTAGCGACATTAGTCAAGTTCAGGAACGACAAGTGACATTTCTTGTGGACTACCATTTTTACCATTAGGTAGGTAGATGGCAATTCTGTAGCAGATCATTCTTGTGGACAAGCGAAAATAATAAATAATTTCGAACCTTTCAGACAAACTGTCTACCCTGTTTGACAACCTATCTACAATTGCCTAACAGTAAATAAGCTCTAATTTGTCTAGTCTGTACAACCCAATTTTACATTATTATGAAAAACATTCCATTCACACAGTGTGCAAAGTAATCGACAGGATTTCATCCAATACATGCACATTCATGAAGACATGATAAAGAAACAATAAGTAAAACACAATAAATACCTCGAACATATACACAACTAAGCCGATCAGATTCATTATTCCAAGAAATTCCCGATGGATGATTCACATTGTCAAATAATCATGACTTGTGGCTCTGAAAGTCTTACCAGGGAGTGTACATAGACTTTGTATAGTCTCCCTGGTCTCACTAATCTTAGAGGTTGTTATGACATGCTACCTTATGTGTCAATACATTTCACAACACTTACGTCATGACAAGGTATGTATGGGACTACCTAATTCAGGTGTCAAATTCTAAATGTTCCCTGTGGCTGACTATCAAGGGATTGTCACTATCAACCAGTTAGTGTTCAACTTGCATGTGTGCTTCATGTAGGCTTGCTCTTATGGTATTATGTAGTCAGATTTTGAAGTTTGTTTTGTGGTTAGTGGCGATAAGCTGTAAATGCTAGACTTTGTAGCAATACATGTACTACTTTTTGAAAATATAAACAGAACTAAATCAGGAATCGATACATTAGGTTAAATTTATGATTCATCGATACAATGGTGAATCAGGGAAAAGCTTAAACCATGGTCAGCAGTCAAGGAGGGGCAGCAATATTCTGCTTCATCACATCTCATTAATTTGACTTTGTCCAAAACTAGTACAAGTGTCCTCAAAACAATGGAAACAATAATATGCACAAAAAGTTTAAAAATTCTTACGATAATACTGTTTCAATTAAGGATTCTATTTTTCAAACAATTCCTAGGACCAGTGTTTTATGCTGTTGGAGCCTGATTACTCTCCAGAAGGTTACAACATTTGACATCCATTCCCTCGTACAGAAGACTACTGCACAGTGATTGGAAGAATTCCCATACAGGTAAAACATTTTCTTAATATCAATATTTAAAACAGTTTTTATCAATGTTTAAAACAGTTATTTTTGTCGATGTAACTAGAGGAAGTGAACCTTGGTCAGCATGCCAATCAAACCCACCTCCCACCACCAACCCCCATTATGTGCCGCATCCCCCTCGGTACCGTCAGGTAAACACAGGGCATCCCTCATCCACTTTACTGGACCCTGTACTATCAAGCAGTAAATACTATAACATATTTCATTAATGCATTTTAAGTAAATAAATCATGGAGAGTTGAATTAAAACATACAGACAGACAAATAAAAGACAGCCTTCGAAGACTTTTCACATGCTGCCTCATCCCAATAAAATGCTATCACCATCATGCTCTTTTTCTCCCCTTCTCTCCAGTCATATGGGTAAAGTAGCCTCAAGTATTAACATATGACAGAGGGTAAGATATGAGGTAGCAGTACAAGGAAGTATGTGACTCTACAACATCAAGCTGCTTAGACACCAGAGTGAAGCCCTAATATTAAACTGACTGCATCATCAGCATTGGTGTGGACCATCTTCCAAGGCAAGGGAGTAAACTGACTGTATAAGTCCAGTTTCCACCCTTGCTGAACTATGCTGGAATTCCGGAGTTACATTTTGTCGGGACTAAAGAGTCTATGCATAGTCCAATCAAAATTGTGCAACGAACTAGATATCCGGTTCATAACAGCCAGGTCAGTTAACAGCCTTACCTCGGGAGATGTGGTGTGGACTTTGGAGTAACAAAACTTATGATTTTTCAATGCTTCTTGGGTTTAATGGTTTGATTGCCAGATACCAGATGTACCAATAGTTATACACTGGTATCGCATACAGAAAAGGAAATTCATTGCAACATACTGTCATTTATTTTGAATGTTTCGTTTTCATGATAGCTACCATTAAGTATGTGTTCCGATCACCCAGTGAGAGTTACCCCCTTTACTTAGGTCTCACAGCTGTACAAGACACTCCAAGCTGGATCAAACACTGTGTATGCAGTGACATGGCTCCAGACAGCTTTCAACAATCGAGACCACCACAAGGAAATCCTGTCATGCCATTTTCCTGCCTGTGGTCTATGCTGGTGCAGAGAGGTAGCAGTGCCCAGTTTCCTGTATACAGCCATGTTGGTGAAGAGAGGTGGCCTGGCCATCTTGACCATTGTTGACCAGTACAATCATGGCATGATTAAGTACATAGTACAATTACTGAAGGCCACAAAGACATTGATTCATTTCAAACATTGAAAACACAATCAACATTGCATCTTCTATATACATATATATATGCCAATGACAACATAGATGAATCAAGTGTGTGAAAGAATTATGGTTTCAAAACTAAATGAGTCATAAAATGTCTGCACATAAGTTCCAGCCAATCGCCTACTTCAGGGCCTTCCACACACAATGACTGTACACTATAACACATGTTCTATCACAGCTGGCCAACAAAACGATATGTGGAATGTTTCAATAGGATTAAATGAACTCGATGCCTTCATATTTTACATTACCAATAATCTGTTCCGGTAGTAAGATCTTACCATAGATATTAAATACTAAAATATATGATGCTACTTTTCCACCATCTTCTTCAGACTTTAGAGCCACAACAACCAAGTCGTCGGTGCCAGGTACAAATTTGAATGAGGAAAATCCATGGGTTGGATTCTCTTTTCCAATTCGTGTCACTTTAATTTCTTGAAAGTTCTCGTCTGCAGAGATCAACATATTAGTGGCTCGTCTCTCGTCGGACACTTCATCATATTTTTCCTTGCTTGCTCTCCTGGGCAGGAAGAACCATCGGTTGTGGATCTCACTCCAAACTCCAGATTCGTGGATAAGGTAACCTGTGACAAGAAACAAACATGAGAAAGTGCTTTGAATAGTATTTCAGTTATTCCATTTTTCTAAAATAAAATATTTTCAAATTCTTTTACGATATTAAAACCAATTCATACCAAGTAGTGTCTGCTTATCACTGGAGGATGGCATGAAGTCGGAAAGATTGTTGACATTTATCAGTTTGGTGAAACCCAAGAATATGATGCTACAGAGGAATGATCATATTCATAATCAGACTGAAACTGGGATTTTGCACATCCCTTGCAACAGGGTAAGGCCTACACAAGGACAAATAACTTGTATTTCTCATGGTCCAATAATCATAAAAGTCACTAATACGAACTGTCCAATTGAAATCAACCAAAATAGATCAAGTGTGAAAACAAACCTTGTGCTGTGAAACCTACTCGTTTAAAAAAGTAAACAAAGCAATCCTACAATTTTACATCACACAGCATTTTCCATCTTTCAAGAGATCCATTCATCTATTTGTTGCATACATTTGGCTAAGATTGAGAAAATGAAGGCCAAGAAAATTGTTGCAATAATCGGGGATAATAGATTACAATGATTTTGAAAAATAACAAATCATCATGGTCTCAAATCAGCATGAACCCATGACAGATGCAAAATCCTGCACAGTTGTGGTCTTATCTGCCTCTCCAACGTAGCTTCAAGGTTAGTATGGAAAACAATAAAACAAACAGAAATAAGTTGATTTTCAGACAGAATTTAAGTAGGGAAATTTATAGTTTTGATAACCTGCTGCTTGTTTGAACATTGCTGACAATGCTGGAATTTACATCCAGTCGTATAACATATTTCCTTCCTAAGATGTAGTGGGAATGTACAAATACAACTCCATTTTAATTAGTTTTTTTAATAAAAAGTAAAATACACTTTTTCGAGGAAATTGGCCATATTTTACTTAAAATATATATGTTAATTGAAGGTGAAACTTGAGGACAAGGTGTCATTACTTAATCCAGTTAATCACAGTGCTCCAGATAAAGGTCTTATCGGCATATGTACGGATGTAAATATCCATAATACGGTGGGGGATAATTTAGAAGATGCATCAGATACGCATCACAGCATACATGTATGCTCTGACATTCATTCATGGACGTATTTCCCAAAAATGATTTTCTGATTTCAAGCAGCGTAGTTTCTTGAGGTGAACACACTTTTCTCCAAAAAACACAGGTGTGTAACAGTTTTGATGGTTTTTTCCCCCTTTTTTTCCCCAACGCAAAGATATTACAGTGAGCATGTATGACCTGAAATACCATGTCAACACATCAGTACTGAAGTACACAAATAAATCATGTAAGTACACTGTCTGGTGCATTGTATATCTGGACTTATGTTTGTAACCTATCTTAGTAATTTATTCAAAATTTCATTCAGTATTGTTCACATTAATTTTGGCGAAATCGAGTTATTGGTAGATCGCACAACTCACTGTGATACACAGCAACAATGGTCAGATAACTGTTATTGATGCCTTGAACAAACTTTAATTGACAGAGAATGGATACATATACTCAACAACAAAAGTTCCTGTGTCACCAATATTTTAGTGTATTTTTCAAACAAGTAAAGTTTGGTTTTCAATATTGTAGTACATGTATGGGATCAAGTTCCAAAAACGTGTCAATGTGATGTTGCAAGACAATTTAACATCCACAAAACACCATTTGGTGTTTATGGCAACGTTGGCAACAGACGAATGCAGTCAGAGACCATCCTCGGAGTGGCAGGCCATCCGTAACCAAAAATCAAAAAGACAACTGGATTCGAACAACACACCTAGGAAATTGATTCAAGCCAGCAACAGTGACTGCAAGAAGCATCCGTGGCCTTCGACGAATATCTTCACAAACCGTATGTCGTCAGTGGTGCAGACAGCGACTACGCTGGACGGCCATGTAGTGGGGACAAGTTCTATTCACTGATGAGTCTCGTTTTCACCTCAGCAACAGCGATGGACGGATTCGAGTGTACCGACGTCAAGGTGAACGTTACGTCAATCATTGTGTCATGGAAGAAGATCGGTTCGAGGGCGGCAGCGTTATGGTAGGTATGGTATGGGATGGGATGGGATTGCAGCAAGACAGAGGACCCGTTTGATAGTGGTAGAGGGAAATCTGAATGGACAGCGCTACTGCGACAAGATCATCGGCCCTGTTGTTCTACCGTTTTTGCGTCGTCATGGCCCAGGCATTACCTTTCAACATGACAACGCCCGGGCTCATATTCCTCGACTTGTTCATGATTCTCTTCAACAAAACAACGTGAATGTCATCCCCTGGCCAGTTCGCTCCCCTGATCTCTCACCAATCGAGCACATGTGGGATGAGATGGATCGGCGCCTTCGACGTCAACCATGTTTTCCACAGACACTCCAGGAACTTTGAAACATGTTCCAGCAGATATGGACAGATATCCAACAGGACTTTGTGCAACGCCTGGTCCATTCCATGAGACGAAGATGTGTTGCTTGCATCACAACCAGAGGTGGACACACATGCTATTGATTTGTAAATTGACATTTTGGCATGTTCATGTTTTTTATGAAATCACACATTTTCTGAAGTCAGTATGGCAAATTAAACCATTTGAATACTTACAAGAGTCTTTTATCTGTTGCAAACCGAAATTGTTTCAGATTTGGTAAAAAACATAACTTTGCATTAAATCTTATTCAATGTCACAGGAACTTTTGTTGGTCAGTATATATCATAAATGCCATACTTTGACTCTTTAAAAGTCATATTTGTTGTTGATTGACTGTTATATGCCAACATAGAGTTTTCGCAAGCACGAGCGTGACTGGTTATATTGTTCCATATGTAAACAATATCCGGCAATAGTGATCAGCTGTTCTAAAGTGCTAGCCTATGGTTATTATTATTACCATAAATAATTATTGTAAACATGGTAAAGCTGCAACTAGAATAACCTGATACACATCTAAATTAATCATGTTTATAGTTTCAGGTACAATGTACAATTCTTCTGATCATTGCATCAAAACTCTTTAAAGTTATATTATTGGGTAATTTTTAACCAAATCACTAGTAGATTGTGAGAAATCGTGTGTAGAGCTGATTGCTGTTTCCAGCTTAGTTTACGAGAAATTAGTTAAAAATACACACTCAAATTTGTATTGACCAAGTTTGTTATCGCCTGTTCATTTACCTGACTTAGCTGAAAATACTCGATTTTTCTCCCTAGAGGGGCTGTGCATTAGGACAATAGACATACATGTTCAACTAAAAAAGTATTATTTATTGTTTAATGACCTGTTTACACGAGGAACAATGCTGTAGTGCATATCTAAAATGAAATACAAGACTAATCCATTAAATTACATTAAAGAACTCTAAGTATACTCTTTATTCTTGCCAGTACTCCAACATTGAAATAATATGGAGTATGTGTAAGAGTGAATATTATCCTACCCTATTTCTATCCCGGGGATGAAATTCTCTAGTGTCAGGATGATTCTCCCTAGTGAATTTGAACCCATACCAATGTGTTTAATCCTATCCTATACTATACTTCCCCCAAGATAATATTTAGGTAGGATATAATCCTTGATTACATATGCAATCCTGATGCTGAAAAATTATCTGGAGCCCTGAATCACCTGCTTTCAATTTTTTATTGTCAGTCGCGCATGGCCGCTGTTGTGGTAGGCAGATTGGTGTCACATGAACAGCTCAGAGATAAACAGTTCTTAATAACCATAAACATTGTCATTGACAGAGTACACACTGGACCACAAAGTGAGTTCGCTATATACGTTGTATTCGTTGTAAGCTTGTTCGTTATATCCATCAATTCTATATGATAAAATATACACCTTATGGCCAGGACAAAAAAAAAGTTGGCTACAGCCGTCAGTTTGTCATAAGCGTGTTTGTCATACACAACGTTTACTGTACTTTTAAGATCTATTCTTGTTCTAGTATCATCTAGATGTTGATTGCACAAGAAAGTGTAGTGCTGTTGCAATATGTACCTGGTAAAAGAGTTCCAGTTTGGGCTCTAAGAGCATTGTAATTTGCATGCCAGTCGTGATGCTGAACGTCTCCAAGAACACCAACAGACTTGACCCACTGAGGATCCAGGCTCTTGACTTCCCCTGTTGTGGTGGTCCATTCCTTCCCCAGGCCACCTACATACAGCCTCTTGTTCTTTACAGTAGCCCATTCACACTTGAATCCTGTAAAACATGCCATTCTGATAATTAGGCAATGTTAGTCAAAACAGTTCTTTGGCAAATACTTTGGAATTCACCAGGCTAAAACATTTTATTCTCACCTATTTCATCAAATGTTCCTCATACCTATTGGCTGTCAAAAAGTTTAACAGAACGAAAGAAAATATTTGACTTAAGACTTTTGGCGAGAGTGAGTTTGAACAGTTTTTCAATTATATCATGGTGGTGTGTCAGCCTAATGTGCAGAAGGCATACCTGAAGTGATGGATGTTTTTGTTATAAGCATCGTGTACTGTCAAATGGCCATTGACAGATATTTTCCAAATCTTTTCATGTTTTTAAGCAAGATGCACAACTGATCTGATGCACTTAGCATGCTTAGCAAGTTAAGACCTGTTTTATTACAACATAGATCTTGATTATTAATCAGATCGTCTTGACTGAGTGCTGCCATTTTGTTTGACACAAAAAGGTGGAATCTGATTGGTCAATAGGAGGGACATAGACGGGACATAACTCGTAATACCCACTGGTGGTGCTACAAACGAGCCACGAAATTCAAGCTTTTTTCGGGAAGGGTGGAAACTGGACTTTTATAGTCAGTTAACTCCCTTGCCTTGTGAAGATGACATGATCCTGGCACATCTAAGGAACACAGCTCTGTACCGCCAACTGCAGTGGTCAGGTTTTAGTTTCGTGATTAGAGTCTTAGAGTAGAGTAACAATATTGTATGCCAGAAGGGTAAAGAAAGGATTCTATAAATGAAAGCAAATAAGGATTATGGAATATCGAAATCAGATCTCTTGAACACCTTTTAAGGAGTGAGTGTGTGTATGGTTTTACGCCGCTTTTAGCAATATTCCAGCAATATCACGGCAGGGCCCTTTAAGGAAGGCACATATATACCATAAATGTTCACGTTAGACAACCATTTAGGTTCATCATCAAACAGTTCTTCTGTAGAAAATATATTGTTTGTTTTTGCTGTTTGATGTACGGGGCCTTTCGCAATAACACCATCACCATAAACTAGTTTCTACAACATGCCAAATGAAACTGGACAGACAATTAGGTAAAATTGTTTGTTAAGGTGAGCAGTATTCCTCTTGTATCATGGTGACCTGTAAATAATCAAGTCTTGGACAGACAATCCAATGGATGATGTCATGGGCAATAACCCATGTCATCAGGATATGATGACAGGTAATCAACCAAGCCTGACCACTTGATCCAGTTTAACTGCCTCCATGACAGGCAACAGACCTGAATGACCTGAATAATGTGTAGTTACAGCAGTAAAAAATTCAGAGCACCTTTATTATGTTTTCCATTTCCATCTGGAAGTACAACCCAAGGCACAACTTCATGTCTGTCAGTTACATCGTAGATGATTCCTGTTCTATCATCAACAGAATACAACTTCTGATTAAATGTCACTAATTCCGACAACTCCATGCCACGTCCGCCTTGAGACAATGTAGAAGTGATCACCACAGGCTGGTTCAGTTTCACATTGATATGTCGGTTATCGTCACTTATGGTAAAGTTGCCGGTTCTGAAATAACTGAACCATGTGTCTTTCTTATCTTTACTTTTGGAGTCTGTATCAAGATCTGTGATCAGACCAATGGAATATGTCGCTCCATGTTCTGTCCTTGTTGGTGCTGTCAATGGATATTTTGAAAAATAATATTTATCTGAATAAAATTCATCACATTTCGGAGTGACAGGAGCAGGCCGGGGAATAAATACTATAAACAACACAAAAATAGCAGTTGAAAACAGCGCGGCGTATATGACAGTTCGTGTTTTCAGGTGCAATCGAGCATTGCCCACCCTGTAAGGTGTGGGCCTACGAATAGCTTTCATCCACTCGTGTACAGTGGACGGGTAACCTGAAGAAATCATATCTTCTTCGTAGTCATCAACTGGCAGACTCATCGATACTGTTGATAACCATGACAGTATTACAACGTTGAATGCCGACGTGGCCGCACGTTTTCACACACAGTCGATGGCCAGTCCTCCATTTTATAACGTTCTAGCTCCGCAGAAAACAGTGTTTACGATATGTATATATTTTTGAAAATGTATTATGCGTGTAAATAAAAAGGTAGGTAAGGTTTTAAGAAGACAGAAATACAAATTGTCACATGTGTATTTCCACAAATATACTTCACATTCGACCTTGACTTTAATACATTCAGTGCGGAAGTAGTGTCCACACAAATTAGAACCCACGTGGGAAAATGGACTTCGAGAAAGCTAAGGTATGGATTTTGTGTGTTGTCATATTCTCGGTATGGAGAATTCGTGACAAATGTGAGGTATATTGTAGGCCACATGCTATGTTATTTGGAAAATGAAATGAACTGCCTGGACGAATTTAGACGTTTTGCAAATCAGCTGAATAATGAAACTCGTTTTTTAAAAGAAATGGTTCAAATCTCTTGTAGGCCTATAGACCTGTTCAACAACTGACTTTTTAAACATTCCTGGCCTTGGACTAACAATATGACATTTTAATAAATTTTTTTTATTAAAATGTGAAGGTGATTCTGGAAAACTTGTTTTAACAGGAAGAATAAAATGGCCTAGAAATAAGTAAAATGTAATAAAACATGATTGAATGGTGTGAACCCATCATCCAACATCAGCTTAAAGGGACAAGCTTTGTTTGTTCGTTGTTTAATGCCGCACTTGGCAATTTTCAAGCAATATGACGACGGTCTGTAAATAATCGAGTCTGGACCAGTCAATCCAGTGATATATATCATGAGCATCGATCCACGCAATTGGGATCGATGACATGCATCAATCAAGTCAGCGATCCTGACCACCCAATCCCGTTAGTCACCTCTTACGACAAGCATAGTCGTCTTTTACGGCAAGCATGGGTTGCTGAAGACGTATTCTATCACGGGTCAGCCTTGTAAACCTTACCGTGTGCACTTTTTCAGATTTCAATTAGCACCATGTGGATGATCGAACTCACATTGCCAGTTTGAAGCCAGCCTAATGAGTTAATCTAATTAGCCAACACCCTTCAACAGGACCACAGACGCTATCAGAAATATTGAGTGCTTGTTTACTTAGTCATTAGCACCAAATTGTTTACCTCTATGCGCATGTGCATTAGCCATTTTTTCATCGGAATGATTACAAAAATATGGAGCACCTTAAGAATACAGTACCACAACGATCGCTGTTGTCTTAAAGACAAGCAACCAGTTTTTGTGAGAATCTGTCAAATTTGAACTTGTGACCTTCGGATTGTTAACCTGACAGCTAACCGACTGAGTTACGTTCACACTGTGAAACTAAGTGCAAATTTACCTAGTCATGCCTGTGCGTTTCGGAACTGAACGAAATAGGTGATGGACACTTACGAAGGTCACAGGTGGGCATGATGTTTTATGACTTTAGTCTATTGACGTTTACGAGTGATCCCAATGCCATTTGGCACATTCGGAATAATTTTAAGCATGGGTAGTGACGCCGCAAGGGTGAGTCCACTTTTGAATCATTACTGAAAAAACAGTGGGTGAAAGTGGCTTGTATGTATGTTCCAGGACAGTTTCCAGTTGGGCTGTTACGATTCACTCGCTTATTCGGTGAATTGTATCCCCTTGTGAATTGAATTTTACTTGAAGTTGTCTCTTATTTATCAAAGCAAGATATGCAAAATGGAATATATACATGTCATGCAGTCGTCTGTCTTGTAGGTCATCTACAACTCCACCCCAGTTAAACGACTGATTGTCAATAACGATCACCAATTATTTGGACCCCCAAGGTAGTGTTGTAGCAAGCGATCACTGTATTTGTCACGGAATATGATAAATAATACATCAACTGCTGACTTGTTGTATTCATGAATAAATATTCGTATTAGATACCCTATATTCGTGATACGTATCATATTCGCCTCATAGTGTATTCATTGCAGCCCTAGTTTCCAGTAGCCAAAATATTCGACACTTAACCATTTCATCCTGCTTTCTCGACAATTTTGTGTGAAGAATATTAGGAGCCGCTATAGAATCTATGATAGCCTCTAAACATGCTAAATGGGTACCTTACCCTAATGATCGTAAAGGGGATCCAATTAGCGCTAAGGATAGAGTTCAGGGTAACATCCCCAAACACCGGGGACATTTGGATGTGTTTGGCGCCAATAAAATATACTGAATAAACTGCATTCCTGTGGAAAATAGGGAAAATTAATGAAAAAAAAAAATAATGTATGTGTATAAGTTCCCATTTATAATCATTTTAACCACTTGAAAAAAACGAAATAAAAAATATATTGACAATAAAAGTGCTTTCATAAACTAGCACTTGCTATAAAATGCACTGCCGCAGGCTATATTTAGTAAACAAATATTAAAAACTCTCAACATTGCTGGGCTTATTCAAGGCTATTGCGTGTGGAGATGATAGGTCACTGAGCAGAGCTTATTCACACTCAATGACCCCTGACATAACAGGGCATTGTGGGTCGGTCGGGTACCCTAGTGGTTAAAGTGTTTGCCCGTCACACCGAAGATCCGGGTTTGATTCCCGACATGGGTACAATGTGTGAAGCCCATTTCTGGTGACCCCGGCCGTGATATTGCTTGAATATTGCTAAAAGCGGCGTAAAACCATACTCACTCACAGGGCATTGTTTCACCGGTGTGACTGGCAAGAAAATACTACAAATAATGTCATTGGTATGTCATGTTTGAAAAGTTTGTGGTATTCTAGAGATAGGCCAAAAAGACACATTAATTTGTTAAAAGGGATAGCTAACCCAGGCCCTACCTTACAACTAACCCAATGGATTGTGAATAGGTGCCTAACCCTCTAAAGGATCATAAATGGGTGTTTGATCAGCAAGCGGTGCCAGCCTAAGGATTGTGAAGGTGGGTTTGAATGAAGAGGGGTACCTTAGCCTTATGATGGTAACACAGGGTCTTGTAAGGCCAAATATACCAGCTACAAGATACATGGTCACACCCAGTGTAAGTGTTCTGTGTAAAAGGAAAGGGGTGTAACGAGGCCAACTCACTAAGTTCGTTCGAGGACAAATTCAACAATGTCCACTGTAAATCATGGTAAATAGCCCTATAAAACTAAACACTCATTTCAAGCCAATACATTTAGCTACACAGTGAGACAAAGATGAAGAAAATCGAAGCCATACTTTTGGAGCTGGTGTCTTCAGAAGCTCAAATTGTCGTGATTTTATTATTCTGAGCCAAAATCCCTGCTCAGAATTTGTACCGCCAACTTCTTGTCATGAGGCGACTAAGCTTGTCGTATTAGACGAGGAAAAGCATCTGATGGTCAGGCTAGCTGACTTGGTTGATATATGTCATTATATCACAACTGCGTAGGACAATGTTTATGATGTCGATCACTGGATTGTCTGATCCAGACTCGATTATTTGGCTGGAATATTGCTGAGTCAGTGGCTGCGGCATTAAAAAACAGAAACAAATGCATATTCTTCACCAAAATAATCAAATTCACCCTGAATACATGGGAAATATTACTTTGTTTGCATACAAATTAATTGTGCTTCTGTATTGGTCTGCTATCCGTCATACCAGTCATAGACTTTGCTTTTAACTCCAGTTACGTTCTGTACAGGACACTGAGATAAAGCTGGAATGTTGCCGCCATTTTCACTTACACTTGCAAAACAGATCTATACTTTCATCTATTTTCAGTATGTCATTTGTATGTGCTGTGTTTTTCAGGTGCAGAAGGCGGTGGCTGCATTGTTTAATTTACTCAAAGACACAAAGAAGGCAAGCTTCATTGATGAAGCAGAGAAAATTCATTTGCAGTTTACTTTCAAGAAAGTTCCAAATGTCAAGAACAAAACACTTCACTTGTAAGTTGTATAGGGTCTACACATCATGGGTTTGAGTCCCAGATTCTTATAATGCCTGTTCTGAAGGATTTCACCTAAGTCGTAAACACCTACCACTTGTGCACTTATGTTTCTTCCCACATGCTGTGACTTACTGGTAACTGAAATACTGGTAAAAGCAGCAGTAAACGCCCTCATCTTACAGTAAAGTTTAAAGTGAAATAACACAACACTATTTATGAGATATTTTGCATTAGGCCATCCAGATGGCTGTGTACATATCTTGTGAAATATATTGTTACATTTATTCACTTTTTGGAAATGTTTATAAAATCATTCATTGCAACTGGTGGACACAGGGTTTTTCCTTGACCTAGAAAACTCGGGACCAAGAAGACCCAAATTACTATTTTCAAGCGTCCTGTAAAGTATTTAAATGGTTTAGTTTACTGTACTGTAAGATTTTATTATTACTTTAATTACAGAAACTTTATGTTCCTTGTCATGAATTTGGTACAATGAATATTAATATAAGCCCCAAAGGACGCAATATATACTTGTTTCTGTGTCCATTCTATGCATTGAACTGGACACACATTTCTGTGTCGCGTAAAACCCTGTAAACATTACATTAATTTCATCAAGTGTTACAACATGTGCAACTCTTTTGAATACAACATTTCCTAAGATTAGAAGGTTAAATTTCATTTCCATGCCCCAGACCACAGTCCTGTAATCACTCAAATGGATTTGTCTTGTAGGAAGTTGCCACACTCCTTAATGAGAGATACAATGGACGTGTGTTTGTTTGTGAAAGACGTGAACAAGAAGAAGCGAGACTTTGATCCCACTATCCACCATTACAAGGAACTGCTTGACAAACATGACATCAACTTTGTCACAGAGGTATTTGAATTTTTATATTTTCCATGTTTTTATAGTAACAAGGAGTAGGCTAGCAACACAACACACATGCACATTGCTTCACGGTGTATTTGTGTACCATTTACACAGGGCCCATTTTCACAGTAGCTCTGTCAATCTTATTTCATGCATGGAAACTAATGGGTAGCTTTGTGATTAATGTATTTGTCCATGTATTCACTCTTGTTACAAATCTGCCCGAGAGCGGAAGGTTATGGGTTCGATCCCTGTCCACATCATACCAAAAGACGTAAAAGGAGGTACTTGTTGATACCCTGCCTGGTGGTTTGCATTCAGGGGCTAAAACAAGGACTGGTCAGCTCTGAGTCAGTATGCTGTATCTGAGGGGGTATCCATGTTAAACTGTGACATGGAATTAATTGGGCTAGCACTATAAAATCAGCATTAGCACACGCACGCATGCACCATGTAGCCCTGCTTGTGTTGGCCAATAGTAGTAACTGATATACTATGTCAAATAATCACACACAGATGTAGGGGTGTGTGAAGCTGATGGTGTTTGTTATGAATTGCATGTACAGCCTGAAACGTCAGTCTGAAACAATGAAATAACATAAGCAAATATAATGTAGAATCTAATAAATATATACAACCTGTTATAGTTACTCTTTGAATTTTTGAAATATTGATATCACTTGACTTAAAAAAATATCACTTTTTTTACATCATCCAGTACTGCACATATCTGTACAATACGTCACACGTATCTGTACAATACGTCACACTTATCTGTACAATACGTCACACGTATCTGTACAATGTGTCACACATATCTGTGCAATACGTCACACGTATCTGTACAATGTGTCACACGTATCTGTATCTGTCACTCTGTCCACTATGTGACCTAGGATTAATTGAGGACGAGTATCACTTTTTACTAGTATGTCCGCATTATGATGAACTAAGAAAAGTATATTTACCAAAATATTTTCATATAAAGCATTGTACATTTAAGTTTAAACTATTACTGACAACTAGCAACATTGAAACCATAAGAAATCTTTCTATGTACATATATCATGCTTTTATACAAAGAAAATCAAGTTTGGAAAATATATGATTGTACCAATTGCTCCTGTAATCATGATTGTACTATAGGCCTGTACGTTGAATAAAGAAATTGAAATTGAACGTATCTGTACAATGTGTCACACGTATCTGTACAATGTGTCACATTTATCTGTACAATACGTCACACATATCTGTACAATACGTCACACGTATCTGTACAGTGTGTCACATGTATCTGTAAAATACGTCACGTGTATCTGTACATTACGTCACACATATCTGTACAATACGTCACGTATCTGTACAATGTGTCACACGTATCTGTACAATACGTCACATATCTGTACAATACGTCACACGTATCTGTACAATGTGTCACACATATCTGTGCAATACATCAATATACACGGATGCAAAATATATTAATATAATTATTAAGTGATAATGAACATACTGTATGTAACTAACATATTCTAACTAATTATATATTCTTATAATGTATATCGTAATAAACTAATTAGAATGGTAACAGGGTCATACAACGTTACTACTAACTGATAAATTGTAATTAAAAGTTATGTACATATGAAAAAATACTTTAGCCTACCATACCACACCACACCACACCACACCACACCACACCACACCACACCACACCACACCACACATTAACAAATTCAAAATTGATAGATAACAGCTGTTCGATTGAGATAACAGCTGTTCGATTGAGCTGAGGTTAACTCGGAAAAAGCGTGCAGCTTTAGGCTTCGAAGCGGGGTATAAAGGATTTATTTTGCTTTTCAGAAATCCACATGCAGCCTACCTTGTCCGTGGCAGGGTATAAGAGATATATTCTCCCGCTGAGATATTTATTTCCTCCAAGATGGGATACATAGTATTTTATCAAGATCACATGGACCAATCAGATCTCATCATTCTGACATGGAGTTATGATTACTGATAATGTACAATGTCAATATCAACTATGTTACATTAAATCTTGCCGTTGTTGATCCTCTCTTTGGCAATTGACTTCATTTACAATATTTCATTCTTTTGTGATAATTTATGAAACTGCATCATGCATGCATTGTTTTCTATGCAGGTTATTCCTTTGAAGTCTTTGAAAACAGAGTACAAACCTTATGAAGCCAAGAGGATACTCTCTGACCGGTTTGATGTCTTTTTGGCAGATAAATGTGTCATTCGGTTACTTCCGGACTTTCTCGGCAAAGCCTTCTATGGCAGGAGGAGGTAAGAATTCTAAGCACTCTTCAATGAAGACAAATGTCAGCGACATGGGTAAATTGGCCCAGTATGTCCGCATCTGTGTAGAACTGAGCATTTTAACAGGTAAACATAGGATCTTCATGGTGTAACCTATATGCGTAAGCTAACTATGACAAGGAGAAAATTTACTTGCCTCCCAAGATACCTTGACCCTGATGTCCTTGTTGATAAGTGGCTTATTGCTTGCTGGAAGCCATGCTCTGTGTTTATAAATAGCACTCAGTGTCAGACGCACATTAATTCATCTCTCTTCAGCATTGGGGAGAGGTTTATTCCATGTGCGAGATAAATTGAGAGTTAATTAGCAGCTCAGTCAGAAAATGGTTGCAGTTGTCAGTCACTCTCAGACAAAGAATAGTTAAAGGCTGTCCAGTCTAGGAATTGGTCTTTAGCAACCCATACTTGTAAGAGCTGTTGTAAGTTTGCTGACTTGGTTGATGCATGTCATTGTATCCCAATTGCAAAGATTGATGCTCATGACGTCAATCATTGGATTGCCTGGTCCAGACAAAAAATTTTTTAAGAACACAGTCATATAGCTGGAATATTGCTGCCTGCGGCGTTAAACAACAAACAAACAAAACAAATCTTTGTTCCGTAAGATGGCTCTATGCATCACCTTCCAATAGGAATTATACAGTTAGTAGTTGAGACACTGAGACAATGTTTCGACATGCAAGCCAAGATTCCTGGGAAGATGATGACCCCTGTGTCTTGTGCTTGTCATGATTAGACCATAAACTGAGATCACGTGAGCCCAATGGATGCTGAATATTGATAGCTCTTGGATAGGTGACCTGCTGGTCATGTGAGATTGATGTTACACGATTTAACACAGTTTTCCTGTTCAGAACTTGTTTGGCAGTTTTTTGTATGTATGTTGCATTTGAAAATTGTCCATTTTGTTTTCTCATGTATGTTAAAATCTCAACAGTAGGGAAGGGAACAACTGTTGTCATTCAGAAAAAACTTCCAACTTTGTCCAAACATCATATTTCTTTCATTTAAATATTTTCAACTCCACCCTGCCAATAATACTTCAAGAGTTCTTTTTCTAAAATGTGTTTCAGAAGTATTATGTAATTTCATGCAGACAAACATCAGAAAGATATGAAGTCTTTGAGTTTTTATTTTTTGTGTTAGATGCTTCCCTTTATGTAATCAGTGTTTGTGGTAATGACTGCAATAAGCAGTTGGACACACTCTAAGTCTGGATAGTTCATGACACTGGTGGTGGTGGTGGTGATGAAATGTTTACATTATAGTTTATTATTGGACGGGTACGATCAAATAAACACTTTCTGGCTTGTGTTGAGATTGCGTTTTCAGACGCACATTAATTCATCTCTCTTCAGCATTGGGGAGAGGTTTATTCCATGTGCGAGATAAATTGAGAGTTAATTAGCAGCTCAGTCAGAAAATGGTTGCAGTTGTCAGTCACTCTCAGACAGAAGATGATACATCAGGAATGTTAGGACATGCAGTTTTCATGATTAATCATTTGTGTTACGCAACATAAAATAATCAGGCCTCTGTTTAAAATGACCGGCAGATCCTTGTGCATCAGTAAAGCATATAACTGAAAACATGAGATTTGGTGATCTGATAGATTTTGCTCTTTTCCAGGCTTATTGATGGCTGAAACATCCTATTTAGCATCATGTGTGGGACTTAGACATAGTCTGTGTAACTAAGGTGATCAGTGCCGGCTAGATGGGTGTGCATTACAAACTTTGACTCTGCAGTCAGCTGGTATTTTGAATAACTTTAACAATTAGTACCAGCAACAGAAACTAACAGTTTTAGTCCACTACTCCTAACCCCTTACTTATAATGATAAAATATAGCAAAACCTTAAAAAGGGCAGATTTCTACTTGTCTTTATGATAATTTACCGGTAACAATTTGGCAGTTTGGCAAGGACAATGGTACTAGTGCCAATTTCTATCGTTGAGTAAGATGATAGGACTGCCGATTGGTTCAAGCCTAGTCTTCCTTAAAAACATATATACAGGGGAATTAAAAATAATTTTTAAATTGTCGCAACCATCTTGTTTCAATGTTCCCAATTTCTCATGATCAGGATATAGGATGTTAAGAACATGTAGTATTGATGTATTCAGTATTATTAAAGCACATTTATTCATCTCATTCTTGTATCATAGGACTGAGATTTATTCCATGTGCAAGATTAATTGAGAGTTAATTAGCAGCTCAGCTGGAAAATGGCTGCAGTTGTCAGTCACTCTTCAACATGCTCCCCGTGTACCACATTCTTCATTATAGTGAAGCCTGATTCTCAATGCCACATCTTTTCTTCTTCCTGGATACAATCCTGTCACACTTTGAATACTCTGGTGTGATGAAATATTGTGAGTCATACATCTCATGCACGCACATTTATTCATCTCCCTTCTTGAATAGGACTGAGATTTATTCCATGTGCAAGATTAATTGAGAGTTAATTAGCAGCTCAGCTGGAAAATGGCTGCAGTTGTCAGTCACTCTTCAACATGGATAGCAGGATAACATGTCCGGAATGTGTCTCTGGCTTAAGAGTCCGATGTAGTTTCTATTGGTGAAGCCCCATCATGGTGTGGCCTGCTCTGATGTCAAGGGTGCTAAACCATGCATATTCCCTGAATGCTACCTGTGGCCAAACTAGCATGTATCATTTGGTACAATAACCAACATTTATGAAACTTTGGGGGCTTTAGAAGCTGGGAAGAGACGACTTTTCCACTAGCGAAAACATCAGTTGAGAAGCAGGCTATCTGCTACAGGTGTGCTGGGTAATCCTCACACAGATCACATCTAGAGTCCATGCCATATATGTGATGTCTTGGCACTAGGCACCAGCAGGAGGAGGGTCATTGACTGACATGTAGGAACGACAGACCCTGCACTTCTTACATGCCTTGATGTTTAATCCATACTTACCAATTTGCACAATCACAATAATCAAACTGGAATTTGATATTTACTACAACAGCATGAAAATATCAAATGAATCCAACTCAAAACTCATTTGAAAGGTATATAAACTAAACAAAAAGACGCTAAATGAACTTAAAGTGTAAACTTAAAATTTTGGAGCCAAAATCACCACCAAAATCTTAATCATTTGTTAATATTAGGGTTATGACAAGGAACTTTGACTTTTGTGCTTAATTTCGAACATTGTATCATGATAAGAATAGAAATACCACTGAAATCAAAGGGGCATCCAGCTTCAGTTAGTTTCAGTGATTCAAACAGCTTTACTCTTTTGACTATTAACAAGATGCAGAGCCTCGGCCCCCCGTGAACATCCGTATTAGAATAGGTCTTCAACAACCCATGCTTGTCATAAGAGGCGACTGCCGGTATCGGGTGGTCAGACTCGCTGACTTGGTTGATGCATGTCATCGTATCCCAATTGCGTAGATCGATGCTCATGATGTCAATCACTGGATTGTCTGGTCCAGACTATTTACAAACCACCATTATGTAGCTGGAATATTGCTGAGTTTGGTGATAAACGGCAAACAAATGAACAAATAGAACCCTCGGGGAAAGATGGACTCCCAGTGACATGTGATTGTGGCATAGCCAGGGTTTTTTTGGCACAGCCAACCACTCCCTATCTGTTCCAAACCAGTTACAGTCCAACAACGTGAAGGTAGCATTATTGACTGTAGCTAACAAGAGTTTTGCCATCTTTTTCCAGACTGCCGATTGGTGTGAACATGGGTGCCAGTAATCTGAAGAAGGAGCTGCAGGAAGCCCTTGATAACTCTCAGTGCTACATCAGTGGACGAGGGGCGTCGGGGTGAGTGTGTGTACTCTGTAGCCACCAGGGACTCCATAACTACAGGACCAGTGAAACTGATACTTGTCATGCTTGTTACCACCGATGATGACACCTTAATTTGTGCAAGAGCAACCATGGCCATTACTCAGACATTTTTATTTTTCAAAATGGAATGACAATCAACCAATGATGACCCTTCTCTAACACCTCATCCCCATTTGTGCAAGAGGTTCGATCTCATTAGCCACGGCAGCCATTTTGAACAATTTATTTATTGCCATTTCTCCTTTAAATATCTTAAATTTTAATATTCAGTTAGTAGGTTCTAGCATGATGACATATTGTGAGTCAAACATCTCATGAACGCACATTTATTCATCTCCCTTCTTGAATAGGACTGAGATTTATTCCATGTACAAGATTAATTGAGAGTTAATTAGCAGCTCAGCTGGAAAATGGCTGCAGTTGTCAGTCACTCTTCAACATGCTCCCTGAGTTGTACTTAGACGACTGTCTCCTGAATCATCCCGACATGGCTACCCTGGTTCTCCATCCGGACTTTACCAGGCACTTACTGTATCAACTGGGATGGATGGTCAACGAGGCAAAGTGGGAATTGCTTCCTTCTTACCCACTCCAGTTTATAGGAGGTCTGTTCAAGACAGATCAGGACCTTCTGTCAGTGCCACGGGACAGATGGTTCAAGATTCTTTGCCATATGTCACCTGCCCTTTGACAATCCCACACACTTGACCAGTGGCAAGTGTTGTTAGGATTGCTCACATCAGCCCAAGATTTGACAAGCAGAGGCTGTACCTACGCCAATACAACAGTTCCTGGTGCCTTACATCAAACGTATGAAGCCATCACTCTACCATCTCACCTAAGGACTCAACTCAGTTGGTGGATGATAGATTTGAACATCTTAAGGTGTCTCCTTATCAGGGCTAACCCCAACACTACACCTGTTCGTAGACACCTCCCTAGAGGGAGGGGTGCATATCTACAGGACCAGACACCTTACGGGCTGTGGTCCAGCGCACTAAGTACTTGAGTTGGAGGCTCTCATTCTGGCAATATCACATTGGCAGGAGCGCCTACGGAACACTAAACTCGCAATCTCCACGACAACAGCACGGTGGTATGGTGCCTGTGCAACCGAGGGGCAACGCACTCTCAGACTGGTAACAGACTGGTAACTCCACACAGAGGCGTTTCAACTGCTGCATCAGTGGTTCGGTCAAACCAAAATCGATCTCTTCACAACACATCTGATCCCCGATCCCTGATCCGCAGGCTTGGGTGGTAGACTCATTCAGCATCCCCCGGAAAGGGCTAAAAGTGTATGATTTTCCGCCTCCTGTACTACATCTCAGGGTGATACACAAAATAAAAGCAACCATGAACCACCCTCCTCTGATTTGGTCATGCCCTGGTGGCCGGCGAGGAGGTTTGTAGATCTCAGAAATCTCACAGAAAAAAATCCACTACCCCTGACAGTGGTCAAACCTTTTTATCCACCCCCACAGCAAACTACCACAACCAATGCCAGACAGATTTCGTCTGCAAGCTTGGTACATCTTAAAAGAGCGCTGGGTGCTAAGGGCTATTTGGCTCAGACATTGCCTTGACACACCGTCCATTTACCCGGGGGCTATTTCATGATAAGTGGCAATCATTTGCAACCTTTTGTAAGGTGTAAAGTCACGATCCCACTACAGCGTCACCTCAATTCTTGGCTGAGTACCTCCTACACTTGCATACCAAACAGCAGCACCATTACTACGCACCTGGTGGCTCAGACATTCAGTTTTTGAGATTTTAGCTCACGCTATTTTCTTCTTACTGTGTTTTACCTGGACTTATCCCCAATTCTTGTTTTCTCTCTGTTGACAAGATTGAGCGAGTAATACTGATCGGTGCTTAACACACCATATGGTTCCCTTGACATGTATGTCTTATGAATGGTTTCTCCATACTGAGGATTACATCGGAAGGTATACCCACCCCCATACCGTCTGATACAGATGCATTAAGGAGTAATGCTGGATAAGTAAATATTTTAGTAAAATCTAAATATTTTTTACATATGTATACTTACCCTGGATTTACTAGGTCTCGTGGTCAGTCTGGTAGCTTACTGGTTAAAGCCTTCGTGAATGGAATTTAGTGACATAGAAATTATTATCATTATTATTATTATTATTATTATTATTATTATTATTATCTCTTCATCTCATCTCACAGCATGGCCACAGTTGCACATTCAGAGATGAAGATAGAACATGTGGTGGACAATGTTATCTCAGCAGCCAATCATCTTGCAGCAGGCATTCCAGGAGGACCAATCAACATAAAGAGCATGTACATGAAGACTGGACTGTCGATGTCTGTTCCCTTGTATTTCAGCACAGGTAATGTTCATTCAACATCTTTTCATGTTGATGTAAGCCATCGTTCATTACTACAGTTTGGGTGTATGGTTTGAATGAAACAATATGTCTCCTTTAGGTTTGTAAAAATCAAATTTTGGTTTCTCATGACCCACCCACCACTATAATTGCCTCAATCCCTATCTTTTATTTTTGTATCAGATTCCAACTTTTTGATCAAACCATGCCATGTCACTTAGTGTCTCAAATCAGAAGAGATAAAATGAACATCAGTCATGTCAGTTGTTTGTCTTCAAATTAATAAATAACAAGTGGGCAGCAATCTTGACAGTTGTCAGGTGAAAAGTAAATTTATTAAATTCATTAAAATCATTGATATACACAGTGTACATAATTAAAAATTAATATAAACATTTACCAGCTTAAATCAGATGTACTTCTATGGATATTTATCCAACTCCCTAAAGAATTAGTTTTAAAAAGAATCATGAGAACAATATTTTTAACTGTCCTTTTTCTATATATGGAATTATCTTTTTATCCTGTGGGGTTAATCCCAAATGAATAGGTAATCAAGCTCAAGGAATTTGGTTTTGTAAATGAAACTACATGTAGTTTCTTTTCTGAAATATGTAAATGTCTGGTGTTAGTAAAGATTATTAAGATACGATTAATGCCAAATATGCTTTCTATATAAAATCAATTATTTGCATATTATTTTTAGATGATGGAGATGTTGTTTTGCCACCCAAGGAGAGGAAGGTTGTAGACAGTGAGCCGGAAGAACTTACAACTATTCTCGGAGCCAAGGTCAAGGTCTCTCAATTTGGTGATGTCAAAATTATTCAAGTCAAGCGTGTAGCTGAAGATGATGACCTTGACCTAGACAGTCTTACTGAGAAGAAAAAGTTTAAATCTGCTCAAGCAAAGACTTCAAAGAAGTTTGGAAAGAATCCAACTAAGTCAAAGAGTTTGGCACCGAAACAAAAGACAGTAAAATCTGGCATCAAGCAACCGAAGAAGAAACAGAAAACCAAATCTTGAACTGACTGCCTAAAATGAAATGGAATAAATCTCTGTACATAGCTATTGTCTTCAGATTTGTCCCTTAAATTAACTGCTGTTTAGGGGTGAACCCTTTTGGCATTTTGACTACTGAGGTTGCAATAGTTTAAACACAGATGATTCTATTGTGCCATTCGTCACCACTTGCCCCTTTCCGTAACCTGTAAGAAGACTCGTCCCCCTATCGATGAATGTTATGTACAAAAATACGACAAACCAATCAGAATGCGCGTTTGATTTCAAGTTGTTCATCAAAGAATCCCTCAGAAATAATTTTTGATTTTACATATGTCTTGCATCTAAAAATATACCCAAGACACTGTTAAATGTGTTCAATCATACTGTATAATTCTGCATGTCCAGATGTGCTCTAAATTGCATCTGAAATATATATAATATATGGGGAAATATATGTGAACCATTAGGCAACGAGTTGACAATTGTTTTAGGTATGCCGTTTGTGCTAAGACGGAACCCGGTCGCAAAAATGGCTATGAGAGGGGCACGAGTCGCTATTCGGCTTGACCCGGAATAACACGAGTTGGTCACGAATGTCTATTGTGCAACAATAGACCTCCTCTGTGATAGAGCATCTTCCTAGAGAGCGTAAGGTCAGGGGTTCGATCCCCAACCTCATCATACCAAAAGACGTTAAAAGATGGTACATGCTGTTTCTCTACCTGGTGCTCAGCATTATGGGGATAAAACAAGGACTGGTTGGCTCTGAGACGGTATACTGTGTCTGAGTGTAGCATGGTATCTAGGTCGGCCAGCACTATACACTTGGAATGGTCCCGACTAGTACAAAACAAACAAACATCCATGCACGTTGGTATATATGTGCAATAATCTTGAACTTAACGTTATGGACCATCCCCATTTTTGCCTCACCTCGCCTTGCAGCACTGCTGAATCAAAACAGGACCCTATTACTTTGTGCTTGTCACAAGAGCCGACTAATGTCAGGATAAGCCTCCAGGCTCTGTGACTTGGACGCTTGCTGGTCAATGTGCCCCAGCAGTGTTGTTATACTTCATGGTGTCCCTGGTCCATAGGTCATGGTGTCACTGGTCCATACGTCATGGTGTCACTTGTCCATATGTCATGGTGTTCCTGGTCTATACGTCATGGTGTCACTTGTCCATACGTCATGGTGTCACTTGTCCATATGTCATGGTGTCACTTGTCCATATGTCATGGTGTTCCTGGTCTATACGTCATGGTGTCACTTGTCAAAACGTCATGGTGTCACTTGTCAAAACGTCATGGTGTCACTTGTCCATACGTCATGGTGTCACTTGTCCATACGTCATGGTGTCACTGGTCCATACATCATGGTGTCATATGTCATGGTGTTCCTGGTCCATACGTCATAGTGTTCCTGGTCCATACGTCATAGTGTCACTTGTCCATATGTCATGGTGTTCCTGGTCCATATGTCATGGTGTTCCTGGTCCATACGTCATGGTGTCCCTGGTCCATACATCATGGTGTCACTTGTCCATACCTCATGGTGTCCCTGGTCCATACGTCATGGTGTCACTTGTCCATACGTCATGGTGTTCCTGGTCCATACGTCATGGTGTCACTTGTCCATATGTCATGGTGTTCCTGGTCCATATGTCATGGTGTCACTTGTCCATATGTCATGGTGTTCCTGGTCCATATGTCATGGTGTCACTTGTCCATATGTCATGGTGTCACTTATCCATACGTCATGGTGTTCCTGGTCCGTATGTCATGGTGTCCCTGGTCCATACGTCATGGTGTCCCTGGTCCATACCTCATGGTGTCACTTGTCCATACCTCATGGTGACCCTGGTCCATACTTCATTATTTACAGGCTGCTGTATTATCATGCAGATTAAACAAAGCAGTGCAGCAGAACCTTATTCTGGTGGAATATGGATCTGGTCTCCATTATGAAGTATCCTTTTTCTGGAATATAACAAACTGGTACTTTTACAACAGAGTTTATTTGCAATGTTTACATTTCAGCTGCGAGTTCATCCCCTGCAAAATCCACTGTCATAATTCTCTCAGACCACAAAGTGTACCGTGCAATGCAGGAATATGCAGAATTGACCACTTTTGAACAACAATAAAATTGAAACATCAAGATCTACTAGCAAACAGGAAGCAGACCCTTCTCGCTTTGACTCTTGTACCTGATATACATATATTATGTATGTTAATACAAAGCTGTTACTCATCTTCAAAGTTTTGATTATGCATTCCACTTCACTACAAATATATATTATTTAAATCACATACATACATATGAAATGACAAATGAACATCTTATTTGCCCCATTAGGTATAAAATTTACTTTTCGTCAGCAGGATCCATCGGGGAATGAATATATATATACTTATGGACAGTAAAAAAGGAACATACTGGGAGTCCTTTGTTTGACCTGAACAGCCATATCTGTTGACGATGATTGTAGGTTTTTAGACATGTAGTGACATCAGATATTAACTGTTCACTGTGTTTTTGTATTTTGTTTCTGCCCCATAAGTACATGTTCCTCATCTTGTGCCATGACTACTGGGTATATTGATCACACATCTTTATAACCCCAGAGATTCAGCTTCAATGTTTCCAGTTACATTATTTACAAGCAGCAAGTTCACAAGCACATGAAGATGTCATCTAGAAAGTGTCACACAACCTAAACTATGTGTCTTCCCTTTAACACACTATTGTTTGGGCAGATCAGCTGGTACAATATTTCATGAATGACACAAAAATATAGAATGTAGAAAAACACAAATTTCAAAGTAGGCCTATAGGGGAGGAGTCATCACTTTTAAAGGTAATCAATATTTCACTACACGGTTTAAAAAAACCCTAAATGACCAAATCTGAAAGTAAATAATAAGGCAGATCCATTATATTGTTATCAATATATTATTTCATTGCTGAGCATCTACATCAAAAGGGAGTACCACTTGTTGAAACATTTGTTCTGTGTGGATATTCTTTTTAAAAAGCAAATTTCCGAATCAAGGACTTTTGATTGGCTTAAGAAACCATTCATCCTTCATTTAGACAGGGCTGTCAAAATTTGCTCAGGATTCATTTGACACCACCTTCTATTGACACTTCCAAGGCACTGTAGCTCACATGACTCCCTTAAATGATAGATCATTATAGAACTTTGAAAATCAACCGAACTTGATACCTGATAACAATAATATATCATCATGTTCATGTACGGTAATCATAAAAACCATTACAGAGGTTTGATATATTTTGATTCTTTATATTATAATGGAAGCAATCAGAAATCACTTTTTTTACTGAGATAGATACCTACAGACATATTTGTAATATGATCAATGTGATTTGTAATATAAAAGTATGTCAAGAATGTATAAAGTAAAAGAAAAAAGGTGGGAATATATCTTCATCTTGGGGTGGTTTTGAGAAATGGCAAGGACAATCAGTCAACCATTGTCATGTCACAACTATAGGTGAAACCCTGTAAAACCTGACTGTACCCTACTCAGTGACATTTTCTGGATTACCAATTTCCAGATTAAACAAGCATACAGTCGACGAAGTCATCTATATCCCCCCGCCAATTTTAACACGTTATGGTCCCAAAACAGGTAACTGACCCAACATTTCTCTTAGCCCATGTCCAAATAGCTGCAATGGAAATTCTAAAATAAACATTTCTAAAACTCCTCAATATCAAATGGCACCAGTTCAGTATGTGCTTTATACATAGACATGCAATGTTGGCAAGGAAATATTTCTGGCAATAATGCCCAGTAATACAAATTTCTAAAATTCATAAATAGCAAGGCAAAAATTCAGCATGTGTCTCATAGATGTGGATAATTCAATCCGGAAAGGAACTTGACACTAACGAACCTAAGTCCAACTTGTTGCCATGGAAACGTAAAAAATAATTTTTTAAAATATTCCTAAATAGCAAAAGGCACCAGTCTGACATAGACATACAAAGTTTCGTAGAGAAACATTTAACAGTTTCTCAGTTATGCTCCGGAAACGATTTCGGTATACACACTCGACACGCACACACGCACACGCACACGCACACACACACACACACACACACACACACACACACACGGAGAGACGGAAGGAACCCATTTCTATATCCCCCGCGAACTTTGTTGGGGCGGGGGATAAAAAAGCTGGGTACAAAGTAATGTCTCTTAGTCTATATATCCCCAACACAAATTGTGTTGGATAGCAGGGTGTCCAGTCTAACAGGGTTTCACCTATGCTGGTGCAAGTAATAATGGAGCAAAGCAGTAAAATAACAGAATCCTAACAATTTTCATAGAAGCATAACATTATGCAAAACCTGAGATATGTAAACATGACTATTATGCTGCTCATCACAATAACCACTCGTGAAATACTAAAACAAAGTCATGACAAAAATACAAAGTAAGGGGCCAAGAACATGAAGGTACTGTTATATTGCCAAAGCAGTTTTTCCATCATTTCTTTTTGCACTACCAGAAGGATATAAGCACCCCTTACATCGAACAAGAAATGTAAGAGAAACTGCTTTGACATAAACTGAAGTCTCCACAATCTGACTTCAATATTGGCAAAACATGAAATACTACCTCCATGACAAGAATTTTAAGCCACAAAAAAAGTGATTTTAATCCAAGAACACAAATATCGAGAGGCAGATCCAGGATTTAAAAAAAGTGTTGAACACTACACATATAAGATGTGCAAAATACATTCATGAAGAAATATCGGATGCCATGCTGAAAATTACACTGGAATACTGTGAGCATGTTTTAGAAACCCCATAGGTAGGATCATTCATACAAAGTTTCAGCTCCATCAACCTTTCAGTTTCAGAGATGTCAAAAATGTAAAAGTGAACAATGGAAGGGCGACCATAACGGACAACCAGATGAAGAAAGACGCACAATGACATACGCTCACTTGACTTTCAAGTCAGGTGAGCTAACAAAAACTCATGGATGGACTGATACAGGTTAACACTCAGTGTGTCTGAAATACAGTTGTGAGTGTGAGTGTGCATACCCCACTGTTACCAGTGATGCCATTGAGCAGCCTTGTTGTGTCATTGGACATGGTACAGACACTAGGGGTCGGCAGTGGGAGTAGGCAATGATAGCCAGGGAGAGCTGATGCCATCGAGGTATCCTGCCTATCCATACTCACAATGTCACCCGGGAATCCTAAAGTTATTTACATCACTAAACAACCGTAGGAACTTGGTGGTGATCTTTTGGAAAGGATTATTCTTTTATTCTATACATGGTAATTTGATAAAAATATACTCATCTTATATTCCATGGACATGTGACCAATGAAGAAGCAGGTTTGGATGAATGTTGCTTACTGGGTAGCTATTATACTTCAATTATAGCAGCACAATGCAGAATTTGGGAAGGAATATAGATTACTAAACAAGTCCCTGTTAGATATTGTGTTTATTAGAAGTGTATATACAAATGTTTCTAACGAGGGAAAGTGAGTCACATTTTGAAATACACTCGTAATAAAAACAAGGATGAGTGTTATTATGAAAATTATTGAAAATAGCTGGTGGTATAAGGGTGGCGTAGGAATACAACATTTGTAACTGATAATTCAACCATAGACTGTTCTCTCAAGGATTGACCTGGCTATAAAGTGTGCAGCTTTCTAATATGGGAAACGATAAAATAGCAATTTTAAATTTATGTTCATAATTGAATTATATACACAAACATAACCAAGTTCTGCACCAAAATCTGCATTCAACAGAAAATCTAGCTTTAAAGTCTAGCTTGACATCATGAGCACCGATCCAAGCAATTGGAATACGCTGACATACATCAACCAAGTCGACGAGCCTGGTCACCCGATGCTGCAGGTTGCCTTTTACGACAAGCATAGTCACCTCTTACAGCCAGCATAGGTTGCTGAAGACCTATTCTAACCCGGATCTTCACAGGTCTATCCATCTAGGAGTAGAGTCGATGTTGCAGAGTACAGCTGCACAGAGCTACCCATTCAAATGACCAGCTGATGACCAAAATAATCCTGTCTACACATGATGTTATTAAACACTGTTTAATAACGGTGTATTGTTATTAAGCAGTTGGCCTGTATGAGTGAGTAATAAAGCCCATTGTGACGCAGATCACAGGGGAAAAAAGGAGCATAGGAATGGTACTGACAGACCTAAGGATGCTAAGAGTATGAATCTGGGATTCATATCTACAACCAGAAGATCCTGTCATGGTAAAGGGACATAATTCTGCACACATCCTTAGACCAATAGGCAAACAGAGCCCCTCTCCCCATGCAGTAAAGAAATTACTAGAGTGTGGGCTGTGAGGCGTTGGAAAAGAGACATGCTTCCAGTTATTGAACCAACACAAATATTATGTTCTGACCCATATACATTTTCAATGATTAAATAAAATACTTGGTTCATGAAAATATACGTCAAGTACTACTAACTTTACAGCAGGTCCTTAACAGGTTGCATTTGTTTTTGTTTAAAAAAGCCTACTATATACACTTTTTTAAATAAAGAACCACAATTAGAACCACAAAATTACTTGTAATCGGTCTAGATCACATCACAGGGTTTGATCAAAGCTCATGGAAGCATCAGGGGTGGGAAGAAAGACATGCATACATTTTGCCCAAAACCAACAACACACATTTTAACAGAATACAACTAAAATACCTCTTTACATGACACAATATAATGACATCTAACTTTGACTTCAAATGTGTTAGATATACAATACACATGTCAGACATATAACATAAAACACAATTTTACTTAACATGGTCAAGGTTTGACACCGCTGTGTGACAACTCATGTGAACAGGATCCAAAATAGGACTGTAAATTAAGTAGTCATTGTAATATGAGGACGTGAGTCATTCATCACAGCATTGGTGCCAGTGACTAGTCATGGCTGCCAGTTTTGTATGATCAGTGCAGACATCAAATAAAAAAAATAATAGGTAAAACTGGGATGCAGTTTATCAATAAAAACAACACCATGAAGATATTCTTCAAATGAAAAGAAATATGTTCATAAATACTATAAACTCAGTGGTGTATGGAAATTCAGCTGATTAACAAAGTGTAACAAAGTGTAAAGTGTCCCATGCAAAGTAAATCAGCTTACAAAACACTGTTTGCTACCATATAGAAGACCCAGTATGCCTATGCTGTTATGTAATTATTCTCATGAAAACATTTTGATAACAATACATTAATATGAATTAATTTTTTCTCTTTCATTTCTGATATAACTCTGTTCATATTTGCTTGTTGCAACTGAAATCAGCCTCAAAGTGTGTCCCTATCATGTGATGCATCTTGTGTGTCTGTTTGATATCTCCAGTACAAAAGAAACAAAATCTACAAGAGAGCTATCCTTTACAAATCCAAGATACTAAAATTTGAGTTTAATTTTCTGCAATTAGACATGTATTAGTATTAGATGCATAAACTTGGTGTAAAAGACCTCATTTTAATGAGATTGACTGACTTGGCAGGGTTCAGCACTCTGACCCTTGGCAAAATAACAGACAAATAAACCATTTTCTGTGTTGGTTTCACTTTGAGAATGCTGTAAGTCTGATACAAAAGTGGAATAGATTGCAAAAATTCTAAACCTTGATTAGTTTTACAAGTATATTGTCAAACAATGCAAAAACAAACATGAATTGAACACATTAAAAGTCAGCCAGATACAAACAGAACTCGTTTGTGAAAAGTGATAAGCTGTAAAATTAGCAATAAACTTGTACAACAGTTAATATAAAGAATTGATGACAAAGGTACATTTGAAAGACAATCATTTAAAAACAACAATATTTCTAACATGACCTTTTCGAATTAGCTACAAAGAACCCTCTTTTCTGTGAAAACACATGCCAGTACTATTTTCAGCACTTTGATAATAGCATCAGTCAACATTCTTATAATATTAACCACTACTGAGGAGATGACTATTAAATAAATGGCATTATTAATTGTTTCAATAATCTAGAAACAGTGAGTGAGTGAGTATGGTTTTACGCCGCTTTTAGCAATATTCCAGCAATATCACGGCGGGGGACACCAGAAATGGGCTTCACACATTGTACCCATGTCGGGAATCGAACCCGGGTCTTCGGCGTGACGAGCGAACGCTTTAACCACTAGGCTACCCGACCGCCCCAATCTAGAAACAGATGTGCTTCATAAATGAGACAGTATCACATTTCCTATTCCCATTTAACAAGAGGAGTAAATTTGACTATTCTCAGTTTCAAACATATCCTAGCTAAAGGTCCAATAGTTTCTTCTTTAATTTGTGGTCTACACCATTCTTGCCCCATATTCAGTTTCCAACTTGAGCCAGTTGTCTGAAGCCTGAGTTATTTTTTTCCGTATTGAAAGCTCAGCACATGATAGCCCACATAGTAACAGTTAAAACAATTACAAAAGTCACCCATAGATTAGTTCAGTCTGAAGAGTTTGGCTCAGACTGCATATCTATTCAGCATGAGAGGAATAACAGCTACTTGAAGCAAAACTAGTAGTGCATATAACTGATAAAACTCACTGATACGCATTCGTGACAAAGGCTATTAGGGATGAAAAACCCTTATACACCTCAAAAGTGGTGTAAATGTTTTGTAAACAATTCTTCTGTACATTTTTAGATGTAAAAACAAATCTCACAAATCAGTACAAAATTTGTTCTGATCTGATGCCTGGACTTCCTGAATATCCATAGTTTCGGGACGATGCACTTACAGCCTTGTTTGTGAGGACAAGTTCCAAGGCTTGGAAATCAACAAGACGACGGACATCTTTATCTTTTCGAACAACGGTGTCGGGCAACTTGCGGATCTTGTGTACAAGTCTTCTTTCCACACCAAGCTCAGCACACAACAAATTTAGTAGTGCCTCATATGTCAGCATATTCTTGTCCAGCTCTACTTCAATAAAGTCTCTGTCATCAGAATTGGCCAAGCGAGCCTTAAAGACCAGCTCTGTAAAGAGATACCAAATCATTTTTAGCACACAATACTTACCCAGAAACAAATACATCATGAATTTGCTAGACTTAATGTTTATGCCATATGAACCACCCCGAATTCTAGTGTATTTTGTTTGCTTTGTAGACCAATCTTCAGCAAAGCCACCCAAATAAACAAAACCTAGTAATTAATGAATGAGTGAGTATGGTTTTTCACAATATTCCAGCAATATCATGCAGGGGACACCAGAAATAGACTTCACAGCATGACGGGTGAATGCTTTAACCACTAGGCTACCCCACTGCCCATAGTAATAAATGGTCCCAATCTAAACATACAAACACACTAATCAGAATATGCTTGTACTTGTATTATTAAAGCTGCAAATAGCTAAAGGTGAAAGGATACATCAGTGCACCAGTGCATCGTGAGTTTTCAATCGCTAATATGATACACGATACATTATTTTTCTGTATCAATACAAGGCGATACACTTGCTAAAATACATTACTGCTCTTTTAATGACCCCTTGCGTTTTTGTCAGTCAAAAATTGCAAAATGTGTTCACTACTAAAAATAGCCACAACGAACATGTGTCAACCAGGTAATGTCTCCTTTTGAACCTGCTCTGAAATATTCAGTCAAGACATTTCCATGTGATTTGACGCAAATATGCATATCACGATATGTATCGCATCGTGACCTTCCTGCACCGTTTCCCCACTACAAATAGCTGGAAAAAGCTGCTTCAGCTATAAACAACACTAATATAGACATCGCTGTGATAAGGAAAGAGTGGTCTGACCATTGTCTCCCTGTCCTGCATGGTTAGTGACAACTGGAGTGCTGGCCATGAGGGTGTGGTTGGAATCCACACTCCTGCTCTTGCTGTGTGGAAAGGGTGGGTTTTGTAGATAACTGGGAGTGATGGGCAGGTTAGACTGACTCTGTGGCACATCTCCTGAAGCTGGAAATGACCGTCATAATAAATGAAAGGGTTAGCAAGTTTGTATGTCATGTGTTTTCATTAACTATAAAAGGTTAAACCATACAACAGAAAATATAGGTATCTTATTTCACATACTCCTGTGTTATATAAATTTAGCCAACCCCAATCCTATTATGCCTATTTTCCCAACTATTAAATGAGAAATAATGGATGGATTAGAAGGAACAGACATACTGGTATATAAATACATGTATATTAAAATAAATCAAATAAAGATCAGAACTCATTGTTCAGGTTTTGTTCTAAAACTTAAAAACAAAACATCTAAGTGATGATGTGTTACTAAATTCAGGCTTTCTCACAGCTCTTTGTTTGTGATAACTTACAGTTTAGAGCCTAAGCATTAAGCTTTATTACTTAAACATGTTAACCAGGGGGTTCAGAGGGTTTTGACACACTAACATATTGAAAATATTAACCCTCCCCTAATGCTTGCCATATTTTTGGATGATGCCCCCGCCTTCACCCTCCATGTCATTTGATTCATAACCCTCCTTGAAAAGACAAGATTCAGGATCTTCCACAAACATGTGTATGTCTCCCATGCAGTGTTTGAAATAAAAACAATTGCCAGGCTGCCATCAGGATCAACAGACTTGAGAAGCTGCAGGTCTTTACTAAATTTAAGGACCCTACAGTTTTGATACCATGAGATCGACAAGAGATCTACCTGCCATGGGCACTATTCGAACCACATACCCACACTAACACTATCATAAATAACTGGTCCCTTACCGCCAAGCAACAGTCTGATGTCCTGGTTGTTAGTAAGATTTTCTGCGATTTGTCCTTCATTGGTTCGGATAGTGTGGTCTGCACCATGATCCATTAGATACTTCACAACAGACACATGGTTTCTCTTGGCTCCCCAATGCAGGGCAGTCCTGTTGGGTGTCAAGAAGCAAACTTACATGATGCATAATGATGTATTTTGTACAATTAAGAAACCTTAAAAAAAATTGGAACAACATTTCCAACAGTTTTTGATGGGCTTGATATCATACAATCAGGCCACATGTCTTAACCACCTGATCCTCAACATGACACATTATCACTAATTAGTGTGTTGTTTGTTGTTTAGTGTCGCAGATCAGCAATATTCCAGAAATATGATGGTATCCTGTAAATAATCAAGTCGGAACCAGACAAACCAGTGATGAATATTATGAGCAGCAACCATGTTGTAGGGGTACGTTTACACACCATTAACCAAGTCACCAAGCCTAGTTACTCAATCCATTCAGTCGCTTCTTACGACTAGCAATGGTGTGTTGGGGACATATTCTACCCAGGGTCCCCACAGGAAGGAAGGAAAAACAGAGGGACACAGACACTACTCAAATCTATGTCACTCACATTTCATGGCAGACGATACAATAATACAATGTAGAATAATTTCAAAATTTTCACTGTGTTTCACTGATCAAACAAATTTTGAAGTTAAAAGTGTTCAGGTTTCTAAATGAAATAAAAATTTAGATAATGGAGAATCTACCAAATAATCACTTTTTCTTTGCTATACATCCAAAAACCCACAGACCCTAAATGATGTACACTAAACAATAATTTCCTAATTATGAGTCATGTCTGTCACAGGGATTATGGAACAGAGGTATGTAAACAATAATTACCATCCACTTAAGTATGTCACATCTCAGGCTTGCCCATGAGCTTTCCCCAAGAATGAAAAATGATGTAGTTTGTTAATGTGAAGGGTAACTCAACTAATATTATCTTAATCATGAAATAACACTAGGGTATCCATTTGTTTTCATGAGCCTCTAAAAAATTATATATTTCTGTTTCTCTTTCTCATAACCCTCACTCAGAAACTATCATTCTTTTAGGGACTCTTCCTTCACTCTCTTCTGGCCTGCCTCCCCCAAACTGGTAAATGACAAGCTGTCATTAAATTTCCAACAGTCAGTCCACGTGTACAACTAACACACAATGTTGTTTTCATGTGATGTTTTGTTGTTATGAGAGGCTTTTATGTATCAGCAACAGTTTTATAAAAAACAAAATAAACGTCTCCTGCATTTATCTTGACAGTTTGTCAATTCATTATTCACAATTTACAATCTCCACAGTAACCACTCCTTTTAAAAGCAAATTAGGATGGCAATCCCTGTACACACATTTTATTGCACAAAAAATGCTGACTTATGAAGAGATGGTTGTCATTCAGGTTCTATCTATGAGTGAACTGCAGTATTTGCAGCAAAAGTCATGAGTATACTCGATATGAATATGATATTATTGGCTGCCAAACAATCATGTGTGGTCTTACACCAGCTAGATTTCTTATTTCACTTACCAACCATTCATGCTATTTGCATTGTTGATATCAATTCTTTGGGATTCGATTAAATTTTGTATAGTGTCTATGTCACCAATACATGCTGCTTCACGCAGTCTTTCTCCGAGTTCTTTAATGGGATCCATATTTATAGCTAAAAAACTGTACACGTTTCAGCAGGTGCGCGTCTGCTAGCAATGCAGGAAACGGAAGCACTTCAGACACATACTCTTAATCCAGGACAATATTAGGCAAAAACAATATTTGGTTGGCTAAAAACATTAAAAAATCATACTATTTAAGGCAATATTTTGTAAAATATATTACTATAAATCGCATTTATTCAAACGCTATCAAAGGCAAAATTTATAACATGTTTATGCTAACGAGTTTACTTTTCCACGCGAGACTAGAAGCTTCGCACACGCCATTTTCTTTCCTGAAAGAGTTATAAGCGTGAAGTATTTCAGTTTCAAATTTTAGCCATGGCTGATCAAGAATACTTTCAAGATGGACAGTTTCCCGGAGAACCTAGATCTGGTAGTTAGAATAAGTTATTGCACAATCGTCACGACTATCTTTCAACGTCTTTTGTGTTAATCGACATTCGAATTCGTGCCCTTAGACTGGCGGCATTGTTTCAGGGACTTCGGGCCTTTCCAACCATGCGGACGCAGGAGTTATTAAATCAGTTCACGTCGAATTGCTACTACATTAAGTAGACCAGTGGTTTCATTATAATATTAATTTCCACGTAATGATGACACAATTCTAGCTAACTATTTGTTTCTCTGGTCAGTATAGGTGTTAACCTGCAATGAGGTAGGTCACATATGGTCTCTTGTAAGACTTCCGCCCGTGTCCCCCCTCAAATATATAGGCTATAATTATCAATAGCAATATGGCAATCAACATGTATAACTGTTGGAGGGGGAATATGGGTTTTTCTGGTAAACAACCCGTCAAGCCCATTTCTGGTGTACCCCGCCGTGATATTGCTGGAATATCGCTAAAAGCAGTGTAAAATCAAACGCACTCTCTCTAGTCCCATGAAGATTCCAGGTTGGAATTGGTCTTCAGCAACCTGTGCTTGTTGTAAGAACCATTGCTGAAGACCTATTCTTTCCCCTGATCTTCACAGGTCATTTTATGTTCCGATTGTGAATCACCTTTATACTACAAATGTTGAAGATAACCTGACTGTATACTATACATTACCTTGAACATTTGGCCGTAAATATGGTAAAACATAAAAGGGCCTATGATTGCATTCATTCCCATGAAGTATGCACTCCTTTCCAAAAACTGAAAACCTGTTTGGACTTTCAAGATAACCAAGAGTACACTTCTGGTTGAACCATTATTGTCAAATTTATTCTAGTATTTAGTTTTGAAGTGGCAAAAAGTTGTGCTGCACTGTTCAATTATGAGAATGTTTAAATGATCATTTGTATGGCAAAATTGGATTATTAAACACATAATTGTAACAAAATGCTAATCCACATGTTTGATAGCATGTATTCCTGGATAATACCTTCTTCAATACACATGATGAATAATTTCTGATAAGCAGTGAAAAGCTAGATAAACAACCGACAAGAACGACGGTAAAATAAAAGGATCATAAAACAATTTCTCAAATTACAAACATTTGTATAGGTTTCTCACCCAAAATATTGCAAAACATCAATTGAGTTACGAAATCTACTATGGTGATAATATTTCATTTGACATATACCCTGATATGCTGTTATCTCCAATCTAGTGGGTAGTGTGACTCACCTGTCTCTACTGCAAAACTGTTAAATCAGAGTCAAATTAACAACAATTGTGAAAAGAAAGAAGACATTTTCTTTTGATGAAAGAGTACATAGAGAATGCTATTCATTGCTAAAGTAACCTGACTTGCAAATTAGGGCTGTTATGATTCACACACGTATTCGGTGAATCGAACCGAATCCATTCATGAACATGATGAATTGAATTCATTATTCGTGGCCACTAGAATTAAATATTTTTTAATATGCAAGCATCTGCATGTTTACATACCCTGTACCAAAAAATATAAGAACATATAATATGCATAGCTTTCTTCAAAGACAACACTCTTATAACATTTAGTTTGACAGTATTGTGGTCACTGGTCATTGTAGCATTTGAGCAGATACCAGTACCTGGATAAGTGCAGTATATAAATGTATAATATATTAATTATTAACAAACCATATCAAATAATTCATGTTGTCAACGTTTCACTGAATATCATGAATATAACAAATAAAACAAATAATATTTCAGCTGCTACATCAGACTAGTTATTGTATTCATGAATCAATATTTGTATTCGTTACCCTATATTCATGATACGATTGTATTCGCCTCATAGTGTATTCGTTGCAGCCCTATTGCAAATACATCTGTGAAACATGATCATTAATTTCCTGGAGCTTGTTGATAAATGTTTGATCAGTTGATATCAGTAGAAAATTAAGGAGTTGATTCCCATCACCAGCATAAAGTGCTTGTGACAATGACTATTATTATTATATAGATCTATGATTGGTTGTGTAGTTCCTTGAATTTTTTGCAACCTCATGGTCAATTTTAAAGGAGTAATTAATATTGTGCACTTGATGAACATTGAAGTCTTCTATGCTTTTGGGGTGGACGTATTACATGCCTCATTCATCATTGGTTTCTTCATTTGTCATTTTCTTTGAAGCAAACCATGAAAAGGAAAGACCACGTGAGAAAGAGAGGAGGAGGTCTAGATCACCAAGACGGAGACGATCGGGAAGCAAAGAAAAAAAAGATCGAAAAGAGAAGGATCGTCGTCGCAAATCTAGGAGGTTGGTGTTCACACTCATTCTCAATTTTCCAGCGTATTGTATCTCCATTCCAATATAAGTACCCAGGACCCCCAAAATGTTCGATTTGAGTGGAGTTAGTAAGATATGATCACTGATGATACGATAGCGATATCTTAAGTACAAATGGGAACTCCTGGCAGCATGGCTGAATTGAGTTCTTCCCTCCCCCTGTCTTAATACTCAAGAACACATCTATTTCAGTTAGAAATTCATTATGATTCATAGTGAGGTCATATATTTGAAACATAAAATATGTAGATCTATGCTGAACTCTTTAAGAAGAGTCATTTTGATTGGTTGTTGAGTTCAAGCTCACCAGTGAAAGATGGAGATGGTGACGTCACTTCCGCAAAGAAGCTTTGGTGCAGTAAGGGTCGAGGGTATGTACTTCATAATGGAATGGAGATATAACATTACGCTGGATAATCGAGGATGGTTTACACTCTTAAAAAAATATTTAGCTTTCTTTGAAACAGAATAAGTAAATTTGGAAAAAGATTCATGTGCATGTCTAGTCATGTTAAGGGGATTGAGAGTCAGAATAGATCCCCAGTACCTCATGCTAGTAAGATGGGGCTGGTGTGGTTAGGCTCTGTGACTTGTATGACATTGTATAATTGGTGTGGGTAGTTGCTCATAAATCTAGTTATATTTTCCAGACAATCCATCGTTGTATCTGAAGTATTAAATGATCAACTTAATTGTAGTGTTTGATCATTCTTTAACATTCTCAGTTCTCAGAAGTAAATTTGTATATAGCTATATATGTTCCTGTGAAAACATTAGCCACCCTGCACTTTTAGACAGTATTAACTATTATATCTTCCCACTGTAACGATCGACCCCAAAGCAATTCATTTTGAACAAAATGAAAATATTTTAGGGTTACCTTTTTAGTTTCAATGATGTTTTTTATTTCAGTTTGCATGTTGTTGTAAACCAGTATCAGTGACTGAGTGAGCTCTATTATATATATTGAAAGTATTATGATAAAGTATAATATTAATATGATGAGTATTATACCTTTGTTAAATATAAGAGATTGAGCATTGATTAAGGATATATGGGTCTATCTTCAGTTGTTTTATTCACTGCAGTGACTATGATCATGATGCTGCATACATAAAGATGTCACTTTTAAGCTCCATATTATATTTGATAATAAAACTTGAATGTATCATTGTAGTCGTTCCCCAAAGGATAAGACTCGGAAGAGAAAGAAGCCATACAAGTACTGGGACATTCCCCCACCTGGGTTTGAGCACATCACACCAATGCAGTACAAAGCCATGCAAGGTAAAACGAATGGATGTCATTTCAAAAATCTATTTGAAATGGGTCAAAGACAAAAACAAATCTCTATTATATGCATGTGATAATCTTGAGCTGATGGTACCACACAGGTTTTTTTGTTACTATTCAGTCCTTGAAGTTTTATTCTTCATATATATGATTGCGTGATCTCACCTTATAATTCCATATGACCTAGTTACTCAAACTACCCAAGTTACTGTTTTGCATGTTTCAAAGGGTTTGCCTTATATTTTATCAGAACAAATAGTTATTTACTGTTATAGTTATTGATTGTCATGGATAACTTGAAGGAATTCTTTTTCACATTTGATTTTTCTGGTGTCCCCTGCCGTGATATTACTTAATATTGCTAAAGGTGGTGTAAAACTGTACTTACTCACTATTCATATTTGACAGTTAATACAAAATGATATTCTTTTTGCCTACAGGAAATGTACCAGGAGTTCCAGGTATGTACAATGATCTACCTCTACAGATATGTTAACAGTCGTATGTGTAGAAAAACAAACTATGGCTTCTTTGTGTGGACTTGGTTAAATAAAATGTTTTTAAAAGGTTTTGAAAATGTCAGACCGGTCAGTTTCCTCTTGAACATGAATGTTGTCATCTCATTAATTGTGACATGTTTATTCACACACCAGAAATGGTTAAAAAACAAAACCCAACAAAATAATTCAGGAAGACAACTAAATCAAATAAGATTTATGTGTCCTCATGGGAATATTGTTTGATAGGTCATAGTCATGTGTACTGCATATATTAGTAGAAGCTGAGTTTATCCAGAGTATTCTCTGAACATGCTGATGTATTTACAGTTGCTGCTCTCCCCAAGCTGGAGCCTTCACAGTTCCCAAATCCCATTGGAGATCCTTTCCAACCAGGTAACACAACAAAGATTGTCCTCAGAACATGCTGCAGATTATGAGACTGTAGCAAAATCATGTCAAGTGATAATGAAAACGGATGCAATTGACTTAAGATATAGATTCCTTGGTCACAAGATTACTTTTGAAACCCCCTTTGGGAATTGCAAAGAATAGGCCACAGTATTCAGTGCTTACACGATTAAAAAGGGTTGGGTGATCATGCCTGCCGACGTACCTGATAGCTGATCATTTTGCTCAAATGTAGATATTTGCTAATGATTTCAGTGACAGGTTTGCTTTTTCCAGACTGTTATTTACATGCCACTATTATATGGTTTGAATACTGTTAACTGTGGCATTAAACTACATTCACTCTCATTCACTTTTGAAAGCAATACTTACATCTTTAGTGGTAACTAGCACAGCCTACAATTTAAGCTACTTGTCTGAAGTTTGAGTCTTTCTTTAATCCAGTAACATCAGTTGACACTGTTCCATACCTACTTACAATAATGTAATAAATATTATGCCAAAATACTATTTCGGAATCAAAGACTCAAATTTGATTTGGCCACAGACTGTCAGGATTAAATGTATTTTGCTTGCATCTATTTTCAGCCATTCTTTCTCTTTCATGCAAATGGTTGGTATTACATCACTGTTTCCATTGTTAGGGGAACTGTGTAGATCTTGTTTTTCTGCAGTTCTGGGAAAAACTGTCTTGGTTAATGTTAGGTTTGTCTTTATCTAGTCTCAGTTCCTGCCATGCCGCCAGCTCCAATAGCAGTGGCACCCGGTGGTACAACATTAACAAACACAACCGTACCCTTTGCTGGCAGTGCTATCAGTCGGCAGGCTAGACGTCTCTATGTGGGCAACATACCATTTGGTGTGACAGAGGTTTGTATGCCTTCTTTCTAAGTTTTGGTAATAGTTGTTAAAACGTATTAATTGAAGATTCCATAGTTATCTTTAACATGCTTATTATTGGTAATATATATATTTTTTTATATCTTGTGTCTTTTCGCAGTAACATTATTTTTTGTCTGTTTTCATAAGGAGAATGTTTTTGTGTCATACTTACTGTAGTGGAACATTCCTGTTGCCCACTATTTTCTTGAAATAATGAAAACTCTTTCTTTTTTTCAGGAAGCCATGATGGATTTCTTCAATCATCAAATGAAACTTACTGGTCTTGCACAGGCTGATGGAAATCCAGTTATTGCTGTACAGATTAACTTGGACAAAAACTTTGCATTTTTAGAGGTTAGTCATTGCTGCCGTGGGCAACAAGAAAATTTGAAAGTTTCATTATCTTGAATTTCGAATCCTGTACTTAATGCATAGGGTCATTGCAGGTTTTAAGTTAGGTTCATTTTCTAGGACATTAACAGTGTCCTGAAGATTTTTTTCAAATTTGGTAAGGATATAAAACAGAATGAAAAGTTGATCAAATCATGAACATGTCCTATTGCCATTTCTCTAGCAAAATCACTTAACTGTGGTACTCAACTGATATTGATGCATGTACCAGTGTGGTATTTCATGAAGCTGAAGCTTTATTTGCACATTCAGATCTTACATCAAAGGACCATATTTGACATGCTTAACACCTATCTCCTACTAAGGAAGTCTTGTCACAATGAACAGCTGATGAATCTAAAACACTTGTCAAAAGATAACTAAATAACTAATATGAAAGAAATGTGCACCAATCCATGATGGTTTTATGAAACGTCCTACCTTTGACTTCTTACTTTGTGATGCTGCAGGGAAAAACTGATTCACTGCTCTATTCCACTGAAAACTGAAGATGAGATAAAAAAAAAATGTTTATCATTGTATAACAGTTCCGATCAGTGGATGAAACAACACAAGCAATGGCTTTCGATGGCATCAACTTCCAAGGGCAATCATTGAAGATTCGTCGCCCTAGAGACTACCAGCCCCTCCCAGGGATGGCTGAAACTCCGTCAGTGGCTGTGCCAGGTGAGTGTACAGAGTGCATCCATTGGCTGTTTCATAGCTAGGTTCAGGTTGTCCTTATGAAAGACGATGACAAGTTTTTCAATGTACGTCAGGACATCAGACAACATGTACGTAGTCGCAACAAATGAAAATGTTTTCTTTTCTGTGAGATTCACCGCCACTTTGTTGTTAGGCTGGGCTCCTCTTCCTCAATTTTCAATGACTAATGCTGACCAATCCAATCTTGTAGAAGGAACAGCACAAATAGGCGAAAACCACCTTACTGTACAGGGCTGTTTAACACTAGAGAATTCTATATTGTTCAAAACTATAGAAAATTCATTTAATCTGTCATACCGTGTAGCAGAATACTAGTACAGTTTGTACATCTCATTGATTGTTGTCCAGTAAAACAATATGCACTTTGATAGTTTAGCTCATCCTGCGACGCCAGGGCAACACGATTTTCAATGCAGTGTACATGCACAAAGCACGGACAATCGCTTGTTTTAAGTCCAACACCAACACCACTCCTGATGCCGGTCAAAACGCTCGCTCCGTCTGATCCCATTCCTCCATCCCCTTTCTGATCTTTGCAATTATTATTTCTGCTGATCCCCCATGAACAGTATAGTTTCCCAGAAATATTGTCTCTGCTTTGCCGCCATTTCCCATAGGAGCATAATTATCAGGATATTTTTCAACAGTAATGTTGACAGTTTCGTCAAGAATCAAACCGATATTTCAAATGTTCTGTGGTAGATTCGGTAATTGTGCTTTCCATTTCTTCCATGCTGTCCCCATGGGTGTTTTCAACCCCTTATAATGAGCTGTTTCTTTTCTTGCAATTCAATAAGGCTTGAAAATTTATCTGCGGCAATATTCTCTTTTGCCATATATAATACAGTTCTCATCATCACGGTTAGGTGGTCATCCGATTTTTCGCTATCTAAGGACATATCTCTCTCATCCCCCCCTGCATATAATGCGGGGGGATATAGCGATCAGTCTGTCTGTCCGTCTGTAATCATTTCCTTTTCCGTGGCAGAATTCCAAAACCATTCGTGTATTTGATCGAAACTTGGCAGAGCTATCAGGCACATACTGAAGTGGTGCCTTTTGATATTTTGGGATTTTTCTAATTTTTATTTTTTTTAAATTTTTTGAAAGAAGTTGGACTTAGGTTCTATAGGGTAGAGTTCGTTTCGGGAGCATAACTCAAAACCAATTAAAAACTTTCTAACAAAACTTTGCATGTCTATCAGACTCTTGCTGAACTGGTGCCTTTTGCTATTTAGGAATTTTATAAATTTTTATTTTTTACGTTCCCATGGCAACAAGATGGATTTAAGTTTTGATATAGGGTGGGTTCACTTATGGAGTAAAAACAAATAAACTGTTAAATATTTCCTTGCCAAACATTGCATGTCTATACGTGTTAAAATAACGTTTGAAAATGGGCGGGGGATATAGATGACTTTGTGACTGTACGCTTGTTTAGTCATTGTTTCTTGTAATTTGTCATTTGTTTGCATTAAAAAAAAATACAGAATACAGAATAGCACATATGCTTGTGGTTACTTTACAGACAGCTGCCGGGGGGATATGTCATCTTTCTGATGACTCTTGTTTTATTTTACTTTAAAAAAAACAACAGTCATGGTGACTCTTACTGTCTCTGTGCTCTTGTATATCCAATTTTTGCATGTTAATGCATCCCTTGGTGAACCCATTCAGCTTCCCTGCTGCCTCACATATACAACAAAACATTTTCTCTGCTTCGGACTCGTGGCTTAACCATCTAAATTCAACTAGTCATCTTGAGATTTCCTGATTTTTGTCGTTTTACCATTTGTAGCAGTTTGAGGCTTTTTAATCCCACTATCACAGTCAGTACTATAACTGGCTGACTTTCCAAATTCATCATTTGTTTGTTTGTAGGGTTTCTCGCAGTTGCCACTGAAAAAACTTTAATACTTCATCTTTGATGATGCCATGTTGGATAATCTCGGAGAAGTTGGTTTGAAATGACATTTCACTTTGGTTCGAGAATAAGTCTCTACAAATAGATATTTAATCTCGAGGCAAGACATAACATTATTTCCTTGCACTAAAAATAGACAACAGGGAAACCCTGATGATGACAGACAAGCTGACTTTGTTTGAAAAATATAATTTATTGATTTTTACCAATCTTTAGTTCAACAACAAAGATTTATAAGATACTTTTTGCCGGTCCTTAGGGACTGACAGTCACATGAATTACCGGTCCAAGCCTAATTTTACCGGTAAAAAAACCAACTTGTTAATTACCAGTAAAGGGGAACACTGTAATAGTTACTAATACTCATTGCTTGACTCTCTATCATTCCACATTATGCATTCCATAATGAGTTGTGATGGGTTTTTCATCCCCCAAGCGAAGACATTACTGTGAGCATGTAATACCAGAAATACCATGTCAATTAATCCGTACTTAATTATGCAATTAAATCTTGTATTCCACTGTCTGGTTATATTAAGTGTTTATCGTATATCTGGACTTATCTTTGTAATGTATTTATATTAATTTTATTCAAAATTTCATTCAATATAGTTTACATTAATTTCGGCGAAATCATGTGTGAAGTGATCAGAAGATCGCACAACTCACCGTTATTTACAGCAACCACGGTGAGATTACCGCCATTGATGCCTTGAAATGAAATGTAGTTGACAGAGAATGGATGTATACATATATCATAAATGCCATTCTTTGACTCGTTAAAAGTCATAATTGTTGTAGTTTGACTGGTATATTTGTCAACATTAACTTTTAACAATCGTGAGCGCAGGAGCCTCTGAGGTGACTTGTTCCATACATAAAACATATCCGACAATAGCGATCAGCTGTACCAAAGTGCTATGCATATGGTTATTATTCCTTTAAATTTAAAGAGCAAAAGCTGCAACTAAGATAACATGAATAGATATAAGATATAGATAATAAGATAACAGTGAAATCAACTTGTTTTGACCAAGTTTGTTGTCACCTGTTAGTTGATACCTGATTCGCTGAAGGGACATGGTGTAATTTTTTCTGCACATAATGCTTGAAAAGTCTTCTTTCTTTTTTTTCCAAAATACTCAATGCTCATTCTATAAATACTCACACTCTGGATGCCTGCTTCGGGTATTTGGCAAGTGTATAACATTAAAGGTATGATAAAAATCGCCATTTGAAATCGCCAATCTGACGAGCATAAGGAAATGATTTTGTGATACATGTTCAGGAATAGAAATTGGCACTTGTCCTATAATCCTTTCCAAACTGCCCAATAGGTAACCTGAGGACTAGTAGAAATTTACCTCTTTCAAGGGTTTTGCTATATGTTATCGTAAGGACTAGCGGACTCAAACTGTTAGTTTCTGTTGCTGATATTGTGGAAAGAGTTAACCTCAGTTTACCGATATACCGCCCACCATTAATGATAAGTAACCAATTGCAGTCTAAAAATGATTTCTATTACAGGTGTTGTTTCTACAGTAGTCCAGGACTCAGCCCACAAAGTATTCATTGGAGGATTGCCAAATTACCTCAACGAGGACCAGGTATGTTTTGATGGAGCAGAAGTGAGAGGGGGCATTGGTTGAGGTAAATGTAGACTGGTGATCAGTCTGTTTGCTGCCCCCTCTCCAGTGCCATGTTGGTGTTGGTTACAGGCATCCACCACACCAAGTGGGGGCAAGTGTTGATGATGTGTCTTGGTTGCTGCATAGGGAAGAAGCTCTCAGGGTCGTGTGGTCAAGTTTGTTTCAGGGCCGGTATCTTACATCAGTAAGATGGCACTCGGCTTTTCTTTTCAGATCAACATGTCATGATTTCGATAAAAATAGACTAAATAGGAAACTCCAGCAGGTTAGGACCCCAAATAAATTTAAGTCCATAACCCTAAGATTGAAATGTCATAGCAATTAGATTCACAGGTCTGCAAACACGGTGTGTTTGGAACAGATCTACTTTCTAACTTCCCATAGGCATAGGATTGACAGGTTCTCTTGATGATATGATAGCAAGACAAGTGATTATGGTTTGGCTTGTGTCTAATTTTGGCTGTTCAAAACAGATTCTTCCAAATTTCCAAATTGCGAGCACCTTAGCCTAGGCTCTTTGTTTCAGTGATTCTTTTTCAGCTGCAGCTGCAGTCTTCTTTTCAGGCTGTCTCTTTCAGCTCAAAATCTTTTGCAGGTTATGTTTATGTTTCGGTTGTGTTCAAATTATTTGCAAATTTATATGAGTAGATTGTTACAATGAAGTACAGTATTTCCGTGTTCGTTGTAAGCAACTGGAGTAATTCAGCTATTTTCATCAAGAACTGTTTTGCCTTGTTTAAGAAAATAAGTAAATGACAGGAAATGTATTTTGAGGTGCCATTTCCACTCTTGATCATGACTTGTTCCAGATCTGTAGTTTTTGTGATTGATATATGCAAATGACACAAGTACTGATCTGTTCTTCTGTTTTCTTCCCCCTTTCATTCCCTAGCTTAGGGGAAGAGCTTGAAAACCCCACCGTTTACAATTCTTCCTAACATGAGCAAACTGTTGTTATATGTGCCCAACCAAGACACAGGCAAGTTACATTTTTGTTTGAAAGTGCTTTGACTATGGGGGACCCTCAGAGCTTTTGCACTTTCATGTGTAAGTTTGTATCCCACTTGTCGATATTCAGCAGTTCTCTTCAGTAACTTACATGGCTATGAAGTGTATGAACTTGTTGTGTGAATGGCTATGTCGCCAGGGTTTCTTGTGTATAATACACACATATGTGGTGTAGTGTCATTTCAGACAGTCTTCTGTTACATTCAAACTGAATGTTTACAGGAACATGCAAGTTGTTACATGTTCAACAGAACTGACTAAAACAAATTTTGGATACACACTGAACCATGTTTTTCTTAATTATATCTAACTTTTAAGAACTCTTAGATATGACATTTTAAAAGTTGCATGTTCCTGCATACAAGTCACAATTTGTTTGTTTAGTATGAAATGTGTTGGTGCATTGTAGATAGTTTGACAAGTTTGGTAATGCATGCATAATTGATTAATGATAATTATCTTGTAGTGTAGTTCTGATTTTTCAGTGAGTAGGATATTTTTGATAACGGGTTCAGATATTGTTGGAAAGTATCAGAACAAACACCCAGATAAATGGTTAAGGGGTGAATTCAAGGCATGCACATGTTGATTAGTTAAGATTTGACAGGTACAAACAGGCCCACTAGGTAAGCTAGTGACCAGGTTCTATGTAAGTATAGCCCACATGATCATTGCATATATGATCTATGTAGCTATGATCCCTTACAACATTGTTATCAAGTTTATCACAGAAACATTTCATTTCAAGTAAATGTGATATATGAGTTTGATTTAATAAGGGACATTATGAAAGTATCTGAAATTTAAAAAGAAAATTAATTAAAATTTACATTTATGTAGGCAAATGGTTAACTTATTTTGTTAACTTATGACTACTTTTCTAAGATGTTATTGTAAGTTATTGGCCAACACTGTGTTATATTATCTTTCTGTGATTTGTAGGTAAAGGAATTGCTGACCTCCTTTGGACCTCTGAAGGCTTTCAACCTGGTGAAGGACAGCGCAACTGGCTTATCGAAGGGATATGCATTCTGTGAATATGTGGACGTCAACATCACCGATCAGGTAGCAACTTCATTTCATTTACCTTTGTATTTGATGAACTAATGTATTTGATTAACACTGTCTTGCTTAGCAGCGTGATGAAGCGAGGTGGTGGACATGGTAGCTGCAGACACAGAAGACTGGGATTGATGGCAAGCACTTGCTTGTGTTACAGCAGTGATGGTAATGTTACTGGCGAGGGTGTAAGATTGCATTTACTCATTCATTTATTTGCAGGCATGTGCAGGACTGAATGGCATGCAGCTCGGAGACAAGAAACTAATTGTACAGCGGGCAAGTGTTGGGGCCAAGAATGCACAGAATGTGAGTACATGCATAGGCAGGAAATGCAAATTCAAAATAAGAAATAAACGACTTGTGGTCGTTGTTTAGCGTACAATAAAACACTGCCGGGTGAATAAACCATGAAGGCACAGCATCGAGTGGTATATTCTCCCTGCAGCATGTTATTGTGGTCGTTTATTTCTTACATGAGATATCAGCATTATATACAGTATCTTTAAGGATGTTGATGAAATGTACAAGCATTAAAAATATTTACCCAATTTTTAATAATGACTCCCTGAATAGAATCTGACCTCAGAAATGTCGGACAAGTCCCTTTTACGAACACGTGGGGTTAAGTTAAGAATTTCTTGCATAGTCTCTCAATCCTCATGTCAATTGTCTGTACCTTTTCTCCTAATACCGATTGTCATATCTCACACTTTTAGATGCAATCTTACATCCTCTTTGCTTATCTGTGTAGCCCAGCCACAGCTATGGGGAACAACTTACTAGACACCTCTCTCGAAAATAACGTCCAATATGAGAGCACATTCAAATCTCCAGAAATGTTATGATAGAACAATGTTTTATAGTGAAATGAACAATGCTTCATTTTTCATTGTTCTTTACAATTTGTCACTTAGCTATGTAACATTTGTGAATAGTTTTACATTTTTCAGTGTAATGGCAATTTAGTGGGGTTCCTACGGTCTGAGGCTTTTTGGCAGTATTATATGTAGGACCCCATAATTGTGTCATTTTTAACGTTATACCTTTGAAAAATACTACTTGACTTGCAGGGGCAGATTTTGAAACAATATTTATCTCCCAATATAACTATTGCTACAAGTAGGCTTAATAACCAATGCTAAGAATAAGTAAATATTAAAGGTTCTGTTTGTGAAGCTTAAATATATGATGCACTTACTGTGTATGTTGCAGGCGCCAGTACAGTTGCAGGTACCAGGGTTGAACCTGAACCAAGGTGCTGGCCCAGCCACAGAGGTTCTGTGCCTCATGAATATGATTCTGGCAGAGGAGCTTGAGGATGAGGAGGAGTATGAAGGTAAGGGCTTATATCTGGGATTCCTAAGCAGAAGGTCCCTAGTATCTGATGCTTTTAAGAGCTGTCTAAAGTGAGATTTGGCTTTTGACAGTGGGTGACCTCTCTGTTTGTGTGTCATTGACATTGTCATGCTATCAACTTCTGGTTGCTTGACCCAGGCTTCTTAGGTGTAGCTGTAATCTGTACCTGAACTGCAGCTGAAAATTACAATCACTCTTCGTGTTTAAGTTAGATGTTTAGTTTTGAATTTTGGTGTTGAGAAATGAAGCTTCAATTTGTCTCGAGGCTGGACAAAATATGAGAAGACAGGTAGCTTGTAGTCTAATTATGCCTGAGGTCAAATGCTATTTGATTTATCCTAGACTGCTAAATGTTGTATATTTGATAGTGCCTATTTTGTAATAAATGTGTTCGGGATACTCAAGTCTGAACCAGGAGGCCCAGCTTCATCTGGGCCGCATACAGTGCAGATGTATGATTGTCAGAGGTTGATACAGGTAAATTTCCTCCAAACATTTCTTGGGATGTTGTGGAATTAGCATCCTTGTTTAATGTCTCTGTGTGTCTCCTTTGCAGATATTGTTGAAGATGTAAGAGAAGAGTGTGGCAAATATGGCGTTGTCCGCAGTATTGAGATTCCACGACCAATAAAAGGGGTAGAAATCCCAGGACTTGGCAAGGTATATTTATGCATATACATCATCCAGTGTTTTTTATCAACAGAAAAGACGAAATATATTTACGATGAGAAATATTAATTCTAATATTTTCTTTCACAATTTTGTAAATAATAATATCTCTAAAATTGCACAACCAAGTAGGAAATTGTTTTGCACAATGACGAAATGTTTGTGTTTTATTCCAGATATTTGTTGAGTTCAACTCTGTGATTGATTGTCAGAAGGCACAACAAGCTCTGACAGGAAGAAAGTTCTCAAATCGTGTTGTTGTCACCTCGTACTATGACCCAGACAAGTACCACAGAAGAGAGTTCTAAACTATTTTTTACATACTGTGCTGGTTATGATCCACAACTCATCATCATAACAATTTGTGTCTAGCAACTTAACATTGAAGGGAAACAACTATTGCGTCTGACCCATTAATATTCAGAGACATAATTGACATGCTGCGGTTCTTTGATACAAATTGTTGCACTTCGAGGAAAATGTACTGAATATATTTGGAATTATCAGATTTACAGGTTCTTATTAAATATTCATGTTATTCTCAGAATCAGCATTTATTTGATATCAAATTAATCATTACAAGATACAGAGCAGAAAAATTAGTATGTCTTGAATAATGTGGAAATATGTTTGTAAAGCTCTGAACTTTGACCATCACAAATTTGTAAGTATTGGTTTCATCTTGCTTTGGAAGGAATATTGTTTGATATTTGTTTGAATTCATCATTGAACATTTGAATAAATCCATATTTTGTACAAGTACCATTGATGGCATCATATTTGTTAGTTTTTCATGGCTTGATACTTGACCATTTTTATGCTTTTATGTCCTACCATGTTGACTAGGAGTTTACTCTAGTAAACTTCTTACATCAAAATTTCTTTAATCATTTATAGTTGGTGCTTTTGTGGACTTTGAAATTGTAAAAAGCTATGTAACATCATCTGATTTGTTTTTAAAGTTCATATTTTGCAAAGTGCATCATAATAAAAATCAGTCTTACCATGTGATCAGTGTTACTGTTTTTTTTATGCATGTAGTTGCTGCTGTTATGATACTTGGTCTGTCACCATCACACATACTGTTCAAAACTATGCAAAACTCAACACGCTCATTCCGGAGACTCCAGCTTAGAATAGGTCTAATAACCTCTGCTTGTTGTAAGAGGCGACTTTGTGGATCAGCTGGTCAGACTCACTGACTTTGATTGCATGTCGTTGTAGCCCAATAATATCTATTACTGGTTTATCTGGCCACACAATTACCGTATTCGACGTAATAAGCACCCCGGTCTAATAAGCGCCCACAGGGATATTTGCAAATATATTGGCAAGTGAACAATCCCAATTAGCCCCCCTTCCGATTTATCAATGTACACAAGACTTATTTATTCGTGTATAATACGCACTCGTGTGTTACATGCACCCTTAATTATGGGCAATTAAATTCTTGAAAAATGTATCTGTCGTATATAAACAGTTCAGACTGTCAGCATAAACCACGAAATTTATCTTTCAACTCTGTTTTTTTCACCAAAGTGAAATTCTAATAAGAGCCCCCTATTTGTAATTTTGAGAGCGCCCTGGGCGCTTTTTACGTCGAATACGGTATTTACAAGCTGCCAACGAAGAGCTGGAATATTGTTAACTGCAGAGTTAAATGCAAACAAACACTTTTTGTGCTGGAAACCCTATTTCTAGTTTCACATTGCCCTTTTTTTATGCCCCTCTGCTGTAATATTGCCTGCAGAAAGACAGTTCACTAAGAGACTCCTGACCATGACACGGTTAAAAATATTTTAAAATATTCATACAGCATTGTCCCATGGAAAAGTTGCTCAAAATTAGATTATGAAGTCGGCATACTGACGGCAGCCCTTGCATAGAGATAGTTAATTTCCAGCTTCAAACAAAATATTTCCGGGAGCCGTTTGTGAGAATCAGCTTGCATGGAATTGATTGGCAATTTACCCACTTCCTGACATTGACTTAAAACTATTCTTCGAATGCTTAGTGATGGTGATAGCAACAGAAATGTTTGTTTTGTGTGTTTGTTTTTAAGTCTGATATGTTTCAGCTATGTTGATGGCCTGTAATTAATCGAGTCTGGACCCGACAATCCAGTGATTGATAGTGACGAACATCACTGCTGCTCTATGATGCCATGCAATCAACCAGGTCACTCACCCTGACCATCTTATACATAACGGTGCCTTCTATGACAAGCATAGGCTGCTGGAGACCTTGTCTTAACGTAAAATCACCAGCAATGGAAGAAGTGTAGGGGTATTCAGGAAAAGGCTTTGATGGGGCTGCTTACTTTCAGCACCACTGACTGAACTTGTCTGATGTCCATCAGTGGCATCAACAACTTGTGCATATATCTTCAACTCGGGAACCACTTAAGTAATGAAGCTGATATAATGACGTCTGAATGTGTTCAAGACATTTATGTATAATTATTTATATAACTCCAACAGCAGTTAGAAGTTAGCCTATAAAGTTTACTGGCACAAGGGCACCCTTATAGGGGCCAAAAGTTCTACTAGCTTCAGGATACATTAGGAACATTAGTACATTACACACTGACATGAACTTTGTCCAGTTTTGATCTAGGTTTACTTGGGTTTGATATGATCTGCTTGTCAGTGAGTTTGGTTTGACAGTATTTCACTTTCAGTATTTCATAGATCACAGTGTGTCAGCTTGATGGGGGAGGACATTTAGTTTTGCATTTCTTCCAGTTTTATGGATGAATCAGAAAGAAAATAGACTTGCATAATGCCTGCAATAGGATGTAATCTTTCAAAGCACCCAATCCCAAGAGGCACATTCTCAGTTACATGTTCATTAACAATACTTTGCGGCATTAGAAGAAAAATATTTAAAAGGGATGTTAAATGAACAGAATAACATGATCACAGTCTTGTCAGCTGAAGGTGTGTGCCAAAAACAAACCAAATCTGAAGTAGCCCCCCACCCAATAACATTGACCTGCCCGTCCAATCCAATATACCAGGTACATCAACAACTTCAAAGGTAAACAATACTGGAATGAGCATGAAACACCTTGGTTATTACCAGTCGATCATCTATATCGATCTTACACACTCTCCTACTTAAGTAACTTGCGTAAACAAATAAGATATTCCATCTGAAATTTAGGATTTCAAAAATCCTTGTTGAGCACTTTCAAATCAATGATCATTCTCATATCTGTTGTGTTCTTGGGAATGAAGAAAACCAGGGAATTGAAACCTGGACTGCAATGTGTAGTTCCTTGATCCTGAATTGCCCTCACGTCTAGCGTCTGAATCACCTTGGAAGCCGGTGACAACTTGTGATCTGTTAGATGAAGTCAGCTTTCTTGGTGCTCTGACCAGCTCTGGTCGTTGTTGGAACTTGAGTTTGTAGCCTTCCCAGATGATCTCTAGAACCCAGTGGTCGTTGATAATTTGTCCCCGAAAATTCTTGAAAACAATTTATTAATAAAAGTTCATAGTAATAAATTTTAAAAAAATTAACTGGTTTTGTAGCTGTAGCTGAAAAAAAATATCTGGAGAAAAGCTGATATTGCTCAGGAACGATGTGGCATAGCATTGTCATCCATGTAGACAGGTCGGGTGGCGAGTGGGTGGTTGTCGAAATATGTCATAACAACTGGTTGCAGGACGTTAAGAATGTACCTGAACTGAACTTTATTACACTCAGGCAGCTACCAACGGCATTAGAGGTACGGCACATCTTCCCGAGGGAAGGCAGTTAACTGACTGTTAAAGTCCAGTTTGCTGAACTCCGCTGGAATTTCTGAGCTCGAATCGTAGCGCCACCAGTGGCAATTACGAGTTATGTCCCTTCTATGTCCCTCCTTTTGACCAATCAGCTTCTACCTCTCATATCGCTTGCCTTAACTTCAAACAAAATGGCGGCGGCGCCAGTGAAGACAATCTGATCAATAATCGAGATAAAAGATATAGGAAATGGTTATGTTAAAAAACATACTGACAGGGTTGTAGCAACAATATAATTTTACAAATTTTGGATAATTTTCTAAGTGTTCCTAATCTTTTACTGTTAAAAAGCAAATGAATTTTATGCATATTTGGTGAAATGTAAAAATATTTATTTTCTAATTACCCGGTAGCTGTTTTCTCTCATTTTGAAAAAGTGGACAGATAAATAGATAGTGGAACTCATCACCTAAATCAAATGATTAACAAAATAGACATTTTCTTTCAGTTAAAGGTATTTTTTGCATCTTCCAGTTTCAATTGGGAGATTGTGGTATGGAGGTCCTCGCCAAATAGTAACTTTCATATTTAAATAATTTTCGAAATTCAGGGACTCATTTTTATCCCCCGGTGGGGGATATAGAAACGGGCTCCGTCCGTCCGTCACGTTTCGTTTCCGAAGCATAACTCATAAACCGTTCAATATTTTTTTATCAAACTTTGCAGGTCTGTCAGGTACATGCTGAACTGGTGCCTTTTATATTTATAAATTTTGGAAATTTTTATTTTTTCGTTTCCATGGCAACAAGATGGACTTAGGTTCTGTGAGGGTAGGGTTCGTTTCCGGAGCATAACTCATAAACCGTTTAATATTTTTTCATCAAACTTTGCAGGTCTGTCAGGTACATGCTGAACTGGTGCCTTTTTTTATTAAGAAATTTTATATATTTTTATTTTTTACGTTTCCATGGCAACAAGATGGACTTCGGTTCTGTGAGGGTAGGGTTCGTTTCCGGAGCATAACTCATAAACTGTTTAATATTTTTTCATCAAACTTTGCAGGTCTGTCAGGTACATGCTGAACTGATGCCTTTTGTTATTTAAAATTTTAGAAATTTTTATTTTTTACGTTTCCATGGCAACAAGATGGACTTAGGTTCTGTGAGGGTAGGGTTCGTTTCCGGAGCATAACTCATAAACTGTATAATATTTTTTCATCAAACTTTGCAGGTCTGCCAGGTACATGCTGAACTGGTGCTTTTTGCTATTTAGAAATTTTAGAATTTTTTATTTTGTACGTTTCCATGGCAACAAGATGGACTTAGGTTCCAAACTCTTGTTTTTTAACAATTTCCATGACAAGTCCCACCTCGGTTAAAAAAGGTTAGGGTTTGTTTAGATTTAATTATGTCATAATTCTGCAACAGGGGCAGGGGATATAGCCACGTTAGTGGCAAACTCTTGTTAACTATGGTATACATTGCTCCTTTGGAAGATTTATTTTGTTTGTCTTCCCAGCCTTGTAAATTCATATCATTTATTTTTTTCTTAACCATATTCTTTAGATCATCTGGACTTTGAAAACTTTGTGAATGCCAAACGAAACATAGGCCAAGATCGTCGAAGATTTGTTTTACAAAGGTTATCCATTTATGTTTGCGTCTTTCATAAAGGTTATCGTTATATAAAAGATAATTTGAATGATCTTCCGGATAAGAGTTCTGCAAAAAGAAACCATTCTGATCTTAACTACATTTATTACAGAAGATCGTCCGAGTTCGCCATTAACCATATAATCTGGGGTACTAGTCCGAAGTGTTGTTAAATGTTTTCGAAAACGTAACTGGGCACGTTTCATATTATTATAGATAAAGTTTCAAACCCCCATACTTCACCTCCGTATAGAAGAATTGGTAAGACCATTCTACCGAAAAGGTGGAGTTGGCAACCAATTGAGGTTCCTTGGCCAAAACATAATACATTGATACGTTTCCACGTTTATTGTCAGTTAACTCCCTTGCCTCGGGAAGATGTGTGACAAGCAACCCCAAACCATTACCAACCCTCCACCATATGGGGACGTAGGTCTTATGTTCCAGAGTGTGTTGGTCATATTTTTATGCATCTAAACCCTCAATCGGCCATCTGTGACGTGGAGCAGGAACCGGATCTCAGCGGACCAATGGACTCTTCTCCAAGTCCTCACATTCGAAGCTCTCCGGGCCAAACACCATGAGAAATAAATTCTCCAAAGGGACGCTTGATTACCCTCACTGGACT